TATACTACATCCACCGAAGGATTTGTCTGAGTAGCTGGTTACCTTTACCAAAAATGTGAGCCAATTTGTAAGGCAGGATCTGTTTTTAACAAATTCATGTTGTTTCGATTGTACAAGATTGTTCACTGAAAGATGATGAATAATTCCCTCCCTGAGAATTCTCTCCATGAGCTTGCAGATGTGTGATGTCAAGCTGATTGGCCGGTAGTTTTCTGCTGAGCTCTTTCTGCCTTTTTCTAAATAGGGGCAACATTTACATATTTTCAATCTAAAGGGACTACCCTTTGGTCCAGGGGTTTTGTGAAAAATAGTTTCAGCAGCAGGCATAGTTCTTCTGTCAGTTCCTTTAAGATTTTGGACTGGATTCCATCCACACCTGGGGCTTTAGAGTCTTTTAGTTTGCCAATGTTCTTTGTAATTATTTCGCATGTTATGGGTATCACTAAATTTATTCTCCTTCTCTCCTTCAAACATTTGTGTGGGTGATGGGATGTCATCCAACCTTTCGAGTGTGAATACCGATGTAAAATATAAATATTTATATGTTGTGATCATATCCTCTCTGTTCCTTCTATCCTCTAGGGTTGTGATATTTACTTCCATTAGCTTATTCTCATAGCTTAACCCTCTTAGCTCTGGCACCAATCTTGTTGCACCTTTCTACTTTTTCAATTTTGACTTTATGCCTCACAACGGGTGTGTTTCATGCTGATGCTGCATATTCCAGTATTATTTCTAGTATTATTATTAGTTCAACAAATGTTGTGTAGATTGCTTTGGAGTCCTGATTTAGAATTCAAAATGTTGTTTTTATATTTGCTAGCATCCCATATGCTGCTGATGTTATCCTTTTTATGTATGCCTCTGGTGTTAATTGAGGAGCTACAGTAAATCGATTCCTAAACCTTTTCTTTTTCTGATTCCCGTAGTTACCTTTTCCTTATGGTCTAAATACCTTCAGGTCTCCTGTCTCTCCCTTTCCCATCTCCATTACCTTACACTTGTTGGGATTTAAATTTGACAACCATTTGTCTGCCACTCCTGGAGTTTTGCAAGGTCCTCCTGTAACTTACTATAGTCCCCCCTCTGCTTTTTACATTAATTTTACATTTACATTACATTAGAGGGTCCTGGTGGTACATTTGGGTTTGCTCTCGACTCGCAATCGAGAATTGTTTGGCAGGACAGAAATGGTTGGGCATGTTTCGTATCGCCTAATGCCCCTGCACACCTAGCAGTAAATAGTAACCCAGGAGTTAGTAAGCTTCTTGTGGGGTTGCACCCTGGGAAGGGTCAGTAATTTGACCCTGAAAGAGAGGAAAAAGGAGCCTTGATATAAGCCTAGAATGTACTGTATGTTGCATGTATAAACTGGCTGCCTGTCCCCCAACACAATGAATTATTATTATTCCTCATCAAACTTGGTGTCATTTACAAATGTTGACATATATCAGCTCATTCCCTTGGATAGTTCCTTCACAGAAATTAGGAACAGCGGTGTCCCCAGAATAGAGCCTTGTGGGACCCCACTTGTTACATCCATGCAGCTTGAAAACTTTTTTCTCTGTGATTCTTTGCTTTCTGTCCTTCAGGTACTCACTTACCCAGTTCAGTGTTTTCCCAGTTATCCCACCCTGCATCTTATTTATTTTTATTTATTTATTTATTTATTTATTTATTTATTTATTTATTTATTTATTTATTTATATATATACAAGAAAGTACAGTGGGATTGTGAGGATACATAGAATAGTAATTACAATCTTGTAAAGCTACTAGTACGCGCAGCGTTTCAGGCAGGTCCTTAATCTAAGAAACTTATAAGTACTGTAGGTAAATACTTGCAAAATTTATAAAAATAATAACAGTTACATGGCATGAAAAAATAAAAGATGAGACAGAAATTGTAGGTATATTAAAGCACATAGGTAGCTCAGAATGATTGCAATGACAGCTTGAATGGTAGTTTAACAAAACTTAGCAGGCACAATACAGCATATGGATAGCACATAAAAGAAGACAGTAATGAACACAATGATAAATTTGTTTGGATTAAGTAAATAAAGTACATTAAGTACATTAAAGTACATTAAGTACATTAGCAATAAAAATGATGGAAAGTTTCTTGGCATATTCCTAGACAAGAGACTCAACTTCAGTACGTACCCACATACAACACATAACTAAGAAAGTCTCTAAAACAGTTGGTATACTCTCCAAAATCAGATATTATGTTCCTAACTCTGCTCTCATCTCTCTATATTATGCACTAATCTATCCCTATCTCAACTATCTGTGCATGGGGTTCAACCACTGCAAACAACCTCAAGTCCATCATCACCCAGCAAAAATCTGCTATCAGAATAATATCAAATTCTGCTTTCAGACAACACACAGCCCCCTTGTTTAACTCCCTAAACATGCTAAACATAATCTCACTCCACAAATTCTCTTGTGTCAACTACATTTACAAAACCCTGTTCTTAAATGCAAATCCTTGTCTGAAACTCTTCTTGGACAGATATAATAGGACCCATTATCACCACACCAGAAATAAATATCTCTTTGATATCCCCAGAGTTAAACTTAATCTGTGTAAACACTCTATGCAAATAAAGGGACCCAGTTTATGGAACTCACTCCCTACTGAATTGAAAAGCTGTCCAACTTTTACATCATTCAAAATCAATACTAAAAAGTACCTAATTTCATCTTCATAGTTTTTCACTTTTTGCCTTAAAATTGCACTGTATCAATTGCTACCCAATCTCCCAACCTTTATGTTCCCAATTTGAACATCTTTACCATTGTGATCATTGCTGTTTTCTTATATGTGCTGCCAATCTGTTGTATGGTGTTTATAAATCTTGTTTATCTGTATCTTTTGCTACCCAGTCTCCCAATCTTTATGTACCCAATCTGAACATCTTTACCATTGTGATCATTGCTGTCTTATATGTGCTGTCAATCTGCTGTATGGTGTCTATTAACCTTGTTTAAATTACTAATCAAGCTGTCAATGTAATCAATCAGAGCTTTAATATAACAATATGCTTTAATATACCTACTTATCTCTCTCATCTCATTTTTCTCTTGTAATGTATCTTTATCATTTATCAATTCTGATTGAAATTACCTACTTAAAATTATCTGCTAGATTAAGGACCTGCCCGAAACGCTGTGCGTACTAGTGGCTTTACAAGAATGTAAATACTGTACTATCCAATGTATTCTCACAAACCCAATGTACCTTCTTGTATATATATAAATAAATAAATAAATAAATAAATAAATAAAGAAAGAATGGGAGATTGGGTAACACTAGATATAGAGCAAATTTAAAGCTCCGTGTAGGAAAGTACAAAGATGAAATTAGGTACTTTTTGGTTTTGTTTTTAAATGAGGCAAAAGTTTGACAGCTTTTCAATTCACTAGAGAGTGAGTTCCATAGACTAAGTCACTTAATTTGCATAGAGTGTTTACACAGATTGAGTTTGACCCTGGGGATATCAAAGAGATATTTATTTCTGGTGTGGTGATAATGGGTCCTATTACATCTGTCCAGGGAGAGCTTCAGAGCATGGTTTGCATTTAAGAACAGGGTTTTGTAAATGTAGTTGACACAAGATAATGTGTGGAGGGAGTTAATATTTAGCAAGTTAAAGGATTTAAACATGGGAGCTGAGTGTTGTCTGAAAGCAGAGTTTGTTATTATTCTGATAGCAGAGTTTTGCTGGGTGATGATGGGTTTAAGGTGGTTTGCAGTGGTAGACCCTCATGCACAGATACCATAATTAAGAATAGATTAGTGCATAATATAGTGAGAGGAGAGCAGAGTTAGGAACATAATATCTTATTTTGGAGAGTATTCCAACTGTTTTAGAGACTTTCTTAGTTATGTGTTGAATGTGGGTGCTGAAGTTGAGTCTCTTGTCTAGGAATAGGCCAAGAAACTTTCCATCATTTTTATTACTGATGTTAATGTTGTCTATCTGTAGCTGAATTGCATTAGATGATTTGCTTCTAAATAAGATGTAGTAGGTCTTTTTTATGTTTAGTGTTAGTTTGTTAGTAACATCAATAAGTGGACTTTTTTTTAATTCATTATTGACAACATTATTTAGTGTTTTATCACATTATCATTATCTCCATTATCACATTAACATTATCTCCTACACCATTCTTTCTTGAGGAAGTGTAAAGTGATTTTTTTACAATATAGGAAAATACTGTGAACCAAGCCTTCATTTTTCCTCTTATTTTAGTAAAATAATGTTATTTTAATTAATATTAATTAACATTGTTATAATGTTAATTAATGGTAATGTTAACATTGTCTATCTGAAGTTGAATCTGATTTGATGATTTGCTTCCAAATAGAATGTAGTAGGTCTTTTCTATGTTTAGTGTAAGTTTGTTGGTTGACATCCATGAGTGGACTTTTTCATTGTTGACAATACTATTTAGTGTGTGGGGGTTGGGGTCAGAATAGATGAAGGTTGTATCATCAGCAAATAGTATAGGTTTAAGAATGTTAGAAACATTTGGCAAATCATTGATGTATACACCTGTATAAGAAATAGGAGTGGTTCCAAGATGCTGTCCCTGTGGCACCCCCCACTGTCAATGCTAGAGTGGGGGAGGTGCTATTGATGGCTACATAATAAATACAATGGTGTCTGTCACTGTGATAGGAACGAATATAGTCCAGAGCAAGGCCTCAGAAAATTCCCAACATGCTTACTTTCTCTAGCACCTTACACAGAATACTTGTCAATGACACCAGACTGTACTTATGCCTCCTTACTATTCCCTTTTTTTAATATTGGGATTAAATTTGCCTTTTTCATATATCTGGGAAATTTCCTGTTTCATGCAATATATTATGCATTTTAGAAAACAGGTAACAAAGTACTTCTGCAGCCTCCTTCACCTGTCATGGTGAGATTAGGACTGGTCCAATTAATTTTATCACATGTAGTTCCTCTGTGTTTTCTTACCTCTTCTACAGCGACTACAATGTCATCTGTTGTTCCTTCTGGTCTTTTGTCTTGCACTTTTGATCTCCATGCTGGTTCTAATGTAAAGTGTAATGATGGTGGTGTTGAAATAGTTTTTCTACATATAGTAGATATAAATTTGTTTTCTACATTTAGGAGAAGTAGGTCACAATACTGTAAGTTGTTAACATTTATTCTGCATTAATAATATACAATACCTAAATACAAGTTAGCTGCAGAAATTATCACAAGCTTCATAATAAATGGAGACGAGGAAATTACCAATGCAGCCAAGCTCACGAACTAACAATTTAATAATCATAATACAGTAATAATATTATTATTATTTATGTAATTATTTATGTAATTATTTATATACAAGAAGGTATATTGGGGGCTAAGAGAGAACACAGGAATAATGTTGATTTTACAATCTTGAAAGCCACTAGCACGCATAGTGTTTCGGGCAAATCCTTAAACTAACAGATAATTTTAAGTAGATAATTTACAGTAGAATTGACAACAAATATTTATAGGTACTTTACAGCTTTACAGGTACAGGTAACTTTAAGTAGATAAATTACAGTAAAATTGACAGAAAATGTTTACAGGTAAACAAAAAGATTAGAATAATACACAATAATAATAACAAAACACTATAATGAACAAGGTAGTCTTTACCATTGTGATCATTGCTGTTTTCTTATACCCAGTCTCCCAATCTTTATGTACCCATTCTGAACATCTTTACTATTGTGATCATTGCTGTCTTATATGTGCTGTCAATCTGCTGTATGGTGTTTATTAATCTTGTTTAAATTACTAATCAAGCTGTCAATGTAATCAATCAGAGCTTTAATATAACAATGTGCTTTAATATACTTACTTATCTCTCTCATCTCATTTTTCTCTTGTAATGTATCTTTATCATTTGTCAATTCTGATTGAAATTACCTACTTGAAATTATCTGCTAGATTAAGAACCTGCCCGAAACGCTGCGCATACTAGTGGCTTTACAAGAATGTAAATACTGTACTATCCAATGTATTCTCACAAACCCAATGTACCTTCTTGTATATATATAAATAAATAAATAAATAAATAAATAAGGATTACTAGGTACATTAGGATATATTAAGATAAAATATCAGGGTTATACATTGGTTTACTGTAGCACAATTTGAGGATCATTTCAAGGAATAATGCAGTAGAATATGCACTCAATATAACAACCATGATATCAGAAGATATCAAAGATTACAATGGTAGAGTAATATGGCTTAGGTACATATATTAGGGGATTTGGTAGCACTAGATACAGTGCGAGTTAAAGCATTAGGTAGCATTAATTTACTTATATAAATGTACATACATACGATACATAAAGTTTTAGGCTAGTTAATTTATTATGCACCCCTTACTCATCTTGTGGGCGGTAGTGAACAAAGGAAGAAACATCGGAAAGACAATTACATTGCATAAAGCCACTAATATGCAGTGTGTGTTTTGGACATAACTTAAGATAAAAGAGGTAGGTTGAATAAAGATTTGATGATGTAATACTCACTTAATACTGACAAGAAGCAGGTTAACATAAAAAAATTTAGAGACATAATAATGTTTACTTAGGGGAAAAGTAAATACAAAATGAGTTAAAAGCAGAATATTGGATTTTTCGATAGAGCTAGTATATACAATGCTTAAAGCCACTAATACACTCAGCATTTCAGGCAAGATGTGGAAAAAATCTTGAAAACTAAGATTTAAAAATAATTCAGATCAAAAGCCTGAATTGAACTGAAAAATTTAAAAAAATTATGACAATTACATGTTGAATGGAACAGCAGATAATAATTTTAACTAAATAAACAGCCTACAATTTTCTTTAAGTTTATTTAAGTTAAACTTCTTTAAGTTTATACATTTATAAATTGTTAACCTACAATTAAATAAGAGATATTTATAAACAGCGGCTTTAACAGTACAGTACATACAAAGTTAAAAAAAAAAATTTAAGTAGATGAGAATAAGAAAAATAACATACAATGCATTATGGTATATAGGAACAGAAGTACTGTATTTAGTAACAGCAAATATGAGGTACAGTAATAAATAAGTAATGTTTACAATAACAGCAAAGCACAGGTTGACATGTATGATGAGAAAAGGTTAGGAAAATTGGTTATATAAAGTTAATAAGGTGGTTCTTAGTTTCTCTTTTAGACTGGACAAGATAAGTATAATTTTTAATTTCATCTGGGAGGTTTTCCACAGTTTAGGACCTTTGATTTGCAGAGCATTTTTGTTTTGGTTAAGTTGCACTCTTGGGATATAAAAAATATATTTGTTTCTTGTATGATGCCCATGGGTTGTGTTATAGCCTTTAAAGAAGTGCTTAAGGTCAGGATTAACACTGCAGTGCAGAATTTTGTACATATAGAATGCAGTGACTTGATACTTTACATATTTAGGGATTTCAGGGAGGGAGCTTACTGCGATTGGAGTGTGTAATAGGATTATTACACTTATTATTATTAATGTAATACTGGGATTGTGATTGCTGATTTATGTTGAGTAATTAGTGGTCAAAGGAAATTTTGGGTTGTATATTCTCAGGTACAAATACCATTAGTGAGATATGAATACATGAAAGTACAATAGCCACTCCACAGTTTGCAGTAAATAGTTATGAAATTATTAACTAGAAAAATACTGTAGTTGCAGTTAGTTTAGTTCATTTATTATGCACCCCATACCCATCTTGTGGGCAGTAGTGGAAAGGGTTACAGAGGCACATAATGGGCTCAGGGACTGAACCCCACAATTCATTTAGCTAAGCAAGTTACAATCTTGATGAGCTAGTTACAAAATTCAATATAAGTCATCACATCAACAATGGGTTCGAGATCGACCTCAAGTACAGGTTCTAAATTAAGCAACTGACATATGTGGAGAGCTAGTGTCAAAATTTATATGTTTGTCCTGCACACCGGCCCCCCATCCAGTGGGCAGCGGTGGATAGGTTACAATCACTCAGTTACTACCTACAGTTAGCAAACTGGGGATATTTGGAGTTGCATACTGGGCAAAAAAATGGGAACAATGTATGATGATCAAGCATAGTGTTTGAGCATCCAGCTGAGTGACAGTGACCTGTAGACAGGTCTCAAATCATTCATTTAGATTAGGGTAACATGTAGATAATGTTCAGACATCCAGCTTGATAAGAGTAACCTAGAGATGATGCTCAGACACTGTTGTCTATTATTCATCTAACTGAAAAGGAGTATGCATGCTGTTCAGTCATCTAATTGGGTGAGTGCTGCTGCTCCACGGCTCACCCAGTGATTCTGTGGGAGGGAGGAGGGCAGCACCAGGTCGAGGATGTAATTAGAGGAGTGCCCCGTTGTGGAGAGAGTACCACACCGCTCACTTGTACGGTACACAGGGCAATGGTATGTACCATTATCAACTTCCTCATCCTCAAGTTTACAGCTCACACCTGCAAAGAATAGAAGTGTTCTAGCCATTTATATCTTATGAGAACAATATGACACTAAGTCATATCATGTAAAATGTTTGCTTGATTTTGTTATGCTTCATGTATCTTATGTTGAAAGAAATATACAGGAAAATCCAATGTGATATATGCACCATGAGGTGTATTCCACTTTTTGGTTTACAGTATATATATACATAGTACATTTAAAGTTTCTTTAGGCATAGTATGTACTAGCTCTATCCATAAATCCAACATTCTGTTTGTAACTCATCTTGAAAATATGTACTTTTACCTGAATAAAAATTTATTTATTTATATTATTGTAATAATGAAATAACATTAATGTTACCCAATCTTATTTATAAGATTTTCTTAAATCGTATTGTAATTTGGATTATAGTTTAACCCTGATAAAAAATTAATTAAATCATGTGTCAAGTATATCCATCTAAAATTATAAGAGCTTCATCCCAGTGGGCACCACTGGTTGACAGTAACTGACGTTATATAGTAAACAGTATGTAATGTCAGTCACTTTCAACCAATGGTGCCCACTGGGATGCTGTTACCGTGAACGTTTAAAAGCTTATCCATTGTTGGGGTAGGAAGTCTGTAAGCTTATCATGGTCCTACCCATACCAGTGGCTAGCCATTCTCCAGGATATAACCCACAATAGTCAACTTCAGTAACTCCCAGGTACCTAGTTACTGCTAAGTGAACAGGCCTTCAGGTGTAAGGAGATGTGCCCAAATGCCTATACCGACCCAGGAATTGAATCCTGGACAACAATCTTAATGTTAAAAACATCCATACCACTTCTCTTGATTATCAAAACTCTCCAGGTATGAGTTTGGTACATACCCTCCTTGTGAGACATGTCTGGTAGGATAGCAGGCTGGAAGAGTATAATAGGGAGGCGGTCATGGAGCTGTTTGGCTGACATTTCCGCCAGACAGTGCTGTTGACGGTCCCAGCGGGCACCCTCTAGGAAAAATCCCTGCAAAGACATATATCAGTACTTCAAAAAGAGTACTCTTAAGCTCAAGCATCCATACTTCTCTTGACTAAGTGACTTATATAAAAATGATGTATGTTGCATTTGGTGGTCAGGTCACTCATGGAGAGTCAGTCATTGGTGGTCAGGTCACTGAAAGTCAGCCATTGGTGGTCAGGTCACTGGAGAGTCAGCCATTGGTGGTCAAGTAATTGCAGCTCTGATAAAGATCACAATGATGTTAATTAACTGCACATTCCTTAGTTTGAGATATGGTGGAGGAAGGCAGGAAATGGGGAAAGAAAAAGAGGCAAGGTTGAGGTGAGGCAGTAAGGGGGGAAAAAAGTTTGAGAAAGAAGAGAAAAAAGGTTGGGTATTAAGCTATTTGGCCATCCCACTAATTTTCTTCACCTCTGTACTCCATCATCCTCCTCCCACCACTTCCGTCAACCCATAGACATCTATTTATTTTCCTGGTTAACATAATTTAAACTGTTCACCTAGTTCATATATTTTTCTTGTGAGTATCCCAAGTGTGATCTACTCTACAATATATGCTCTCAAGCGTTTGTCTTAGTACTGACCCTGGTGTAGGTGATACAGACCCAGGTATAGGTTCCTCCATGTGCCTGGCGAGGGATAACTTGGTAGATGATATCATCAGAGTTTTCATTATGGCTCTGCTGGTTATCATTGTTGTCCAGCATTTCCTCCTCCTCCTCCTCCTCACCAAACTGGATCCTCCTTTTCTGAAGAGGTATATATTAGAAATATTAAATAAATATTTTCTGTTATCTCTGGAGAGCCCCTTGTGGAAGCTCCCTGAAGCTACTATCGCTGATAGTGTAGCACTACTTAGGTCGCATCAGCTACAGAGTTCTATGGCCTACCTGGGACTAGAGCCAGAACCTGGGCCCTTCTAAAGAGGTGCAAGGAGTGATGTTTATGTCACCACCAGGGAAGAAACCAGAAAGCAAAACAAACAGACCACTGCTGGTTTCAATAGAGACTGCAGCCTCTAAAACTGCTAAAAAAAAACTCCCCCAACTAAGTAAACAAATTATAGAAATCTCTCCAAATTAGATGCAAGCTCGTTCACTTCACCTCCCCCACTCGTTGGAGGAGGAGGAGGCGGCTGGTGACCAGCCGGCTATACTGCCCTCATTTCTATAGGTAATGATAGTATACCGGGTCGCCCCTCTGCTGCTCTGGCTCCAGTGTTCTGCTTTTCAGGAAAGTGGTGGTTTTGCTCTGTGGCTGGTCCTGTACACTGAGGTGTAGCATGAGCCAGGAGTTAAGAGTACTTTGAGCTGCATGTGCACAGAATTCTCTTCCTTGTGTGCTCCCTAGTGCTACCCATTTGCTGCCAAGGTTATCTTCCTTAGAGTGTTCATGAGTCGATCCCTTAGAGGCCCTTCTCACTTGTGGTAGATTTTGCCGAGGATGAGTCAGATTCTTTGAAGTTTCCTGCCTTTACTCAGGTCAAGAGTGACAGGGTGGTGGGGCACACTGGGTATTTGTAAGCTGCACTACAGTGCATAGAGATCAATCTTCACAGCCAACTGCACCGGGCTGTGATGGTTTATTGTTCATAACCAGGTCTGGCATAGCATCCCAGTGTCCCAGTGCCTAGATGGCCTGCTTGGTTTGCCATTCAGGCTCTGGTAATCCCTTATGGGTTCAGTGGTCCCATGGATATCCCTCCATGAACCTGATCTTGCTTTGAGCGAGTTTGAGAGTCCTACTTCGTCTGTGCCACATGGTGACGTTCATTGTTTTTGCCTCAGCCATGCTGCTTGTTGGGTCGGATACATCTTTGACCCCATTGTCCTGTGGGGCTCAATCCAGTTCCATGCATGTGCACACACTTATATAAAATCTTCATGGCTTGTCTTCACCTGTTAGGTGTCGAGTTTTGGCATAACTCGGCGACTGACTGGTGAGAGCTCCCAGCCGGTCTGCATGTCTGCTTGCCAAGGATCTGGTTCTTTCCCAGCTTGCTGGATTTGGGTTCCTGATGAATTGGCAGAAGTCCCAGTTAGTTCCGTTCTGAGTTCAAACTTGAGTGGACCTCATTTGGGACTCTCAGTTGGCTTCGCTTTCCCTTCCTCCTGCAGCCTTGACTCGGCTGCAACTTCACCGTCTGTTGATGTTGAGATTGGGGTTCAGTTACCTGGTGCCTTCCTTCCCTTTTGCTTGACATCTTCACAAACCGCTAGGCTCTGGGCTGGGACTTTGTGACCCTGCGCTCACCAAACTGGCCAGAGTTGTTGGTCTCCTTTCCTTTGTCGAGCTCATAATATGGTTTGGGAGTTTGCATCCATGTGGCATGCACTACAGAGGGTTTGGATTCCTCCAGGTTCCGTGCTCTGGCTCCATTTAGACTGTTCCCTCGTGGTTCATTGTCTCAACTCAGGAGGGGGGGGTTAACTGCAATACATGACTCTTGGAACTGGACACTTTGTATATTTCTTTTGCTGAATTCTCGGGATTTGGTTCTGTAACGTTCATGTCCAGGATGTCCAACATTTCTCGCAGATGGACTGTCCCAGTTCCTTCCTATCTCCATGGCCAAGGCCTGTTGATGCCACCCACATCCATCCAGTGGGAGAATCCTTCCGTCCGATGGAAGAATGCGCATCCTTCCAACAAGCTTGCACTAGTTCAGAGAGATTTTGATCATTTGTTTACATAGTTGGGAAGTTCTTTCGGTGGTTTTAGAAGCTGTGATTTCCACTGAAGCCAGCAATGGTCTGTTTTGTCTTGCTGACTTTTTCATTGCTTTCCCAGTGGTGACATAAATAACTACATAAATATCACCACTTCCCATGCCTCTTGCAAGGGATAGGTTCTGGTCTACAGTAGGTTAATAGAACTCCGCAGCTGATGCAACCTAAGTAGTGGTACACTAATAGCAATGGTAGTTTCAGGAAGCCACCGGGGGCTCTCCCAGATATGGACATTTCATTATAGTCAATGCTGTTTTTTTTTATATTGGGGTTCAAAAGACAATCAGTCCTAATGAGATTATCATGGACCTATGATATTTATGGTGAGATAAAGTTCAATGGAATGTTAGAAAAGAGACTGATCAATTGTTTCAAGGCAGCCTGAATGTGGTTGAATACCCATAGGCTAGTGTATTTTGATCTTGCTACAGAGACTATTTTGATGAGCCAATATTATCCAAACTTTACCTTCATTCCAGTTTTAATATCGCCTTCATCCTGAGCAGATTCATCATCGTCAGAAAGGGAATCATCATCCTCGAGGTCTGTGTCGTGATGTTGGTAATGGCCGCGCATGTCAGGCGTGGGCAATCGCTTGATAATTTCAGGCAGCTCAACGAAGTTAGGTCTGATGCACTCCTGGATGATGTCCTCCACCTCCTTCTCCATCACCTGTGCTTACACAAAAGGTAATTGTAAGGAAGAAGCACTAAGGCAGTTTGACTATATAGCACATGGTTGGGATATGAGGACAGATTAAGACTGAGATATAATTATTAATTGTTTTGACAGCGACAGGAACCAATAGGTTCCTGTCGCTGTCAAAACATTAGTCGATGTACTAAAATAAATAAATAAATTTATAATATATATATATATATATATATATATATATATATATATATATATATATATATATATATATATATATTATATATATATATATATATTATACTGTATATATAATATATTTATATGACAGTGTCAGACCACAGAGGAAAATTGAAACAGGAATTTCCTTAAGTACTTTCGTATATTAATACATCTTCAGAAGGAGTCACTCCTTCACTCCTTCTGAAGATGTATTAATATACGAATATATGTAATTCCTAGTGAGATTAGACTGTTGCCAAACTAATTCCTTGTGAGGTTACCAGATGCAGTCAATTAGTTTTCAGTAAGGTTGCTAAGTGTTAGCCAACTAATTTCCAGTGGGGCTACTACATGTGGCTGTAATAATTCTGTGTGGATACTAGGAATTGTAGTTCTTTTTAACTGTGAGGTTTCCTTCCCTTTTTCCCAGAAAATGGGGAGGAAACTATCAGGAGAAAGCACCATGCCATTATGTCTATATAGCACTTGGAAGGGATCAGGATAAGGATTTGGGATAGGATGGGGGGAAGTTAGATAGGTAGATAGAATGGTGCAGAAGGTATTATGAAAGAATATGATACAGAGGTGTGGGTGCTTCCCTTTAGAGCTAGATCTCTCTCCCTAAAAATACAAATACGTAGGTGATTGCATATGTACACACACACACACACAAAATAGGAGAAAACAGACCACACACAACCTATAAATTATGAGGAAAGGAATTAAAAAAACTCCAACAAAGAAAGATCTAGGGGTGGTTCTGGATTGCAAACTTTCACCAGAGGAACACATAAAGGGCATTGTGCGAGGAGAATATGATGCACTTTCCAATTTCAGAATAGCTTTTAATTACATGGATGGTGAAAGCTGAAGAAACTGTTCATGACTTTTGTGAGACCAAAATTGGAATATGCAGCAGTTGTATGTTGTCCGTATCTCAAGAGGCATAAATAAACTGGAAATGGTGCAAAGGCATACTACAAAATAGATCTGGAACTGAAAGACAAGAGGTATGAAGAGAGGTTAGAGGTGTTAAATATGCCAAAGCTAGAAGACAGAAGAAAAAAGGCAATATGATTGCCACTTACAAAATAATAACAGAAATCGACCAAATTGACAAAGAGGAATTTCTGAAACCTGCAACCTCAAGAACAAGCAGTCATAGTTTCAAGCTAAGGAAACAAAGGCGCCAAAAAGTTTTTAAGAGTTTAACAAAGTTTTCTTTTGCAAACAGAGTGGTAGTTGGAACAAATTAAGTGAGGTGGTGGAAGAAGCCAAAACCATCAGTAGTTTCAAAGTGTTATGATAAGAGTGCCAGGAAGATGGGACACAACAAGCATAGCTCGCATCCTGTAACTACACTTAGGTACTTATACAAACACACACACACACACACAAATCTTTGTCTTTATTCCAGACCTAAACTTTTAACTTCACTAATGAGTAAAATGTGTTCAATGCAGTAGGACCCACAACTTTATCTTAATACTGTAAACTAAAAATATACAATTACAAAAAAGTTATCTAATTCAAGAAAAAGATGCTTCAATAACACAAGTACAACCTTGAATTGGAAATAAATCCTATCGATGGGTATAGCATGCTTTCTTGCATAGTTCTGGCGTATCCCAGTGAGAAAGGTGTAGGGGAAAAACATTCCAGAGAACCAGAACACGTCAGGAATCTTCTCGTCCACCCACCGCTGGAAGAACTTTAACCTAGGGAAAATATAAGACCTCCCATCACATTACTGTTTCACAGACATATATATGAAATAAATTTATGAAGCCTCACAATTGCTACAGAACAATTTGAATATTGATACAAGAACTCCAAGTCATTATAGGACAATTTGGATCTACTATACTATTAAAATTGATGAAAAATTGGTAAAAGCAGTGTAATGATGACAAATGTTGGCATCTTGAGAAATAATTTTCCATAGAGTATATCAATGAAAATCATTTTGAGGCAATGGAGTGACTTGAACCCATGGTCTGGTGATTCCCAGAAACATGTTTTAACCAGAATGTGGGTTCAATTACATCATTGTGATTTCAGTGAGATCCAAGTGTTGCATAAAGGTGTCAATGCCATTACTATAGGCCAAAGTGTGGTTGGGTCAACTGTAAAACTCTTGTTAGGCTCTGGTTTGGGGCCTCCATAACCTCCCAGTGAATTCAGTAGAGTTCTAGGCTGGTCAACATTTGTACCATCATGGCCAAGTCGGTTAAGGCAGGTGTCTGGGAATCACCAGAATGTAAGTTCAATCTCTCCAGTGCCTCAAAAATGATTTTCATATAGACATGTATACATAGACAACATATTCCTGCGGGTACCAGATATTGAGCATTTGCTGCTGCTTAAGAATGCATTCTAGCGAAGTTCAGTGTCAAGGTTCACTTACGAGATTGAGAGTTCAGGTGCATTACCTTTCCTAGATGTAACAGTCATGGAAAGGAATGGTGGCATTCACATTGCAGTCTACACTAAGGAAACCAGTACAAGAATGTTCATTAATGCCCTGATAAGTATAAGCAGTGTTGTCAATACTAATATCACAACCATGCTTTCACACACAGCTCCAGTTGGAAGCAGGTTGACGAGAAAATCAGTAGAGCAAGTCCTAGTCAATAATGGATACTGTAACGGATATGTCGAAGAGATCATTAAAAGGGAAGTGAGCTACCATGCAACCTTAGACGAAGCAGACAACAGCACACTGCCTGTCCCCATATTAAAACATTCTACAAGAAAACACAGAAATCACAATTGCGTGATGCATCAAATGAACAAATCCACAAGGGCCATGACAAGGATTCGAACCTACGTCCAAGAGCATCCCAGACGCTGCCTTAATCAACTGAGCTACGACATGGTATAAGAATTGCAACCAGAAAATTCTACTGAATTTAGTGTGTAATGAAGTAAGGGCGAAGAGATAGAACGGCCTATTGACATAGCTCAAGTGCGTAAGGGAATTGTGTAAAATCCTGGTTTGTGTTTCGGAGAGGCTGCAGGATCCAAGTAAAATTCAGTAGAATTTCTGGTTACAATTCTTATACCATGTCGTAGCTCAGTCGATTAAGGAAGTGTCTGGGATGCTCTCGGACGTAGGTTCGAATCCTCGTCATGGCCCTTGTGGATTTGTTCATCCTACAGGAACTTGTTCTATACAGCTCACAACATGGGAAAGAGAGTTCTGAAAAGCATTACTGATAAAGATGTGACTCCCTACTGACACCAACAAGAATATTGAATTAATAATATAATACAATAGCAAAAAAACTGCCAAACTCTCCTGACACAAAAGAAAACCTTTGAAAGAGACAAATGTCATCTATGCCTTCCCATGCCCACTTGGGAACTATCAGCACCAAGGAACTCAATACATAAGCAAGACAACAACACCCCTTACAAGGTGCTTAAGAATGCACAAACAGCAAGAATCAAGGAACACACAGTCTTTACACATAATCAAGTCATCACCAGAAACATCCTGACAAACAACACAAATACAATGACAATAGAAACCTGGACATTGCTGAGGCATTATATATAAAGTGAACCAAGCCAACTAACTTGGCTTGGTTCACCAAACTACACTGCCATCTTTGAGAACATGACAAAACTTACAATATGCTGCCCCAGCCATCATGGAAACATAGGATATTGGTAAGAAAATTAGTAGGAGCCATGAAGAAGATTCAAACCCACTTACTTGGTACTTTACTCCCAAGTTAGCTGGGAGTACTCCAGTTGGGAGCCTCAAGACTCCTAGTGGATTCAGCTGAATCCCAGGTTGCATTGCTTTTGACCATGTTGTAGTATAGTGGTCTAAGGCGCTAGCTTGGGAGTACCAAGTGAACGGGTTCAAATCCTCCTCGTGGCTCCTGCTGCTTTTCTCATTGATACATCATGTTAATGTGATATCATTGTGCATAGGATATTGTTAAGTTGTAATATTGACCCATAAGTGATGTACTTCACCTTATTCCTGGCTATATCCTGCAGCACAAGAACTTTTAACTATTTTAACTCTACCTTTGATAATGTTAACAAGGGTTAACAAAACACTTCTCATATTGTGTAAGCCAAATAAAATTGGAACATGTTTAGAGATGCTGGTTACCTGTGTAGAAGGTCACTGATATATGGGGCAAGGGCTTTTCTTGATGGGTATGACCGGGTCTCCCATGCTGGGGGCACACGACCCAGAACCAGCGCTTGGTATGTGTCCTCTACCTCATCTGACATGAGGCTCTCACCACTTACTGCTCTCTTCACAGCCTTAAGGGACATTTTCATAGCTGCAATCAGTCTGTTATAACGCTGTAGTTCCTGTAGGATGCACAAGAGCTTGATCATATGTAAATTATAGTTGTAATGAAACTAAAAGTTAAATACCTTAGTTGGCTATCCTTTGCTGAAATTAAGTATATAACACTTAAGTTTAAAAGAGTAGTTCACATTAAACTATTTGAACTAAATAAAGTATTGATATTCTTTGATATTGTTGTCATAATATGATCATGATAAAATAAAAGTTAATGCATGGACGGCAGTACCTGTCTAAGGACAGTGTTTAGGGACTGTGTATAGCAGATTGGGTGCCGCTGCTCTGCCTCACTTAGGTCAAACTGTGGGGGCAAGCGAGCCAGGATCTCACAAGCCAGGTCGCATACCACCACTGCCATGTCCCCCGAAGCATTACCACCAAGCTGAGGCTCAAGTTGCAGTATTCCTCGAAAGAGCTGCAACACGTATTGTGTTATTACGTAGTGGCAATACACAGCAGATATGTAAAAGGAAACTTTTCCTACAAAACTAAATAGTTACTGCTAAAAATGCTATCTTAATTCTCTTTGCAAACTAAAAATGTTAAGACTGCACATATGAGGAAAGATAAGCAACAATCTTCTGCAGGACATGCATTTATCAGGAGCTTATTATCACAAGCAATGCCAGTGATGAACATTGTTCATTAACTATTCACAATTATATGAAATCAGCACGTGTGCAAATTTTCCTACAATGTTAAAAACAAACCTATTGCTTCCATTCATTCTCATTTAATCATCTCCTTTGGAATTCAGATTTTTATTTTTGAAATATGAATTCCAGAAGGGAAACCTTGTGGGTAGATTTGGTCCAAATTTTAAACGGGGTACTCTATACGAAGGTCTGGATTTTTGGAGGTGCCATTGTATAAGCAGGCAAAAACATAGCTTACACTTATAATTATTCTATGCTACCATATAAATAATAAATGTTAATATATTTATCTGTTTCCTGTAAATATAATAGAATTAACCTGATCAGTTTCTCGGTGGTCTTTAGCAAGATCAGCGTTTTCGTGTAGGCCAAAGACCTGAGGCGGGGCTGACAGTGGGAGGCTAGCAATGTGGTCGACGTAGTCCTGCCAGGTTCTAGCTGAGGGCACCTGGTACCCTTCTACACCACACACCTTATATCTGCAGTCATAAAGAATGTGATAAGTTAATGAAAGCTTATAGTATCTAATTTTATTGTAAAAATCATAATTTGATTAAAATTAAATAAACCTGTATATTTAAAACCTCCATTCATATCAATGGCAAAAGTTAATCACACTTTAAATCTCACGTCTCATCAATAATGAATTCCTGGTTGTAAAAATTGGCAAGAAGGCAGACGAGTAGGCGGCGGTCTCTGGAGTCTGTGACACGTCCTCCATAGTTACATTCCCCTGTTAAGTACATCAGCGCCTCCAAGGGCACTTCGTCTCCTTCACATTCAGTCAGTAGCATCTGTTAGTGAATATATCTGGGAAATATGACTAATTTCTATAATACAGTACACACTATACAATAATCTTTAAATAGCACATAGATTTAAGTGTAAATTTGCACTGCCTAGTGTTTCATTATGCTACCCTGTATTGTATCTGTAATAGTTACTGTAGTTATGCTTTGCATCTTTACTCCCGGCAATCTCTTCCTCTTTAATCAAAGATACCTACCTACCTACTCAGGCTATCAACCTAACATTCAATTTGGCCAATATCTCAATACTGTACCTGCAGTTGCCTCACACTAATTTTAATGTCTGATTCATTAAACTCATAAGGAACATTCCAGCCAAGTGGCCCAAAATTTCTGCGTTCCTGGATAAGAGCGTGAAAGAAACAGAGGCCATACAGGAGACGCTGGAATAGTGGCTGATTCTGGCATGCACTGAAAAATTCAGGATCATTGATGGGATCACTGTGATAGGACTTGAGCAGGTTGGCACGAAGACCTCGTGGGGGCTCGTTTGTCATCTTGATCCCTACAAATAGTAAAGGTTTTACAAAATAACACACAAATTTAAAAATCAGTTTCACACTGTCTTCATGACTAATAAATCACTATTTTCAATATTCTATTTTTATGTATTGAGCAAGTTAAAAACTATGGTATACTTGGAGTCAAAGGATGAGGTTATCTTAAATTCCATGGCTAGGTTTATCACTGAATCCAAGGCTAGAGTCATCTTGGAGTTTAAGGTTAAAGGTTTTTGGTGTTCCTAGGTTAGAGTTATCATTGAATCAAAGGCTAGAGATATCTTGGAGTCCACTAACCATCCTGTAGCAGCGACACAGGAAAAGCAGGCGAGGGATAGCTAGTGAGCCACAGCCGGAAGCTTGGGTGCGTTGAGCAAGACTGGAATATTTGGCTACAAATTATTTCGAGGCGAGTCATCCAAGACTCTGCCAGGTGACAGTTCTGCAGGACCACCCACCACCCTATCTCTGCCCCTTGCTGTATCATGCTCTCCGCCAGTGATCCCTGTCGAAGTCTTTCATTATACACTCTGGTGCAGGTAAGAGTCATAACTGACAGTTATTATAATGTTAGGAAATTATAGCATTAAAATCTTTTACTTAAAAATTTAAGACAATGTTGCAATGAATGCCATATTTACACAATATTTCAAGAGAAGTTTTTTTTTGTAAAGATGCATGGTTTTTAAGGCAGTGCAACATATTTGCAATATTTACTGACCTGTCCTTGACCTAGGGAGATGACCTGCACGTCTTCCTCACCAATTCCTTTCTCCCCAGCAAATCTGAGAAATTTATATGCATAATGTACAACCACTAAAGTGAAATGAAGCAACTATATTTAAATTAAAAAACTCCATATATTTTGCATATATTCAGCACTGAATATGCATTCCCATATTTTTTTTTAAGTAGGTTGAATATACGGGAGGGTAACTAATATCATGGATCGGCCCCAAAACTGGGTGTTAGTGGCTTTGCAAGAACGTAAAAATACCAATATTATGTAATCTCACAAACCCTTTGTACTCTCTTGTAAATAAATTATTATTATTTTCTGGGGGAGCCCTTACAGCTACCCGGAGCTTACTAGGCTGATATGCTAATGTCAGACTTTGGCATCACTCATTTGTATGGAGTTCTTATGGGCCTACCGGGGACCACGAGCCCCCCTCTAGAGAGGCAAGGGGAGCAATGGCCTAAAGAAACCCCCGTGTGATTGGAAGCATTCTGTGTCTGTCATCAACCGGGTTAGGCACCCAGAAAGGTAGGTGTCCCAAAACAAACTCCTATTCTGGTGAAAATTGCAACCAAAAGCCGAACGAGTGGATAGAACTCCCCAAACAAAAACAAGCAAACTAGTATGATATCACCCATCATTGCGCCGCTGTCTGCGCAGCTCCCCCCTCCCTGGGAGGGGAAAGGGGTAGCCCCAGACCCACCGCACCGGCGATCCACACCCCAGTTCTTCAGGCTGATGCTATTGGCTTGGTTGTCTGCTCTTGCTCCAGTCTTTTTGCGGCGCTGTGCCTTGTGTGTGGCGGCTGTACTCCAGGGGTGCGAGAGTCGGGAGTTATTCTTCAGTACTTGGGCTGCATGTGCCTAGGGTTCCCTTCCCTGGGTGCCTTGTAAGTACTGCCCTTGGAGCTTAGGGTTACCTTCCACAAGTTTCTCGGGGTCTGCCTCTGTGGGTCCATTTAACTGCTCGGTTTTTCAGCCGCCCTTTGGGTACATGGGTGTTTTGTCTCCCTAGTTTACCTTAGGGTAAGAGGCAGTTTTCGCACTAGTAAGGGGTGCAGGGTACTGCGCAGCTTGTTGTCACTTATCACAGCGGCTGACTCTGTTCCTTGGGGTATGTTGTCCTCTTGCGGGGGTTTTGTTTTTCTTTTTCTTTTTGCCTTGGTGGGGGCTTCTGCCCTATTTGCCACTGGTGTTTGACCCCTCACCCTGATACTTGGTGGTGCCCCCTGCTTGGTCTCCGTGAGTGTACACGTCCCTGGTGTTCAGCTTTAGATAGTTTGTTTAGTAGTTTTGGGTGCCGGTTAGCAGTACACTGCCTGGGTTTACCTGAGCATGAGTCCTCTTCAAGTAAACGCTCAGGACCCTGGGCATCCCATAGGGGATGCGTGGGTCCGATGGATGTGACCCCGGGGTCCCCCCTTGCTTCATGCGGGTTTGAGGGTTGTTCAGTCCCCTTGTCTCAGGGCGACCCTCACTGTTTTTGCCTCCGTCATGCAGCCTGTTGGGCCAGTGACACTTTCGACCTTGAGTCCTGTGAGTATTGCTGCTTGCTGGTAACTCAATTTACCCAATCTGTGGATGATCGATGATCATCTTCGGGTACAGTCTGCGCAGGCATTCTAGGTTTTGTTTGTTGCAACACGCTCAGTTGGTTGCTCACCCGGATGCCCCGCGGCTGCCCTGATTTGCTTATAGGGACCCAGACTTGAGGGTGGAGGTTGCTTCGACCCTGGTTCAGTCTGCACTTCCTAGTCCTTCCCCTTCTGTTGTTCGTTCTGGTCCCCCTCCCCTGCTTCCAGCCCCGAAACGTCTGAGGGTTTCGGAGTCGGGGCAGGAGTTAGTTGGTCTTGAGACTCGAGCAGCCTCAAGGGATGCTCCTTCTGGTGTGGCGACAGAGGCATTCGAATCTCCTCCCCCGGCCAGCCTGTGGTCTATCCCCGTGCCCATGACATCCGCAAGTTCGCGGCTCTTGCCACCGTCTTTGGCAATATGTCCTGGGCTGACATTCGGGTGTGGGGATTTTGGTGGTTGAACAGGGTCCAGGCTGCTCGTTACCTTGTAAACGTTCCTGGGCCCAGTCGGGACTGTGTCACTTTGGGTCGGCAGATGCAGCCAGTTGTCTCGACTTCGGGTTGAGGAGTGAGCAGCAACCGCCTTCCGAGTAAGTCCCTATTCTTTTCCTCTGTGGGTAGTTAGCTCCGGGGAGCTGTAGGGGCTCCCCCCAGAAAACTAGCGTTGAATGTAGTGAAACGCCATTTTCTGGGCGAGTCCCAGAGGCTTCCTGGCATCCCTCTCTCCCTCCAGTCGGCATTTTTTTCACGCGTTTTGACATCCAGCCTCAGAACTGGGGTGTGGATCGCCGGTACGGTGGGTCTGGGGCTACCCCTTTCCCCTCCCGGGGACGGGGGAGCTGCGCAGACAGCAGCGCGACAACGGGTGACGTCATACTTGTTTGCTCATTTTTGTTTGGGGAGTTCTATCCACTCGTTCGGCTTTTGGTTGCAATTTTCACCAGAATAGGGCTTTTGTCTTGGGACGCCTACTTTTCTGGGTGCCTAACCCGGTCGATGGCAAACATAGAATGCTTCCAATCACAAGGGGGTTTCCATAGGCCATTGTTCTCCTTGCCTCTCTAGAGGGGGCCAGGTTCTGGATCGTGGTCTCTGTTAGGCCCGTAAGAACTCCATACACATGACTGATGCCAAAGTCTGACATTAGCATATCACCCTAGTAAGCTCTGGGGAGCCTCCGGGATTCACCCAGAAAATGGGGTTTCATTATTTTCAACGCTGGTTTTTGTTAAGTCCTTACTGTAATTTATCTACTTAAAATTATCTGTACCTGTAAAGTAAAACTGTAAAGTACTTGTAAAAAAATTTTGTCAATTTTACTGTGAATTATCTACTTAAAATTATCTGTTAGTTTAAGGACTTGCCCGAAATGCTATGCGTGCTAGTGGCTTTACAAGAATGTAAAATCAACTTCATTCTATGTTCTCTCTTAACCCCCAATGTACATTCTTGTATATAAATAAATAAATAAATAAATAAATAAATAAATAAATAAGTGTGAGGAGACGAGTACCTGCGGAGTGCAGCTACTGGATCGGTGCCAGGGGATAGGATAAAGATGAGTGGAGTACTGCAGGTGGAATCATCGTATGATGATGAAATGTCAAACTGTGGGGGCGAAAGGTACCTTTCTCCCAGCTGCTGAGCTATGAGGTCCTGCATGTAGAAGATTTAATTGTTTCCAGTACACTAAATATTTACATACACTGTGGCAAAGCAAACATTTAGCTGTACCTGCTATAAGCTCATTGTGCATTAGACACTGGATGGAGATCTTAAACATTTTAATAAAATAGCACATTTCATATGGTCTCTGCAAAAAGTATGGACAATAGTTTAAGTATACTGTGAAGTATCTAAGACATAAATTGATAATACTTATATGAGTTGTAATGTGATTAAAATACATTCTTTGATAGAACAATATAATTGAAACTAATGCAATATTGAAGGATGGTTTCTAAATCGTCTAGCTGTAGCTGTCTTTCTAGAGGATAGGTTAAAGCCAATTTTTCTCTGGAGAACCCTGTCGGCTCCCTGACGCTATCTGAATTGATATGTGCTATATTAGTTTGAGGTCATCAGTCACAGGAGTTCTTATGCCCACCACCAAATCCCTGGCAAGCAGACACGCGGACTGACTGGGAGCCCAAACCAGCCAGTCGTCGAGGTAAGCCAACACCCGAACACCTAACCGACACAGAAGGGCCACCACGACCCGGGTAAGGCGTGTGGACATGGGGACGGGTCTCTTCGGTCCGTGGCTCTATGGGGCGGGTCGCTTCGGGTAGCTCTGCTGTGGCGCCGTCACCTGAGTACGAGGCCGTGGCAGTGGACACTTTTCTGCAAGAGTGGTCATGGTGGGGGGTTCCTGTACCTCTTTTCTCCCGGTCCGGCTGATGCTCTGGGTTCTGGCTCGACTTGAATCCTATCTGGGGAGTGTGATTCTCCTGGCCCCATGGAGGCCAGCCCAGCCTTGGTTTCAGGTGCTGATTGTTCGGTATCCGAACCTAGGAGTTTTTCTGTGGCTCAGCAGGTGTGGCTCATCTCTCTCAGCAGGTTGGGCTGGTGAGATACCTTGCTGTTTTGACTAACTCTTCTGCTCGTCGCGTCTGGTTTTGCTGCAGCAGGTGTTTTGCCATTTGTATGGTAATCAGGTGGCTTCTTTGATGGTGTCCCACCTGCTGTCTTTGACTCAGCGACAGTATGAAATTTCTTAGTGATCTTTCCACCATTTCCTTTCCCTTCATACAATTTTGTCTGTGGCGGTTACAGTTGTTTTGTACTTTCTCTCTTGGCTTATTCTGGACTGGCATTTAATGCCGAAAACTGTTGCTTTTTATTGTGCGACCTTGGTGGAGTCGCAGCAGCGTTCAGGGTGGATGTCGTTTCTGCTCAATTCTGCAAGCTCTCTCATGCGGTTTTACCCCTCTGGCCTGCTCATGCGCTGCCCAATGCCCAAGACATCTTGGTCTCTGGACCGGGTTCTTTCCTTCTTTCTTCTCCTCGGTTTGCCGTGACCCTTTCAGTTTGAGATTTTTTTGGAAAGCCTTGTTTTTGTTGGCTCAGGCCTCTGGGGGTCAGGTTGGGGAGCTTCATGCTCTTCTCTGGCGCCAGGGATTCCGTTCATTTGGTTCGTTTGCAGCTGTCCCCTTCTTTTCTGGCGAAGAATATGACGGCTGGCTTCCGGAAGGTTTGTTGTTGCGGAGGCTTGGTTGGATAGGCCGGGGGTTGATCACCATGTGTTGTGTCTGGTGGCAACTTTACGTCGTTAGCTATGGGCCACTGCTTCAGTAATGGTGGATGCACTCTGGGTGGATCAGGTTTCCATAGTTCTCTGTTACAGAGCTCGAGTGTCTCAGGTTGTCTGTGGTCTGCTCTTATGCCCGTTATGTGAAGTAGTATGCTGCTCTTGCTGCTGTCTTTGATATTATGTCTTGGGTCGACATTCTGGCACAGGTGTTTTGGAGGTCGCACAGGGTACTGGCTGCCAGGTTTCTTGTATGCATCCCGGGCCCTCTACGTCCTTCTGTTGCATTGGGGAGACTATTGCAGCAGTCAGTCTCTTCTTTGCTTTGAGGTCTGCGGTGCTGCCGCCTCCCGGGTAAGTCTGTGTTTTACTTATCTGTGAGTAGTTATCTTCAGGAAGCCAACAGGGCTCCCCACAGAAAACCAGCATTGAATGTAATGAAACGCCATTTTCTGGGCGAGCCCCGGAGGCTCCCTGACAACCTTCCTACCTCCCTCCGGTCTGTGGTCTTCATTGTTCAAGACCTGGAATGGTGGACTGCTGACTCACCTGAGCTGACTCCCCCTTCCCCTCTATCGGGTAGGGGGGGTGGTTAGCACTAATGAGTGGTAGTGCTAGTTGCTTGTTTGTTTTCTTTCTGGGGGAGTTCTGCTATGTTCAGATGTAAGTCGTTATTTTCACCAGTTTGTGGTCTCTCTAGTTTCGCCTCTCTTGCTGGGTGGTTCCCCAGTTGATGGCAATTACAACATACAGTACTTTAAATGTAAAGTGCTTGTAAGCCATTGCTCCCTGCACCTCTCTGAGGGAGCCAGGTTCTGTCTCGTGGTTCCCAGTAGGCATAAGGACTCCTGTGACTGATGACCCCAAACTAATATAGCACATATCAGTTAGGATAGCATCAGGGAGCCTCTGGGGCTCGCCCAGAAAATGGCATTTCATTACATTTAATGCTGGTTTTATATATTACACAATACGATCACTAAGTTTTCAAAGTCTCGCCAAAAATAACTGTCCACGACATGTGGCACAGAGAATAAAAATATGGAACTACAATATGAGGGAATGGACACAACTTGGAAGTGATAGAGTCAAGATTTGATGGGAGTATAACTTCTACCCTGACTATCAGCAAACAGATCCACAAGGAAAAGCAGTACAGGAAAATGCAGACTTCCTTACAGCATTATGTACAGACTACTAACCTGAGTTCATCTGAATTTACATGAGAGCCACCATACCTTTAGTTGACAAATTGGGGACAGGAAGCAGATGGCTTGTTAAAGGTGTCCCCCCCCCCATATTTTTCCTGATGATTTCATCCAGTTGTATTTTGAATTGAAGCACTGTCTTGTCATTTACAGTTTTGGCAGGCAGGTACTTCCATGTGTTTATAACTATGGGGAAAAAGCATCTCCTGTTTTCTGCCCTACATTTTGGGTTGTTGAGCTGGAAACCATTGCTCCTTGTATGTGATACATTTGACTTTTTAAAGATGTGGTCTGGGTCAATATTCTCCAAACTGTTCAATATTTTTAAAGTTTCAATGAAATCAGTCTTTCATATGCAGGCGATGAGTCACAATAACGTGGCTGAAGTATGTTGACCAGACCACACACTAGAAATTGAAGGGACGACGACGTTTCGGTCCGTCCTGGACCATTCTCAAGTCGATTGTGATGAGGACTGTCCCTACCTGTCCTCATCACAATCGACTTGAGAATGGTCCAGGACGGACCGAAACGTCGTCATCCCTTCAATTTCTAGTGTGTGGTCTGGTCAACATCAGTCTTTCATGTCTGACTTGCAGTGTTAGTCCTGTGACCCTCAACCAATCCTGATATGAGAGTCGACTTAGTTCTAGGTTGATTTTGGGCCAACCTTTATATACTCAAGAACTGTATTTAACAAAATAGTTACAATATAACAAATAATTGTAATGAGCTAGAAATTACCTGAATTGCTAGGGTGACTTTATCAGGCCTGATACACTTGAGGAGAGCAAGACGATGGAGACCTTGAAGATGGTGGTAGGGGTGAGGAAAAGTGGCTTTATGGGGCACTGCAGAGCTGTACACCTTCTCCCAGGCCTCCAAGTTGCTCACTACATGCTCCTTAATTCCAGATAAGCTGCTCACCATCACCAAATTGTAAAAAATTAAATATTATTAGAGATAGTAAATGACTATCAAAGTTAAATGCAATGTATTTTATTTAATTTGCTCTGAGTTTTGTTAAAATGCATACTAGCGCTGCTAAATTCAGATGTATATGATATAACTATAAATAATACATAATAGTGAGTTACCTATCAAGCCAAATTTCTTTATAAGAGGGGATGATGGTTTATATTGCAAACATATCTAGGTGAATTCATCTATGTGGGTACATCTAAGTGAGTACAATAAGGTGTGTTTATTAATGTATTTATCTGAATTTACCTGAAGGCCACTATCCTTAGTGAACTCAATGGGGACAGGAAGCCAGCAGCTTGTGAAAGATCCCCCAATAAATGTGAATACATCTAGGTGAATGCACCTAGTTGTGCACTTATAGGCAAGTTGTAGATGAGTACATCAGTATGAATACATCTGGGCGAGTACCTGTGACAGTCAGCAGCCTGTACCAAGCGGGCCCAAGCCTTGTCAGAGAGCCAAGGCGCTGGGGAAGGACCGTGTGGGTTGTCCAGCAGGCCATTCCCACCTGTCAACAGGAACCTCCACACGTCCTCCTCTACTCCTTCCTGAAGCATACACATCATCTATATACTCCTCCCTGACACATACACATTACCTGTATACACCTTTTCACAACACATTACAAAACTTAAATAATTTGCAAATTATCAGATCATGGTGATCATATCAAATATTTTTCTTCTCTCTTCTAGTTTTGGCATATTTAATGCCTATAGTCTCTTTTCATAACTCATTTTTCAGTTCTGGAAGCTATTTTGTAGCATGCCTTTCCACCTTTTCCAGTTTACTTATGTGCTTCTTAAGATACGCACAACATACAACTGCTGCATATTCCAATTTTGGTTTCACAAAAGTCATGAACAGTTTCTTTAGTGTTTTACCATCCATGTAATAAGAAGTAATTCTAAAAATGGAAAGGGCAGCATAATGTCCTTTATGTGTTCCTCTGGTGACAGTCTACTATCCAGAATCACCCCTAGATCTTTCTTTGTTAGAGTTCTTTAATTCCTTTCCATATAATTTGTAGGTTGTGTGTCTGGTATTTTCTCCTATTCTACATTCCATAACATGGCATTTATTCACATCAAATTTCATTTGCCAAGTGGTGCTCCACACACTTATTTTGTCCAGCACCTCTTTAAGGGCATGACAATTGTCCAAGTTTCTTATCTTCCCTAGAATACTTGCCTCATTAGCAAACATGTTCATATAATTCTGCATTCCTTCTGGTAGGTTGTTTATATAGGCAGTAAACAGTACCGGTGTAAGAACTGAACACTGTGGTACTCCCCTTGTAAATGTATGAATGTGCCATATAAACCTTAACAATTACCCAGCTACTACCTCTGCTACACAAATGTAAGTTAAAATAGTAAAGTTGTGTGTGTTTATGTGAATAGTACTACAGTATTTTAGTATTATAGCACTATCACCACATTTACATTATATGCACATTAAATATGCATTAGCTTCAAGCCAATGTGCCAATAAATGTTTAAGCTGAGTACACAAACTTCAAGAGGAAATTACATATACACATTAAGTTCAATGCACAATATTATGTTCAATGCACAAATATGACCCGATTATTTTTAAACTAGCAGAAAGATGACTGAGTTACCAAGCAGTTATCGCCTATGAAGTTAACTGGTAAGTATTTAGGCACTGTAACCTTCTAAACATCATTTGACTTTCGAATATGCTGTGCCAGATCAGTTAGTTACAGGTTTAGACTGAAGCTTAGCTCTATACCCTGATGGAAATTCAGTACCTGCGCTTGCTGGAGCCTGACACACAGCATGAAGGAGAAAAGAATCTTGTCTCTCTCGAAGAGTGAGCGACTGACAGAGAGGAAGATGGCTCGTGTCAAGTGGGTGTTGAGCAGCTGGATTCTTATGTCCACATCCTCACTGGTGTCAGAGTTCCTGATAGACTGAATATATCAATTTTTAAGTATACAGTACTACACAAAAACAAAGCGCAACAAGTCCTCATAAACCACCATGTCTATCCAAACATCATTTTAATTAAACAAGTCTTTTCATAAATGAGTTATGGTACTTAAATTATTAACAATGGTGCCTTCTTTTGTTAATAATTTACTTGAAATATTAAAAAGTTACATATTGAGTATTCCTATTTAAACTCTAAACCTTCAATATTTAATTAAAGACCCTAAGGTATCTCCTTAAATTATGTGTCACGCTCTCAACATGCCTCAGATAAAACTGAGAGAGAAGGTAGAGGTATATATAGTATTTTAATGCTTCCTAGGTTGATACACTGTATAATATGTTAGAAATACACAGAGCATTTTTATGAATTCAAAAACTAGGCAATTTCATGGTATGGTGACAGAGTTAGTGTTCAACTACAGCAAGCTAAAGTGTTACAGGACTCAATTATGACCACACTAATATCTACAGGCCAAAATTGTTGCTGCTTGATACCTGCTTGATATCACTGTGAAATTAAGCAAATGTCCAACCACAAAAGAACTCAGACAGAAGAATGACAGTACAGTAATTACAGATGTACTGTAAACAGTGATCGGGTGTAAAACTAGACTTAGGCTCTAAATTTCAGGTCACTTCAAACATAGCCAAAAAGAAAAAAAAAAGGTTAAATTTGGGGCCCTTCTTCCAAGAGGAAGAGAAACACGTATATCAGGAAAAGGAGGTTTCAAACAATACAACCTAGGATGGTAAAAACTCCATGTGTCAGAAACTGAAAAGGATTTGAGAGCATATAACACACAACTAAAAACACGAAACATGTACAGTATAATGAATTAACATTGTTTAGAATGCTATCGACTACTATCTGCTACATATGCAAGACAAATTTTTAAAGTTTACAACATCTTCATTGAGCTATCATGTTATTAACCACTGTGCTGCTCGGGCTCCAAATATGGCACCCCCGTCCCCTTGTGCGCAGAAAGTAAATTCTTGGAAAAAGACCAATTTCACTTCTAATATTGTTAAAATGCACTCTGATCATAGGAAACTAAAAAAAAATATTGTATGTGGCACATTTTAACCGTGATGGAGCTGGGAAGTTGAGCAAATTATGCCCGCTGAGTGATGGAGCACTCGGGGTCAGTCAGCTCCACCGTGGGGCAGCAGTTGCCGCGAATATAATGTTTCACAATTATTTTGATGTTTCTCATTTGGTTCTTCTCTGTTTTTTTGCTGTAATATTATTTAAAAGTGAGTAATTTGTGGAATTTATATAGTTCAAAGTGTGGAACAGCGCTATGCTCAAAATTATATGGTTCATATATGTGATATATATATATATTATATTCTACGATCAATCAAATAGTGTTTTTGCTGTTATTACACTATATACACACATTGTATATACCCATCTACATATGTGTTCACCATAACTAACCACTAAGTTGGTATGGTGAGCCCAAAAAACAAGAGTGAGCTGCCACACCCAGCCAGTCCTCCCTCACTCCTCCAACACCTTACTCGCCAACATTCCTCCTCCCACCGTACTGTTATTGTTTTTATTACACTATTTACACACATTATGTATAAGTATCCACATGTTTTATTCACCATAACTATACAACTAAGCTGGTATTGTGTCCAAACAGCACAGTGGCCACCATACACTGCATGACAAGTCACACAGCAGATGACGACGCTACAAGTACAATGCCACCTCCCTCACCAAAATGGCTCCTCCCAACATACTCTTGTTGCTGTTATTACACTATATACACATACACATTATATATAAGTCTCTACATTTGTGTTCACCAAAGTGAACCACTAAGCTAGTATGGTGAGCCCAAACAAGAGTGGCTACCACACACAGTGACGCTACCTCGATTCCCTCCCTTCTCGCCAAAATTCCTCCTCCCACAATACAATGCACAGTGCTAATTATCACCACAATCCTGGTATTATCCTAATCCTGGTCACTAAATCCTCTAAATGAATAATTGACCAAGTTTATTTTGTAAAGGAACATAAGAAGTTGTTTGAAGATTCCTAAATGGATGAAATAATGCTGTGGTGCTGTGGCTAGCACTGTGAACATCTTGAACAGCATTGATTCACTGATATTTGAACATTGCACACAGTCATTATCACACTCAGGCTCTTCTGTAATACCATCATGGCTAAATAATACCAGTTACATATATATTTTGACATTATTAGGCAATGCTGTGGTCACAAGCTAAACAGCAGTGCTGTGAGCTCATGCTACATGCAAGAGCCTTGGTTGCTTACTCAGTACTGAGGCTTTCACACCCAAGAATGTTGCCCATGATTTTTTTTTAAATGGCATCTGTTTACAAGAGCCCTGAGGAAGCTGATGTGAACCCCATGTAGCTGCGGGAGTTTTGAATCATACGCTATACCTATAAGATCTCTGAGGCGCGTTGCTCACCACCTGTCGAGCGCCTACAGGCACGTTGTGCAGTGCAGTGGTTAAGCACATAAAATAGCTCAAGCAAGATCAGAAGCATACCAATGTGAGTTAGCAGGCAAGTACCTAATGTTTTTCAGTCTTGATGGCTAAAATATTACCACACCTTGACATAATCCTCACTGAAAATTTAAAAAACATTAGATCAAAGCCAGCAAACAAATTTATCATGACAATCATCATTGTTCCCAATTAAATATTTAGAAACAAACATTTTTCAAATTTCTATGATTCAGGCACTAAGTAATTACTAGTATTATTAATAAATAACAAAGTGCAATTACTGTACTTGCAAACAAATTTTCTTTGTTTTGAAAGTGGTGTTGTTTTCCTTTCAGATGGTGAAGCAGTAATAATAATAGATAACTGAAACTGCCACAAGAATAAATGAATTATTAAGGTGCATAACTTAGTAAAAAGGCAGCAGTAAGTGGAAGTGGTGATGAACTGATATGGAATTCACTTGTATTCAATCTTATGATCAGTCCTGACATTGTGGTCATCTCCAAGCAGTAAAGATCATCTTTTCGTAAGGAAATTTCAGGATGGTGTTCATTTAATGATTATTGTTAAATTGATAGCACTATAAAGTTTTGTTAATACATCTCAAAAGTTAAAAAAAAAATACAAATATTTCAATACAGCACCAAAATCAAAAAGCTGGTAATACCTGAAGGTAGAGATTGATAAACCATCCGAGAGAATACTGGTACATGGGTTCTATGGCAGCCATATCAGACACACAAAAGAACAGAACCGAGGCATGGATTGCAACAGGTTTGTAAGCTCCCCTGGCAGCATCAATTTCTTGCTCAGTCTGCTGTACCACCTCCTCTTTAGCTGATATTTCCTGTGAGAGTACCTGCAGTGTTCCAGAATTTTGTTTTAGTATCTCTTATCTGCACAGAAATAAGACAAATTATCACCTGTAATGAAATGCTCTGCAGGTCTTCTTAGATAAAACAACATGTCTTTCTCATAATTAAGACACATACACTTTGGAGTTCCTAAGAGCTCCAGAGAAAAGCAATTTAGAAACTACAGAATGCACTGAGAATAATGTATAGTTACAATGGAATGGAAACTTTCTGCTTGAAAGGAAAATATCACACTCACTTGTAGAGTCTTAAAAGGATCAGCACAACCTCTAGTAATGGCCGTAGTAATTATTATACCTTCCAAAAGAAACTCACCCTGCTGGATGACATGATGTCAATAGCCTTCTCATCCTCCAGAAGATTCTGACCAGCAGTAGACAGGACCTCAAGAATTTTCTCCTGAGTCTTCTGAAGGGCTCGCCTATTGTTGGCTGACTCTACAAGCAAACGATTCTTACGCTCCTCCAGCTGTGGGCGCTCATGAGCTACCACCAGGCCCAGTAGCTGGTTCTCCAGTCCCATTTTTGTAATTAGAAAGTTCAGCACCACCACCTTCCACCAAAGAAAAATAAATAAATAACTATGTACTGTATATGCATTTCTGGGCTTAGAAAAAGCTTAGCTTAGTTAATAAATATGACATGAGTGCACTATATATGAGAGAGAGGATATTTGAAACAGTGAAGAGCTTCTAAAGTGACAAGAGGAGGCCTTTAAAAACATTACAGTGCCTGTATTGTGTTTGAAGCCAATTCTGCTTTCATTATGGAGTAATGACAGGAAAAAGTATATGTGATTGGTTTGGAGGGTTAACTGATGTGTGACAAATGTGTGAACCACTGGGAAATCTTATATACTAACAACACTGTTTCAATTAGTGAGACATCAGAATTGCAGTTATTGTGAATAGCTTTAATAAAACATGAAAGAAGAAAATATTTAAGCACCATGTAAATTAGTTAGATTGTGATATTTGACAATCACTTAGTACAAGATATGAATGATGGACAGGATACCAGCACCTGCAACATTGCTACTTGGTAGAAATTTTAGTATTGATTAGACACACTATCAAAGGCTTTAAAATCCCCAAATATTATTTTACTTGCTCATTTCTATAATAAAATGCAGGCATGCAAGAAGAAGAAGCATGACTAGAAAGAAAATACCGTAGTAAAATTAGATTTCCCTATATACCAAATGTTTCTTAATTTTACTTTCATTCATGGCACTTTTGAACCCAATTAGCTGACCTCACACTTTGGTTACAATATTTATTATGCATATACAAGAATGTACATAAGGAATGTGAGGATACAATTATGGTAATTACAGTCTTGTAAAGCCACTAGCACGCGCAGCGTTTCGGGCAGGTCCTTAATCTAAGAAAATTTTAAGGAGGTAAATACTTGCAAAATTTATAGACAAAAATGATAACAGATTACATGGAATGAAAAAAAAAAAAGATGAGAGAAAATTATAGGTACAGTATATTAAAGCACATAGGTAGCTATGATTGATTTGACAGCTTAAAATGGTAGTTGACAACAAATTGGTAGGCACATACAGCAGAAACAATATAAGATTGATTGCAATGACAGCTTGAATGGTAGTTGACAAAAATTGGTAGTCACAATACAGCATATGGCTAGCACATAAAAGAAGACAGCAATGAACACAATGATAAGGTTGTTTGATATTACATAAAAATTAGGAGATTGGGTACCACTAGGTACAGAGCAAATTTAAAGCTCAGTGTAGGAAACTAAATAGATGAAGTTAGGTACTTTTTGGTTTTGCTTTTAAATAAGGCAAAAGTTTTACAGTTTTTCAATTCACTAGGGAGTGAGTTCCATAGACTAGGTCCCTTAATTTGCATAGAGTGTTTACACAGATTAAGTTTGATACATCTGTCCAGGGAGAGTTTCAGAGCATGGTTTGCATTTAAGAACAGGGTTTTGTTAGTTGACACAAGAGAATGTGTGGAGGGAGTTAATATTTAGCAAGTTTAGAGATTTAAACAAGGGAGCTGAGAAAGCAGAGTTAGTTATTATTCTGATAGCAGACTGTGTGATGATGGGCTTAAGGTGGTTTGCAGTGGTAGACCCCCATGCACAGATACCATAATTAAGATAGGGGTAGTGAGAGGAGAGCAGAGTTAGGAACATAATATCTGATTTTGGAGAGTATACCAAGTCTTAGAGACTTTCTTAGTTATGTGTTGAATGTGGGTGTGAAGTGAGTCTCTTGTCTAGGAATAGGCCAAGAAACTTGCCATCATTTTTATTACTGATGTTAATGTTGTCTATCTGTAGCTGAATTGCATTTGATGATTTGCTTCCAAATATGTAGTAAGTCTTTTCGATGTTTAATGTTAGTTTGTTCGTTGACATCTAAGTGGACTTTTTTTAATTCATTATTCACAACATTATTTAGTGTATGTGGGTTGAGGTTTGAGTAGATAAGGGTAGTATCGTAGTAATGTACAAACGAAAGTTACTGTTGTACTCTGTTACTGTCTCTCCAAGAAGCACATGGTCGACACCCTGTTGCTTAAATGTCTGCTTCAATAATACCGGATCTGGTAATGGTGGTAGAACATACATTGGTATATATTTTCACAGCAGTATGTATTGCTCTAAAAGTCATTTGTTTACAGACTTTAAGGTTATTATATACAAAGGTTGTCAAAAAAAAAAAAAAGGTACAAATATTTCATTTTGAAATGGTTATAATAATCTATCTGGAAGAAATAGCAAAGCAAAGATTATAAATAGTGTCACTTAATCCTACTGATATTTAAGTACTGTATAAGTGAGACTGTTAATAAGAATGTAGAAATTAAAGAAAAAAAATTGGAAAACCACTCCAGTATTTAATGTTTCAAAGTCACAGCCATTCTTAAATCAATGTTAATTTCCAAAAGTTATCATATATATATTCTTCAATATTGGTTTATTTTACATATGTAGATATATTAATATTTCTCATCTCTGAATTTATTGTCTAGTGATGCATCATAACAAAATTGCCATGAATAAATTATCACTTCTCACTGCAAGGCCTAACAGGTAGACATGAAATCTTTACCAAGTATGGGGTCAAAATCCTCGCCAACTCCTTCGATGAGCATTGGAAGTCCTTTCTGCAGTGCCTCTTCTAAAACTCTGATGAAGGAGGGGTCAGTCTGTCGTACCACCCGCAACCCATTCTCCTTCTCCATGTTCACCACCCATTTATTAGCCTGGCCTGGCAGTGAAAAATAGATTGCAATTACATACATACATGTCAGATACACAGTCTTTTAGCAATTGGAATGGAAAAATATTAGAGTACAGTATGTTGTCTTTTCTGAAAAACATTGTTGACAGTACTCTAGTGTCATAATACTACAGATGGAATACAAAGTGATAAGACCATGTGTGTATGTTAGGGCCAGGTATGGAGAAGAGCCTGATGTGTAGTATGGTCAGGTGTGTGGTTTGACTGAAAGTGTGATATGGGCTAAAAACACTGCAAACCAGGCATGACAGTGGGAATCTCATTGAAATTTAAAATACTGAACAAGTTAGAGGATGTTGATCCTGATATTTTCTTCAAAAGGTCAGATGTAACACAAACAAGGAGCAAGCTCAACAAGCCACAATGTAGGACTGAGAACAGGAGACGCTATTTCACCCATAGGGTTAATGACACTTGGAACTGCCTACCTGCCGAAGCTATAACTGCCAAAACTGTGCTGAATTTCAAAATATACCAGGAAAAGATCAAGATAAATGGGGGGACCATCAACAAGCCGCCGGCTTCTTGTCCTCATCGAGGCCACTATGGCTGGTGATTCCTCAGGTAAATCAGGTATGTCATTAGGATGACTGAAATGTTATCATATGTTAATTACTTTATTATGTCATTTACTTCATAAATAACATGCAATTTACAATTACTGTAGTTGTTTATCTGATAAGGTCGATCACACATCCATCTTGCACCCCCCATCCACACCCCAACACATACATACATACATACATACATACATACATACATACATACATACATACATACATACATACATACATACATACATACATACATACACAGGAATGTTCACACACTGTATGTATCAGACTGGAAGTGTGTTACTAGTGGAGTGCCACAGGGGTTCAGTTCTTACACTAGGAATGTTCATTTTCTATTTGAACAGTCAACCAGAAGGAATACAGAACTGTAGACCAAGTATGGTCAATGTATCAAGAAAATGTATCAAGAGTAATATAGTTTGATCCAAGTTCTCAGAAGTTCTATTGCAGGCAATTAAATGTTCCCATTAATCCCACACAACTTCTCCCTAAGAATTCCACAGTCCAAGAAATTCTACGACAGGCACTTAATGGTTCTCCAATAATCCCATATAGAACTGTATGAACATTTTCGCTGATACTAAGCCACTATGGATGATAAGAGACGTTGATAATTGTCAAACTCTCTTGTCCTTTTTCATGGACAAAAATACAATTATTTTCTCCAGGTCATGGACAAAAATAAGTATGGAACTACAATGGGCAAATAGAAATCAAAGAGAATAAATGCCATGCTATGGAATGTGGAATTGGAGAAAATAGCCACACACAAACCAACAAATTATGTGGAAAGGCATTAAAGCACTCTGACAAAGGAGATCTAGGGGTGGTTCTGGATATTAGGCTGTCACCAGAAAACTGCATAAAGGAGATTGTGCAATATCTTGAGAGATCTTGAGGTTATCTTGAGACGATTTCGGGGCTTTAGTGTCCCCGCGGCCCGGTCCTCGACCAGGCCTCCACCCCCAGGAAGCAGCCCGTGACAGCTGACTAACACCCAGGTACCTATTTTACTGCTAGGTAACAGGGGCATAGGGTGAAAGAAACTCTGCCCATTGTTTCTCGCCGGCGCCCGGGATCGAACCCAGGACCACAGGATCACAAGTCCAGTGTGCTGTCCGCTCGGCCGACCGGCTCCCCTATGCAAGGAGCATATGTTGCACTTTCCAGCTTCAGAATCACTTTTAAATACAAAGGTGGTGAAATATTAAAGAAACTGTTAATGACTTTCATGAGACCAAAATTGAAACAAACAGTGGTTGTATGATGCCAATATCTCAAGATGCTCATCAATAAATGGAAAAGATGCAAAGACATGCTACAAAACAGGTTCGGGAACTGAAAAACATGAGCTAAGGTGAAAGGCTGAAGGTGTTGAATATCCCAAAGGCCAGAAGATAGAAGAAAAAGAGGCAACATGATCATTTCATACAAAATAGTTACCAGAATCAATAAAATTTACAAGAATTCTTAAAACCTGCAATTTCAAGAGAATGAAGTTAAAAACACTAGTGCTGATAAAATATTAGAAAGTTCTTTTTTACAAACAGGGTGGTGATAGCTGGAAGACATTAAGTGAGAGGTCAGTGGATGCCAAAACCATAAATTGTTTCAAAGTGTCATATGACAGAGAGTACTGGAAAGATAGGACACCATGAGCATGGCTCTCATCTTGTAAATTTGCTTAGGTAATTACACTTAGTCAATTACAAAGACACACACATATGCCACCAAATTGCAGGCATGGCCACACAAATGGTTACTAGACTCCAATTCAGACAAGTGCAAAATCATGAGGTAGAATGGGGCATAAATAAGAAAAACAAAGGAACATCTTCAACCATGTCAAAAGCTGGCTTCAGAAATGATTAACAGTGTTATTTTAAGTTGGTATTTATGTGTCAAGACTGACCCTGGGACCGATCATGTGGGTAGATTTACCTTGTTGGTCTATCATGTAGCAAAACTTATTTATTTATTTATATATATACAAGAAGGTACATTGGGTTTATGAGAGTACATGGCATTGATGATTTTACATTCTTGTAAAGCCACTAGCACACATAGCATTTCGGGCAGGTCCTTAATCTAACAGATAAATTTAGGTAGGTAATTTGTAGCAAAATTGAAAAATGATAACTTAAGCACATATCTTATGTGAGTGGGTTACACAAAATACAGTGCAAATTTGAAATTTACCTTAACCTGGAAGTTAATCATGTGGCAACTTACTCTAAGGGTTGATCATGTAGTAAAAATTATCAAGAAGTTGATAATTTAAAAAGACTTACCATGAGGGATGATCGTGTGGCAAAGCTTACCTTGGGGGTCGATCATGAGTGGCCAGCGGCGGGAATGAGCCACGATGATGGCACTGTCAACTGAGAAAGCATCAACTGGCAGTCCTGCAAGCTGCCAGGTTCGACTCTGCACAGGATCACCCAAAGTGTCGTACAAGACGAAATTTGAACTACACGAAATTCCTAGTTCCTGGCACTTCTGGTGCCAATCTTTAAGACATTCCTGTATAAAGAATAATGATATAAACTGTAATTTATATGAACTGATTTACACATTATATACTAGAAGTTTACGTAAACATTATCAAACTATTAGTAAGGAACATACCTCCCGGTACTCAACAGTAAAAGCTCCAAGGTAGGCCACAACAGCTGCAGCGATGAGCACATCTCCCACCACATTCTCCAGGCTCTCGCTCAGTTGTTGTGCCGCATTACTCCACCTGAGAACATTGGGAGGGTCATAGGACAAGGAATGTGATGGGGTACGGTCACAATTTTTTTTTTATTTCTATACACAAGAGTTCTTAAATTCTTGTACAGCCACTAGCACACATAACATTTCAGGCAATCATACACAGATGTTTTTTACATAGCTTGTTTTTTAATTAATAAAACTATAAATCATTAGGGAAGGCTGGACTAAATTATTCTAGGTTGAGCTGCACTAAATTATCCTGGGTTAGGCTGGGTTAAAGTTAGATTAGGTTATGTTGATCTACGATAGGTTAAGTTTAATTAGGTTAGATTATGTTGGGTTAGATTAAGCCAAAAAACTAAATGAATAAATGTGTGTAAAGAGATAAGGAAAAATTAAATAAAAAAAGATACACTGAATTAATATTTTTATCCTTGAAAGAGGGTGGTTAAATTATTGGAGGTGAAACAGGATTGGAAGATGAGAAGGTGGGGTTGAGGAAAGTAGAGTGAGGGGGTAGACAGTTTGGAGGCTTTTATTGAAGGTAGAGTGAGATACGTTGCTGAAGGTAATGTAGATTGAGAGTGGGCAAAAGTCCCACTGGCTACTATTGTGACAACTCCCCTCAGTATTTAATTACCTAAGTGTAGTTAAAGGATGAGAGCTACACTCGTGGTGTCCCATCTTCTCAGCACTCTGTCATATACTGCCTTGAAATTTTTGATGGTTTTGGCATCCACTGCCTTTTCATTTAACTTGCTCTAACTGTCTACCAATATGTTTGCAAAAGATAATTTTCTTAATAATTTTTGGCACTTTTGTTTCCTTAGCTTGAAACTATGGTTTCTTATTCTTGAAGTTGAAAGTGTCAAAAATTCCTCTGTTTATTTTGTCAATTCCTGTTACTATTTTGTACAAAGTGATCATATTGCCTCTTTTCCTTCTATTTTCTAGCTTGGCATATTTAACACCTCTAGCTTCTCTTCATAGCTCTTGTTTTCAGTTCCAGATCCCATTTGGTAGCATGTCTTTGCATTCTTTCCTTTTTACAGATGTGTTTTTTGAGATGTGGGCAACATGCAACTGCTGCATATTTAAATTTTGGTCTTGCAAAAGTTGAGAACAATTTCTTTAGCATTTCACCATCCATGTATTTAAGAGAGATTCTGAAGTGACACCTGTTGTTGGAGTGTCTTGTACTGGTAAAACTTATTTACAAATACAGGTATGATTATTGAGGGCATAAAGGATGCTATTTACTCTCGTACTAAGAAACGAAGTTGCCTTCCTAGTGATTGGAATATCTCCTTATATTGAGAAGGCTAGCCTCTATCACATTTAGTTTAATTTATATTTAATTACATTTTTCTTCTAACATGCTTATTTTAATATAGTTCTAATGAAATTAACTTATTTATTTAATAAGTTTTTGGTAATTATTTTATCATGTGTTTAATTTGATTCTACATACTGGGCTACAATGAAGAGGAACAAGAGTAGTACCCACCTATCCCGCTCACCACCGAGGCCGCCGATGAGCCTTTCTGATCGATCCCTCTTCTGCTCACACCTGACTATGGAATCCTCCAGGTCTTTCTTCTCCTTTTGTTTTTTGGTAAATTCATCATTAAGGGCCTGAAGCTTGTCTGTCACCTGGATAAGGTATTAAAAGCAAAGAAATGTTTTACACACACACACACATATTTTTTTTTATATTATATTATATTATATATATATATATATATATATATATATATATATATATATATATATATATATATATATATATATATATATATATATATATATATATATATATATAAATATATATATATATATATATATATATATATATATATATATATATATATATATATATATATATATATATATATATATATATATATATATATATATATATATATATATATATATATATATATATATATATATATATATATATATATATATATATATATATATATATATATATATATATATATATATATATATATATATATATATATATATATATATATATATATATATATATATATATATATACATACATACATATACACACAAGAGTTCTTACATTCTTGTACAGCCACTAGTATGTGTAGCATTTCGGGCAAGTCCTTAATTCTATGTTCCCTGGAATATGACCCCCACGAAGAATCGTTTTTACAACCAAGTACCCATTTTACTGTTGAGTTAAAACAGAGCCCATTAAATCCTCCCCGACCAAGATACGAACCCAGGACAAAGTGCTCGAGGAACGACAGGCAAGCGTCTTACCACTACGCTACGGACACTGCGTAAGACATGCATATACTCAAGATAATCAAGATTTTTTAACATATCAGTTACAAAGAATGAGGTATGTATTTTATTCTGTACTAAGCCTAGATGCAAGATATTAGTAGGCTATAACTTGAAAACAGTCTAGAAAACAATTCAAACATTACTTCTCTCAATTCTTTCCTCTTCTCCTCCAGCTTCTCATTTTGGAGAGCCAGTTCATGGTTAGCAGCCTCTAATGCCTGCTTCTTTGGAGCCACAATTTTGATCACCTGGTCATAGACGACCATGGCTCGCACCCATCGACATAACCCTTCACATGCCATTGACACCATCCGTATCTTCTTGGGGTCAAAATCCGGGTGCGAGTAGAACCTGGTAGGAACATGCAGTTATTGACTTATCATCCCCATGGTATATGAGTTTTGCCAGAAAACAGTACTGTAATTATATTCATAACTTATATTTATAATGGCTTACTTTGTTTGATTATATACAGTATGTTAGCTATTTTTAACTATATATTTAGCTGTCAAATTTTTTGGCAAACTACATTGCCAACTCATTTTGCAATGAACATTGCAAACTACATCAAATTTACAGATGACACTAGGATCTATGGTAAAGCAGGAAGTGAAAATGATATTGAAACTATACAATGACTGGTATATTAAGCCTAGCATTTATTTTTATTAAGAAAAATGTTTTGTCTTAGTTAAAGTATCAGTTTGTTTAATTTCTATTAATTTTTATATTTCATTTGTCAGTGTTTGCAAGTACAGTGTATGCATTTTCAAATGTTTTGAAGAAATTAGATATTAGGAACCCACTTGTTGCGGACGTGCGTAATGATCTTTGTTGGGATGCTCTCCTTGTCATAGACCAGCAGGTTTTGGAGGAACTTCATGTCCCCCAGTAGCTTCTGTGATGGTGCCCAGAAGTCTTCCACCATTTTACCTGAACCACTGGGGTCTGGTTTCCTGTCTGGCTTGAGATCCAGCATAACACACACAGCTTCCATCACCTGATACAATAATAATAATAATAATAATAATAATAACAATAATAATAATAATTTATTCATAAACAATTCTGAGTCTGATTAAAATTTTGATATAGTAGGTATTTACGATGCAGTTAAATATCCGTAATGTTTGCAAAAGACGTGTGATTTGGAGACTCGCCTCACATTTATAAATGACAAACAGAAAAGAAAGTAAATATAGAGTCATTTATTTGGCATAGGAGGAAAAAACATATAGATAAATACATGAATAGAGTGAATAGGTGACTAATACATGAGAAGCAAAGTGACAAATACATACTTGGCCAGGTGTCATATACACAAATACACGAGTGGCACGATATCAAATATGTGAAAAGCAAAATAACAAAGATGAGTGGCAAAGTGACAAATACTATATAGGAGACAGGTGACAACTCGGCTTCGCCTGGTTGGCAAAAGATATCATTAAGTGACAGGATAGTTAGTAAGTTAACCTTCACTGCTGTTGAACATATTTCATACAGTTGCCAGCAATTTATGCTAGGACAGGCCTCCAATAAGTGCTTCTGTTAGATTTGGGCATTTTATGTCCATGCAATAGTACAAAATTAACATAGCTTAATGGTGTCACTCAGATTGGTGAATGTGCAGCAACAAGATAATTAGGAGAAAAAATAGTTTGAGGTTCAACCTTTCCCCCCCTCATTTTGTATGAAGTGTAGAGGTAGCAGGGTTTAGCAGGGTGGGTGAAGAGATATGTACTAGCAAACAATCCAAATCATAATTCAAGATTAAACATATATAAACAAATCTACAAGGGCCATGATGAGGGTTCGAATCTATGTCCGAGAGGATCCCAGACGAGCCTTAATCATTTGTTCAAATTTGTTCATATGATGCATTACGCTATTGTGATTTCTGTGTGTAATTAAACATATATAATTACAGGCACCATAAAAAGTTGGCTGGAGTACAATCATAGGAACTATGCAATTATGTAAGAAATAAAGAGATGCATATGGAGTAGAATCGGGAAGCATGTGCACAAGAAGTATAATTAAGAGTTGCAGGGTCATTTGAGTGTGTGAATGTTCTGCAGCTCAGTGTTTCAACACTTTCAGTTCCCAGCAACAGATATTGCGTCCATAATCAAATCTATGGATGTACGGCAGAGACGCATTTTGCATCCAAAATTAAAATATTTGTTAAAATTCCATTTATTGTTTTATTATTATGGGACTAGTTTTCAAATGTGCACCTTTAGATTGTGAATAATTGATACCAAAATGAACAATGTAGCATGGAAATTGAGGTCAGAACACTGGAAAGAGTATACACATTTTAGTGTGGGTGCGAGCTCCTGGGAAGTGCCAGGCCCACCTTAGGGTGGGCTGGGGGCACGCACACCAGACTGCGCAAAGTGTTAATTTATGGTACACTCACGAGTTTGACCCCTGAGGGTGGATTCTTCATGGCCTTAACAACACGGATGTCGTCTTGCTTGAGAGTGTTAAGTGCTTCCGTGGCAGCATTGAGAGCTGGAACTGCCTTGGCAAGCTCTTTTTCACAATCATCCTTGATAGCTTGAGCATCTGCAAACTTTCTGTTGGCTACTGCTTCATCTGCAGCCACCAACTGAAATCAGAGGTTTCCTTCGAATAAATATTCAATAAAATTAAGAAGTGTTAATTTTTTTAGTGGGACAGAGTAATTTCAGAGATACATGCATGTGAAGACACATTAATAAAAAATTTAAGCAAAGAGAATGAAAAAGTGTTCATGCATATGGATCAACTTAACATGTATTCTTGATTGTATTTACATTTTTATTTATAATAATAAAGAAAAACATCTGTCTGTTTATACAAGTACTATATATTTGTAAATTACTGAATGGAATTCAACCAAACTTTGCATATTTAGCCCTATTCAACCCATGAAAGGTTAGAGACTATATGTAGGCATCCAACTGCTAGGCTCTCTGCCTTCAGCAATGATTACTATTTTGTTCATTTACAAACAGAAGACTGGTCTTTGATCCAGGGTTCACAAGGAGAGGGGAAAGGGGGGGCACTAGAAGACCTCATATTCCTCAAAAGTCAGGTTCTGAAATGTCTAAGAGATCCAGTTGTAGATTAATAATTTTTATTAAATTGAATTATGATCATAATGAGACTTTGCAATGTTTGTAACTAAGTATGAACCAAGGAAATTTGATTTCTGGGGAATACCATGGACCCAAGTGAGTAAAGATCTTGCAATGTTGGAAATTATGTTTAATGAAGATGTTACAGTGATGGAAAAAGAGTGGAGTAAAGATGCTACAGTGCTAAAAATTGTAGTGTAAATGTTAAAAGGCTCATTCTTTAAGTGGGCAACACCGATTACCTCAACTCATTAGTAATAATCAGGGTTTTAGATTAGTAACAACTACAGTACAGCCAAACCTCTTTCTTCCTCTCGACTTGGATGGTGTCTTGTTCGATCTTAATCATAAGTGCCTCAGTGTTGGCTGAGGTCTCCACCAGACGAGGCTGCAACAGTTTCAGCTCTTCCTGAAGTTCTGTAATCAAGAACTTTGCCTCCTTCAGTTTCTCAAGACCAGTCACGTACCTAAGGAGTAGGAATAGTTAATAGCAAAATTGGTTAATACTGTAATATAGTAATAATATTAATGATACAAATAATATAGCATATATATACAGTACTTATATATTTACAGTATATAATTATTTTACATGCAGCATTTCACGCATAATTGAAGTTGAATAAATTGAGTTTTACATCTTTTGGGGTAATATTTTATACTATTTGGGTATATGAGAAGTGAGCTAATATATATGAATGGCAAAGAAAATTTTGTCACTGATATATTGTACAGTTTTTTACTAATACTTAATGAAGAAAGGCAAATACTATTATATTTCAGATTTTGTAGGTTTAGAATATTGATGCAATATTTAATATTCACAATAACAGCAATAATATTTGAAGTTTTGCCCAAAACTCTTAGCATATTAATGGCTTCATTTGCATGAGTAACTCCTCTTTGTACAATTGTCTCATCCACCGGCTTCCTGTTCTCATCAAAGCCACAAGTGTTAGTGACTCTCAGGTAAACTCAGGTAAACTTATGTTCTTTGTGTACACATTCTTATGAATAAAATTGTGAACTGTGGACCATCGATGATGGTCCATTCCATTGGTGTCCTTCCTCTGGCTCTGCAAGGTGGATCACTTCACATCGGTATGAAACTGGCGATTTGCTTCTTATGTGGCTCCATTTCCCAATCAAGAAGCTTGCATGGTGGTTGCCTTTTGATTGGACCGGAGGAACTGGGGGAGTTCCTTTATCTCTTTCCCCTAGTTCAGTTGTTGCCTTGGGTGTTGTACAAGATGGAGACTTAATCTGGCAAGGTGATCCTTCTGAATCTTGGTGGCTGGCTCAGCTTTTGTTCCAGCTATGTTAGTCTGGCATTCATACTCAGACATTCTAAAGGCTCCCTTTCCTTCAGCAGATTGGCCCAGTGATGTACCTTTCTGGTTCGACATTCTCCACTATTATTTGGGTTTGGATTTTCTGATGCAGGTCTACCACCTTCTGTATGGTGGTGTCCTACCTGCGTCTTTCGGTGCAGCGACAGCATGAAGTTTCTTAGCACTCCTTTCACCTCTGACAAAATAAAGTTTGAACAGATTTTTACTTATAATAGAAACATGCTAAAGAATGCACTATATGGTGTTGTGAACCCCAGGTAGCCTAGTGAGGTGGATCTATCCTGTGAGAGTTATTCTACACACCTGACTGAATTTAGGAGCCAGGGGGAAGGAAGTAAACTAAGTTAATTTCAGTGAACTATGACTACAAGAGAATGAAAGCAGAGGGCGATACAACTTAATGAAGCAGTGAAAAGAGCTGTAGGAGCCTCACCTGTCCCTCAGGGTAAGAATCTCTGAACGCTTCTTGAGAAGCAGCTGCTTGAAGGTGAAGACGATCTCCAGGTAGGAGGTGGGTGTCACATAGTACCTTCGCCGAAGCTGCTCGTAGAACCTACCAGACACACACTGCTTATTATTTCTGTATACTATACTCACATCTCATAGATTAGTGAAAAAAAAATTGTGTTCAACATATGTATCGTGAACTGTGATCTAGTCATCTGTCATTGTATGCCATGTAAGTGGGCACAAAGTAATCACACCCATTACTATGTCTGATTCTATTTATATGCATAACTCACAATATAACAGACATTTCCTACTTATGTAATGTTCCAAAATTACAGCCTAGTCCCCCCCCCCTCCTGTTATGTTGCTTTTCTTTTTCATAAATTCATGTACAATATAACTATACTTGTACTTTACTTAAGACTATCAAGTTAATGCCACTGTTACTACCTCCTATAATATATATATATATATATATATATATATATATGTATATATCTAACATATATATATATATATATATATATATATATGTACCTAGTAGCCAGAACTCACTTCTCAGCCTACTATTCAAGGCCCGATTTGCCTAATAAGCCAAGTTTTCCTGAATTAATATATTTACTATAATTTTTTTCTTATGAAATGATAAAGCAACCTTTTTTTCTATGTATGAGGTCAATTTTTTTTTATTGGAGTTAAAATTAACGTAGATATATGACCGAACCTAACCAACCCTACCTAACCTAACCTAACCTATATTTATAGGTAAGGTTAGGTTAGGTAGCCAAAAAAAGCTAGGTTAGGTTAGGTTAGGTTGGTTAGGTAGACGAAAAAACATTAATTCATGAAAACTTGGCTTATTAGGCAAATCGGGCCATGAATAGTAGGCTGAGAAGTGCGTTCTGGCTATTAGGTACGACATATATATATATATATATATACATATATATATATATATATATATATATATATATATATATATATATATATATATATATATATATATATATATACATATATATATATGTATATATATATATATATATATATATATATATATATATATATATATATATATATATATATATATATATATATATATATATATATATATATATATATATATATGTATATATATATATATATATATATATGTATATATATATATATATATATATATATATATATATGTATATATATATATATATATATATATATATATATATATATATGTATATATATATATATATATATATATATATATATATATATATATATGTCGTACCTAGTAGCCAGAACGCACTTATCGGCCTACTATGCAAGGCCCGATTTGCCTAATAAGCCAAGTTTTCCTGAATTAATATATTTTCTCTAATTTTTTTTCTTATGAAATGATAAATCTACCCATTTCATTATGTATGAGGTCAATTTTTTTTATTGGAGTTTAAATTAACGTAGATATATGACCAAACCTAACCAACCCTACCTAACCTAACCTAACCTACCTTTATAGGTTAGGTTAGGTTAGGTAGCCGAAAAAGTTAGGTTAGGTTAGGTTAGGTAGGTTAGGTAGTCGAAAAAACAATTAATTCATGAAAACTTGGCTTATTAGGCAAATTGGGCCTTGCATAGTAGGCTGAGAAGTGAGTTCTGGCTACTAGGTACGACATATATATGTATATATATATATATATATATATATATATATATATATATATATATATATATATATATATATATATATATATATATATATATATATATATATATATATATATATATATATATATATATATATATATATATATATATATATATATATATATATATATATATATATATATATATATATATATATATATATATATATATATATATATATATATATATATATATATATATATATATATATATATATATATATATATATATATATATATATATCTATACATACATATATACATATATACATATATATATATATATATATATATATATATATATATATATATATATATATATATATATATATATATATATATATATATATATATATATATATATATATATATATATATATATATATATATATATATATATATATATATATATATATATATATATATATATATATATATATATATATATATATATATATATATATATATATATATATATATATATATATATATATATATATATATATATATATATATATATATATATATATATATATATATATATATATATATATATATATATATATATATATATATACATATATATATATATACATATACATATATATATATATATATATATATATATATATATATATATATATATATATATATATATATATATATATATATATATATATATATATATATATATATATATATATATATATATATATATATATATATATATATATATATATATATATACATATATATACATATATATACATATATATACATATATATACATATATATACATATATATACATATATATATATATATATATATATATATATATATATACATATATATATATATATATATATATATATATATATATATATATATATATATATATATATATATATATATATATATATATATATATATATATATATATATATATATATACCTCGCTAACACTACCTGTTAGCAAGGACTTTTATGCTGTGATGGAAGTACTTGCAGGCAGTGACACAGCGGGCCACCAATGATGTATCCATCTGCACTTCCTGTAGCAGTGTCGTCGCCACCATCTCCAGTGCCTCGTCTGGCCAGGGCATGAACCTGCTCCACATCGAACATTAAAAAAAAAAATCCTTACTATACTGCAATAATATATAAGTAGGATGTGTGTTCTGAATTGGATTATTTGTGAGCCTTATTAAGGGACTTGTAATTCAGGAAAGAGGGTAGTCTAAGCTACTCTAACCCTTTGAGATTTATTTTATTGTAATAATAAATCTACTTGAACTTTAATGCAACGATATAATCCTCCATACCACCATAAAAGCACAGGATGATATATACACCAAAGTGTATTCTGCTTTTCGTTGTATAAATCCTAAAATTTACATTAATCTTGAATTATTTTTATGACTAAAATATATATCAACAAGTCATTATGGTACCCTTAATAATCTTCAAATGGTTACTAGGCTTAAAGCCTAATACTAAACTACTAAAATATTATTTTCAGCTATATGATCATGATATTGTCCTTAACTTCTCCATCTAGATAAAAATTATTGTATGCACTGATTATTATAGGTACATTAGATAAGGTAATACTAAATACCTCACTATCACCTTCCTAAACAATGCATTGACACAAAGCTGCTCTGAACTATATCATCACACTATTTTATAGTATATATAATTGTATTATCTTACACAACAAAAGTAAAGCATCATCATGCACTGCATTAATACATCAAGGTATAATATACCAGTGCAACAACATCATGTTGTTGTTGTTGTTGCTGTTGTTTTAGATTCAGCTACTCAGAACAAAAAGTTCCAAGCAGCATGGGTTATGGTGAGCCCATCGTACTCACCTGGCACAGATGTCCAGATGTGAGAGGATATAAGAGAACACATTTTATCCCATGTATTTCAGCTGTACTCACCAGTCTATAGTGCAACAGTTGATGAGAGAGGGGAACATCCTGAGCCTGGTCCTGAAAGTGTCACCTATAGGGGACATGGCCACCACCAGGTGCAGGTTGGCCCGCACCCGCTCATTGAAGTACCCGAATAGGGTCATTGGTGAGGCATCCATCTTCTTGCCCTTGGTGAGACAGAGGCTATGTTACTGCACAGAGGCTGCGCTTTTTAGAGGAATAACAGACAGGCTAGGGACATTAATAAATCATAATATGTTTCAATAACAGATGTCCAAGTTAATATTAGTTAAATTGGGTTAAATATTAATTATATTTTGCTCTATGTAAAAATAATATCTTGGTGAAAAGTAATACATAATTCATTAACAATACAAAAAAATATGTTAATAAAACATCATGTAAGATTGTGAATCTATCTGAGACAAGTTTTTGTTGAACCGTGTACATATTCACATGTTAAGCAAATATGAAGGTAAATACAGTATATACATACATAACCACTGTAGAGTGGGTGACAAAAAAAGAGGAGTTTAGCAATGTTGAATGTAGGTTATCATCTAATAGACAAGGCCCAGCAGTTGATAATGTTGTTTAACACAAGTAAGGTCAGATGTGGAGCAATATGTAAAAATACTTTGTATTATTCAATGATTTTGATGCTTTGCATAGCAGCATTTTCTAAGTAACTTCTAGTTTTATTTGCTTCATTGAAGAGTGTCACATTAACCTATAAAGTGCAGCTAGGATATTCAAGCATGTCTGCTCATGCGCCAAAAAATACCAACATACAAATAAATATAATATAATACTATATATACTTATACCAGAATCAGGGAACATAAATATGCATCGAGAACCAAAAAATATCAACACTCTTTGCATCTCATACAGTGACTTACATTATACTATGGACTGAGTAAAAGCAAAAATGCTCAACAAAAATGATGTAGAGAATGAATTACTATTCAAAGATCAAAATAAACAATTGAACACAGCAAAGAATTTTAATAAACTTAAAAAAATAAAATCCCTGGATACACTCTGAATTATTTTATTTCGTCCTAACACTTCTGATCACACTGTCACACCTCCGGTCCATGACTGACTCCTCCGGTCCATGACCGACTCCTTGAAACTCACATTTTATACAGAACACCCCGCTAAACAATGTTAAATTCCTTCATTTTATCTACCAGCTGTATATATTTCGTTATTCCTTCATGTATTTTAGAAACTTGTGAAAGCTTGTTTAACGAAATGTTGCCTGTCAACAATTTTGTGTGGTGATTCATAAACACTAAAGTAATCAAAAAGGGTGTGAAATCTTGAATATAAATTTTGTGTGTAGATTATGTTATAAGAAGAGAAAGATATTAATCTTTGGAATATTTTAATCTTTGAGATGCAGTTTGGTTGTGAATGTACTAGTATATAAAAAATAGATCATGTAATGTTTATGTCAGAAAAGTTACTATTATGTTGAAAATCTGATGTAGGAAATATAAGAATGCATATTCAGACAAATTAAAATAAAATTGTGATAATTCACTAGGCACCGTTTATAGAATCTTGCTAGTAAACAAGAGTTGAATGGAAAGTGTAATGTCATTTTGTGTGCACAACAGTGGCATTAATTTATAAATTGAAACCACTGAAATCCTTTAATCAAAGAGATCGCCCTATGACAATTCTCTACACCTTAACACTTGTCTCAAATTGCTGCACTTCAGCATCTCCTCACATATATCCTACACTCAATGTAGCTCATTCTATTAATGACACATGCTCATATTCATAGCTCTTACAGTTATGGACAACCTAGTTTACTCAAACATGTTCTTCCTCATTCAATGGCAATCAGTTTCTGCAACCATGTGATATATTTTTGCATGCCTTTTTTACCACTGCTAATAATACAAAGAAAGTTACAGATACTGACAGGATACAAAACTTTGATGCTTCAGTGAAAGGGATCACATAAGTGTTGGAGTTAGAAACTATTGTTTGAGGGTGTTCAGGGTGCAAGGAACCACAGCCACATCCTGCTGCTACCAAACACTATACACAAGCCAATACAATTTATAGTGCACATTAAGAAAAATATCTTTATAGCTACAATAGAGGAAGTAAAAATGTTATGAATAGCAAAATCATCATAACATATTGATCCTAAGACCTATTACTGGATCAAATTTTACAGACTCATCATTGAATAAATCTATAACAATAATATTTGCACCACTGTTAGCAGCAAATATTCTTTATTTTTCCATGTTTATTTTCTGCCCGAAACGCTTCGCGTACTAGTGGCTTTACAAGATTGTAAATACTATGCTATGTATTCTCACAAACCCAATGTACCTTCTTATATAAAAATAAATAAATAAATAAATGTTTGGTCATAATTGTATATATAGGACAATTGGGTATATGGTAAAATAACAAGTGATATTTGTTAGAACTTAACTTCTGTAGTAAAAGTGGAATCATTAGTTGGTATATTCATGTCCCAGGCCTAGATCAATCTAGGGGAATATTGTATATAGAGTTAAATATGCCATGGATACAGATAACTACTTATGGTGCACTTAAAATTCTTAAAACTAATTTTATCTACAATTATGAAAATAGTGATCACGTGGCTAGTTTGTCACAACTCCTGTTTCATACATGATTATTTATCAAATTTTTACAGCAGGCTACATTAGATATTTACAATGGGCTACCCTATGAAATTAGTGATGTTTTAAGCTGATGCTGCTTATGCAAGACTGTGAAAGATAGGAACTAGAGAGGAGATCTGTGTCACACCAGCATCGCTCTCACTGTTGCATGCTCGGTGTGGCACAAGTATACACACACACACACAGACTATCTACCCAACAGAGAACAACTCCCTGTATTTAGGGGTTTTGACCATACTAACATGAGGTGCTCTAACATTGGGTGCTCAGGAAGGTCTGAAATCTGATCATGAAAATTTAACTTGGATCTCTCCAATTTGTTTATAGCATGCATTAACTTAACATTCTTACCACGTCAAGACCCTGGAAAATAATGTGTGATTTAGACACTAAGATTTAGATAGTTATTAATGGTGTGTTCAAGGGAGGAGCATGGCTGGTGAGATTATCACCAGGTCCTGGACCAAAAGCACCTGTTGCATAAGGTGGGCACAAAGACCTGTGGCATCAATACCTCTGGCTCCAGTACTTGGGGCAACAGCACCTGGGAAACCAGCAATTGGACTAACAGTACCTGGATCACCAGGACCTGAAGCACCAGTTCATGGTCAGAGGGTGACAAAGACACGCCTCCACACTCCATCCTAGGTCACCATATTAATGCTATAACTATAACATTCTATACATTATTTATTGATATTTTCTAAAGAAAATTGTAAACAATTTGATGAGTTATAACAATTTAAAAAAAGACCATCAGATAACTATTCAAAAATGTATTTATTCAAAACAAAGAATACTATACAAAATAAATGTCAACTTTTCAAAATAGTCTAACAAAATCTTTACATAAAAATATCGTACAAAATAAATGTTCATGTACAGTATCTATAAATTAAAATTTTATGTTGACAGTTGAAGTTCAGAACATGCAGGGAATTTATTAACGTGCATATCTTTAATCATTGCTTTACAGTTTAAAAAATTAAAGGAAAAATTAGAGTTAATTCTTATGCTATGCAGGCCAAGACAGTGAATTCTAGTTTTATGTTCTAAAATAACATTTTGCATTGAAGACATCACCTGCAATATGACATAAGAGAAGAAAGCTTGTATTTACAGCCAATATTAAGGCTATCAGTGAATTTTTTCAAAATGAAAACCTCAGCACACATATGAATTCTTAATTAGTACATTGTCATAACATACAGCCCATCCTCATAAACAAAAGCAAAAAGTGATTCCATGCACCTACCAAACCCCCCTGTTTATGAATGAAAAACAGTTTACACACGACACACAACTGATGAGATTTGAACAGTTCTCGAACAGTGCTTCTCTGACAACTTTTGTTCAAATTGCAACTCTGTAAATGCTTGACCCACATACTACAAATACAAATAATCACCAACAGAACCTAGACACGTAACCTAACCAATGCATAAATATGCCCAATATGCTAATATATAATATTAATTATTAAATAAGAAAATTTCTATTTTGAATGAACAGCATGTTAAAATTTATGAATGCATCTTTGGGGTTGATCGCTGGATGGAATGAACATAAACTGAGGATGGGTTGTAGCATGAACAAAGTACAGTTCTATACTGTATACCAAACACTTATCCAATTATCAACAGTCAGCATGCACTTGTGTACCTCCTACCATCCACAAGACAGAACTACCAGTTTACACCATACATACTGCCCCAGCAAACCAATCATGATGGAGGGCAAGATTGTCCAGTTCCCTCAACAGAATAACACCTCATGTTTCTTCATCTAACATGAAATCTTTCACCTCTGCCAATATGTATTCATTTTTCCATCTCTCTCCAAAAATGTTGAAGTGTGCTTCAGTAAAATATGTCCTTTAGTGACATTTTCCAATTCCTTTCCAAATGAAGAAAACCATAAACTTATGGAAGATTCATGTAAGAATCATTGACCTAATCTTTTGTCATATTAGAGAAAACAGCATTGAATGTAATGAACTGCTTTTTTCTGGTGGGTCCTCAGTGGCAACCCGGTTGCTAACCAACTGGATAGCTCCACACACATCACACCAAGCCCTTGCAAGTCATTAAAACACTACTGGGAGTCAGCCTAATTCCTCATATGTCTCTCATTCAGAGATTCAGATTCTCCTTGCTATTGTCTGTTTTGTCTTACTCTACCCTTCTAGTGTCTTATTTCTTTGTTAAGGTGCTCTAGCATTCTCTGCTCTATGTGCCTCTACGAGGGGGAATAAGGTTTCGCCATTTGGTCTTTAGAAGGTTATTAATGGCTCAAAAGCAAGGTCCTGGTGTGACATGTCTGGAGTTATACAGATGGTTAGCAACAAGGAGCCCTCCTAGAAACATATATATACAAGAAAAACTCCTTAAAAGAAAACAATTATATTATATAGTATATAATTCATTATCAAACAATTACTCTTAATCATTACCATTAATTACCAAAACAATTACAGTACTCAAAAATTCATATAAATGCATGTAAAGTATTTCCTAGACAAAATATAATAAACCAAAGATGATTCAAGCTGCAAGATACTGTATATCCTAATTATAATCCCTTGTATCAACTGATCAAATTTATATTTGGTGAAATCTGGATCAGACTGAAATACAGAATGCTGCTTACATGATTACATAGTAGATTCAAATGCCATAGAATACTAAAACACAAGCTATCAGATGCTTATACAGTATTTGTCATTTCATCTGATGAATTATTATTACATACTATTAAAATGATTTCTTTTTTACAGATATAGGTGTTCATTTTATTAACACTCACCAATGTATATAGCTTAGATGTAGCAGCCAAATGTTTTAAATTAATACCTCAATCACCCCTCAATCAGTATAATAATGGTGCCTCAAGGGCAGCAAAGGCAGCAGCAATACAGTATTATTTATATCATTATTTTCATGTATAAATGAACAATATATATGAATTTAATAAACAAGACCAATTTTACATAAGAATGATCACTTACGAAAAAATTAATTTTAATTTGAAGAGTAACTGACGTTCGTAACTGTTTATTTCAACTATTTGTTTGCAGGTTACTTGCATCATCCAAATATTAAATAACTGATATCATAATTCTAAATGACTATAATGTTAAGGTGATATATAATTTAGAACAATAGGAATAAAAATACATATGAAGATAACAGTCATACCTCATCCTTGGCAACAGCTTGTATTTTCTCTAATATTTCTGCCTTTTCTTCATTGGTGTATAGATTAGGCAGCTCCCCCGTATTAAGTAATGTGTTTATGTCCTCCAAAAAACTCTCATCTTTGATCTGTGTATCAGTGAGAAGAAACACAATGGACTTCCCGTCGCCTCCAGCCTTCATCAGCACTTTTTTTATGTCCTCCCGCCACTCTGCTACACCATAGGTCTTTGTCACCTCTATCTGTGGGATTGCATATACAATTTAGAATATGTTCTTTTTATTTATTTATTTATTTATTTATTTTATTTATTTATATATACAAGAGATCTTACATTCTTGTACAGCCACTAGCATGCATAGCATTTTGGGTAAGTCCTTAATCCTAATTTACTCTCACACACTCACATCTTGGGAGTACTGTATCTGCTCTTCCATTCATATCATGCTTATAACTTTTACAATAATTCATTATATTAATAATTCTTTGTGTCGGGAGACAGGCAGTAACCAGTGTATTCAGTACAGCACACCATTAGGCTTATATCGAGGTCCCCACTAATGACTCTTTAGGATGCAACCCCACAACAAGCTGACAAACTCCTGGGTACCTATTTATTGTTAGGTGAACAAATCCATTAGGTGAAAGGAAACATTCTAACCATTTCTGTCCTGCCTGGGATTCGAACCCAGATTTCCCAGCTGTCAGTCAGGATTGAACCTAACTGTATTACCAGAGCCCCTTTAATCCATTCAGTGGCCTCACCTGAAAGAGCTCATGGTTGGCCATGAAGATGGCCAGCTTGGTAGCACTCTGGCGGCCTGAACCAGCAAATCCAATAAGGAGAGCATGGCCAGAGTCCTGTTGCAGCACCCTGCTGATCCTGGACACATGTTGGATAATATACTGGAACATCACAAGTGACATAGGTGACTTGCTAATCATGTTGTACTCGTGCAGGTATGTCTCCATCACTTGTCTCAGGTCATTCATGTCTTGCACCTGCAATACACCAGAAGTACTCTAATCTACACATCTTTTAGTACTCAGAGTGAAGACAAACATTTAAAATGTGAAAAGTGATCTAAGGAACACTTAAGTGGTCTCTTCATCATAAGGATCTGAGTTTAGTGTTCTTCTTGTAGCAGCCACATTAGAGATAATGTACCAGCTATTTAAATTATACCAGGAATTCCACATTTACAGGAATTCCACATACCACTAATTACATTTGTAACATAATCCCAGAAATTCCATGAAATACTAATAACATTCAACAATAACGAGGTAAGTTTCCCATCAACCAATTTATGAGCAACCTGGATCTAAAACAGGGGGTCAGGTGGACGGGGGGAATATAAGGCTATCTGACCACAGTGTCAGAAAGTCTTAACATGGCTCAGCAAGAAGCAACACCACTTCTGATCTACTGACAGTCTCAAAACATAGCAGCCAACAGCTATAACACCACAGATTTGCAATAACCCACTGTCATCCCAGATATCATCATTAGCGGCATCTTACAACTCAACTGTCACAATGCCGTCATACCATTCGAACATCAACCACTGAAACTAAGATGTATCAAATATACATCAAATATATATTTATCTAAATATACACCAAGTATTACATTGGTGACCCCAGTAACAAAATACCCAGTCCTATCAGAATGGATAAACAACACTATGGCTGCTCACAGGTCTTCCACCACCATTACTGCTCACCTTGGTTCTACTCCATGGCAAAGACCACTGCCTGCAACCTTGCCACAGCTGTGACATTTGCCCTGGATCTCTCCTGCTGCTCTTTTTACAGCCTCATCTATAACATCCATTGCATTCTGTTACCCTGCACAATAAGGGACTTACAGCTTATTCTGCCAACTCTCATTCACCACGAGGCAATGCAGCTCCTGCAGCAACTCATCCATTGTTCTGACCAGTCTGATTAGCAGCTAGTCAGATTGTTTCAGTTCTTGACATGAGCAACCTGGGTCTAAAACAGGGATCAGGTGGATGGGGATGTCTGGGATGGGCTGTCTGACCATTGTATCAAAAAGTCTCAACACAGCTCAAATAGAAGCAACACCACCTCTGATCTACCTCAACTTGCAGTCTAACAACATAGCAGCCAACAGTAATAATATTATGTACTTACCACAAAACACCCTCTTTCCAGACACCGCCATCTCCACCATCATTAGCATCTTATGACTCAACCGTCAAGACACTGTACCATTCAAACTTAAACCATTCACTGTATCAAAATACATCTAAAACTATTATACTTTGTGTTTGTGTCATAATAGTAACAAACATTACACTCTACATTGTTGACAGCTGTTAATGACCAGTCCAAGCCCTGTGTCTTACTTGAGGTCATTTGCCAAGTTAGAATTTTTTTATAGAAATTAAGACATTAAGAACTGCAAAATGGAGAATTATACACAATCAATACTTCATCTTAAATAGTAATTTGAGCCAATATAAATTACATTATGGACAAACAAATATGGGTGTCCTTATAAATATAAAAGATACAATATCAAGATGTTTTAGTTTTATCAAAGACAGTTTTATCAAGACAGTTTAATGCCTGGGTATACTTTAGATACTGTACAACAAGTCTTAGCATTCACCTCATCATACACTTTGGTCTCAGCATCTGCGATCATATAGTTGCCAAAGATGAGGTTGTGAAGATGGTGAGGGTTGAGAGCTTCTCCTGCAGGCACTAAGTGTTCCAGTACGACACTCAGCTGCATGCGGAAGGTTCTTTGACTCACCTCCTTCACAATGTTGAAGAACTCGTTCCTGAGTTTATGAAAAATGGATAATTGTTCTTCAAAGAACTGGAGGGTATAATGAAATATATACAGTATGTTGTTTGACAGTGTAATAGTTTGTGATTACAGATCATCACTGAAATGTACCACTGGATGCCGGTTAAGTAAGTGGACAATATTACATTTATTTTTATTTAGGAGTAAATGCAAAGGGCTGTCTAGGGACAGATACAAGAGGATATTCAGTGATAGGCACAGATCCATTTCCAGACATTTCAAACCATAATGTTCCCCAAAGTGGTATGGCAAATTTGAATTCTGAAAATTGCTAGGGATTCGGCATATGGGAATTAATTCATGTTTAGGGATCAGATGGTGGTTGATGCTAGCTTTGTAGTCTGAATTGTTTGATAAAAAAGACAAAAAAATTTAAATTGCTCTTGTTTTGCCAGGAGCAAAACTCAAAGAGTGTTTCTTACTCAACACAAACTAACACAATCACCATTAATAACACGGAATTCTTACTTTAATTACACAATTTGTTGTCAGTTCATTTTCGACTTGCAATCAGAAATTCTGGGTTCAAATCCTGGGTAGGACAGAAATGGTTAGTGCATTTCCTATCACCTAATTTACCTGATCACCTAGCAGTAAATAGGTACCCCAGGAGTTAAACTTCATGTGGGGGTTGCATTCTCGGAAGGGTTAGTACTGTACTTCAACTCTGGGAGGACCTCGAAGTAAGCCTAACATATATATATATATATATATGCACTGGCTGCCTGTCCCCAACACAATTAATTATAAATAATATGAAAAGATTTCCAACAAACTTGGTGGGAGAAAAATCATAAAATCAGGAACCTAAAGAGGATTGTGGAAGGAAAGGTTGGGAGAGGTAAGTTGGAAAGTGAAGGAAGCCATGATTCAGAAGCTTGCAGTGCTTTTACTGCCCTCTCTTAGCCCTGTTTCTGGTAACCTTGAGTCTTTTTCCTGCTCTGTTATACATCCCCACAATTGTCTGCTGTTGCACATTGGTTTACAGACAAACCATAAAGTGGTCTTTTTTTTATCAAGATAAAACAACAAAAGTTGACAAAATTATGAAGATGATTAGTAAATAGCTAAAAATAAATTATAATGCATATGAGAAAATGTGCAATGAAAATTGGAAACTTTGCAAAAAGACTAAAAATTTTTAATTTGCTTAGGATAGTCTCACTGATTGTCAGACTTCAGTCTACCATTACAAATTTATCCATATTTATCATCAATTTTGTCTTACTGGTCAAGAGCACAAGATAAAACTATCACCAAGTCGCATCCTTAAATTTTATATAGTCACCATCCCATCTTTAATTAAATTATAAAGCACAAATTCACCTGTCAATGTCACTGCTTAACCTGTCGTGAAAGACTCGATATACTTCATGGAGCCAAAGCCTCACCAGCTTCTCCACCGAGCTGAGGGCAGCATTGGGCACCAGAAGAATGCCATTGATGACCCGGGAGAAGTCTCGCAGATTAAAGAGGTAATGGCTTTTCGAGGGAGTCGGCATGAAGGTGGAGGTAGCCTTCTTGTAAACCTCCCGTGTGGCCTCCACAACAGCCTGACAGTGGAACAAACCATATATAAAAATGGAAAAAATATATATGTGATACATTAAACAGTTCAAGGAAGAATAGTTCCAGTTCAAGTTCACACATTGCTTCTAAATCACAATGTTACTGGAGATATTTATATTTCCTGATAATTTTAAATCCCTTGACACATTTTCTTTATGCAAACTCACCTATTATAGTGATAACAACATATGAAAGTATAAAATATGAACTCCTATATGTGTGTTTATAATTGTGTGTGAGAGAGAGTAAAAGTAATTACTTAAAAGTAGTTACAGGACGAAAGCTATGCTAGTTTGAGCTTTGATGTCCAAAGAGCTTGGAGAGGATGTGGGAGGAAGAAGGCTGGGGTGGTGAAATTCTTGGAAGAGGATCTGGATGTGGAGAGAGGAGGCTTGAAAGTTTGGTGACCTTTCCACCATGGATTGTAGATGTTTTTTCAGTCTGAGGTGTTCTGTCTGGCTTGCTGGAGGCGTTTTCCCTATGATGATGTTGAACCTGTTCGTTCTTTTAACTTGGGTTTGATTTTGGCTGTGGTGGTACGATGTTGTAATGTCGCCTGAAATATCCGAGACAAAGCTTTGGTATTGGAGTTCCTTCTGGGTCTTTGGCTACTGTAGAAAAGTCGCGTTGTTCCATGTTTTCTGCCCTGAAGACTGGGTCGATGTGATTTATGTTCAGGATGGAGAGGTCTATGTATCGCTCCACTATGGAATAGTGGATGAACATTATGTGAGGCAGTTTGCTTTTGTTCCTGTTGGAGCTGCGCCAGTTGCATTCTATAGCTGGGTTTTCCTAGTATTGCTGTTGCCCTTGAACTTGCTGTATACCTCCTGAGGGATGTAAAGGCAGTAACAAGGTTTGCTTCTGTCTGGTTTGCCTGGTATGACTGCGGGTACTGGGAGGATGTAGGAGACTTCCAGCTCTTCAAGCTCTTTGTTCTCTTCAATTTCAGTGTCTGATGCAGATGCTTGCTGTGATGCTGCTGTAATTGGAGCCTGTGTCATTGGAATGGGTGCCTGAGGTGCCGATTCCGTTGATGTTCCAGATTCTGCTGGTGTTGGGGTTTGTTCTGGATCCGTGGTAGTTGTTGCCACTATTCGGCGTTGCTTGAGTGCTGTCCATGAATGAGGGCTGTCTCTCCTCCTTTGTTTTTTAGGTGGAGGGGCCTGGGGTGGCTATGCTAGTGTCCCAGCTTTCCAGTACTCTTTATCATATGATGCTTTGAATCTATTGTACTAATGGTTTTGGCATCCACTGTCTTCTTATTTAACTGTTCCAACAGTTTATCACTGCTTGCAAAAGAGAACTTTCTAATATTTATTCAGCATCTTTGCTTCCTTAGCATGAATCTATGACCTCTTGTTCTTGAAGTTACAGGTTACAAGAATTCCTCTTTGTCAATTTTGTTGATTCCTGTTACTAATGTACTTTGTATGTAATGAGTATATCACCTATTTTTCCTTCTATCTTCTAACTTTGGGATGTTCAACACCTCTAGCCTCTTCTTGTAGCTCTTGGTTTTTCTTTTCTGGAAGCCATTTAGCAGCATGTCTTTGCACATTTTTCAGCTTACTGATATGCTTCTTGAGAGGCACCATATAACGCTGAATATTCCAATTTTGGTCTCGCAAGAGTTGTGAACAATATCATTAATAATTAGAAAGTGAAGCATAGGCTCCTCACACAATGTCCTATTGGGAGGAGAGGTCAGATTAATGTCATTATTATAATTCACTGTTTCTTTGATCATACTGCACATATTTACTTGAAAACAACCTTGTTTGTGCATGAAAGGGGTAGTGTGGTCATAAAAGACATAATGGAGAGGCAGAGTACTATATGCCAAACTCAAACTTAAAGAGTAGTCTATTGAACAAAAAAACCACACCTGAACATTACTATACACTATGGCAGAACCATACTTGAAGAATACTACACTTCAGAACCACACCATAAGCACTGCCACTCACCCTATTGAGGCGCTGCACTGCAGCGTCCTCATGGCTCGCTAAGTGCCATATCACAATTGATCCAAAAATTTGGTCCAAAGTCAAGTCATCAAATGCATCAATACAGATAATGTTGAGATGGCGTGTGAACCGGCCACAGATGGTATTGCGGCCTCCACTAGGGGGAGCCATCGCTCCCAGAAATAGCTGCAAAATATTACTACACTGTATAAACACATTCTGTCAGACTAATCTACTCTCAGCCAATTTATGGAACAAGGTAATGTGATACAAAGTTGACAGAGAAAATGTTTTTATATACATAACTCATTCATTTGCAAGTTGTATCCAAACATTTTTTATATAATACTGCTATTTACAACAATGTTATTTATACATACAGTATTAGGAGAATATATTTGGTCACTCTCTATAGCAAATTTTTGTATCTTGCAACTTTTGAAATTAGCATTAATATGTATTAGTGACATTATAAATATAAAAGCAAAAAAATTATCATCAAAGTCACTCCGAATTACCGAATCAACAAGCTCAATTTTGGAGGTATCCTTCTTGTCGTAGAAGTGTTTATGGTCGAGCCACTGCCTGAGGAACTCTATGGGTGGCTGGGCCCCATATGTCTCCTTCTGTGGCATGTTGACATCGTCGATGAAGACCACATACTTCCTTCCCATTGCTGGCCCAAATACACCCTTTCGACGCCTGAAATGACCCAGTTGAGCTACTACACATCCATCTCGGAAAGCAAAGGACATCGCCAACACAAACTAATGTGCCTCAACTATGTACACATTTTAAGTGATACAGATAATTTAAAACAGAAGATAGTTTGTAAATAGAATTTTCATTATATTAAAACCTACTTAACCCAACTTAACTTAGCAAAAGGCAACAATATGTAACCTATTAAAAAACTAAAACAAACAGCTAGACTGCCTAAAGGTTACACACTATTTACAAATTTATAATACAGAACATGGAAGACATACTGAGGAAGGCAAAGACTGAAGATCATAACCACTGAGAAAGGTATGTCAATGGAGAATTTAGACAAATTTAGAGGTCAATGAAATAAATGAAACTAGAAATGAGGAACAAAACCTGTTCTACAAATTAATAATACAGAAAACTCTTATGAAAATAAAATCAATCCACTGAGCCTCCATAGTTGACAAAGTTAACCAAATGTGGCAAACTAATTCCCAAGAATTATATTTACCAATATACAGTACTGTACAATACAGTACGGTACAATGTAAATATTGCCTAAGGTAGATTAAATTAAGGAAAGAAAAAATTGAATAATGAATGTCTAACATAAGCCAAATTAGATGACAAGTCATCACTGTAAAGAAAATATTCAATATGAAAAAGATATATAAAGATGAGAAATGCTTTTCATTATGGGAAATTTACATTATTTTCTTCACACCAATGAAGATCTAAAACCAAGAGAAAATAAACAAATTGAACATGCACACATGCAAATTATTCAAAACCTATGATGAGTAATAAAGAGTAAGAATAATGTTTTAATAAATAGAGATGCAAAGGAACAGAATGGACTTGAGTGCATCTTTGGTGATGCTTACCTATCCACCTTTGACATAATTATGTCCTGGGCCTGACTGGCAGAGGTTCTTGCTGAGAAATTTATAGTATTGATGATAAACTTGTCCTTGGGCAGGTTAACTAGGCAGGCATTAGTGTGAGCACTTTTGCCTGTGCCTGTTGGTCCCAGCAGAAGCAAAGGCACATCATGATCCAAGCATGTCCTTAGGAAGAATTCTTGTCTCGCTGTCTCTGCCGTCGGGATCAGTAATTTTGACACCTGCCAGTCATAATCAGTGTTGTAACCTCTCCAAGCACTGCTATCAATGAATTAGTATATTATTTTTATTTTATTATAAGCAAAAATAATGTACTGTATTTATATTTGTATGATTTTGTTAGGGATATATACAATATAAATGTTGCAGAGCTAGCAACAAGAGAGCATGAGAAAAGTATGGAAGATACCTTAGCATCTGTGGGAATCACACGCCTGTCTCTATCAATGGTGTCGTACCAGAGGATCCAGCGTTGTGTCTCCTGCTCATATAGGTAGTCATACACTGAGCCACTCTCTGGCGGCAACATCCTGCAAAACACATTAGTGGCTAACACTCCTCAGTACAAGTATCCTGTAACACATATACACTTGTGGCTAACACACTCAGGGGAAGCATTCTGCAACACCTCAGTACAAGTATCCTTTAACACACATACACTTGTGGCTAACACACTCAGGGGAAGCATTCTGCAACACACTAGTAAATAACACATTTAAACTAATGACCCCACAAAGTTATACTAGTGGCTAACACATTCATACTAGTGGCCAGCCTACTCATACTAGTGGTTAACATATATCAGATGATATATTTCACATCCTTGAAACTGATCTTGTAATCAGTCCATAATTAGATTACATAATGGCTAAGAGTATGTACTACTCTAGTAATATTCTAGTATACCCTTTTATGGAAAACAATATTTATTTAATAAAAACAAAACAAAAAATCTATTTGTTGAACTAATGCTTTTATCACCCAACCAAAATTATCCTAACACTAAACCAATGTAAAGAGTAATAATAATAATAATCAATTGCAATTATTATGTGATAGTTTCTGAATATTTAGCTTAATTTATTGTAACACTGAAAAGTACTAGTCAAATACTCTTCACAAGTTATGAGTAAGAATTAATGTATCTTGCAATATAACTATGGTATTGATGCAATGGAGGAGTAGAGGACTCACCCCTTAGTAAGCCTGAAGCTCTCAGGCCGGGGCGCTGAATCCACCTTTCCCAGCAGCAACTTGCGGAAGAACTGGTCAAACAGCCGGCGGCTTGTGCCTGCATTCAGTTTGGTGATGAGGGAAGAGAAAAGATCCACCGTCATTCAGGTCAGCAACATAAATACCAACTATCAATATCAACTATTATATAATCCCATCCTGGACATTTACTATGTTCAATAAAATTGACATTTATACATACATTCTGCTTTCTGTATCTTTGCTTCCATTTGTAATTATAATGTCTATGTGAGCATAATTATGTTTGAGAAATAAAAAATACCTCTTTCTGCATGAACCCCAGTGACTTCCTGAATGCTATTTTGCAGAGATAGCTGTCAACTATTAGGTCAAATCAACTAATGGCATTATGTTAGCCTATCATGAATCAGAGCCAGAACTTAGGTGCCTCAAAGAGGTGCAGAGAGCCATTGACACTTTGCCACCCCACCCCAATCAGAAAGTAAGCGAACCAATATAGACCACAGCTGGATTCAAAGAGACTGAAGGCTTGAAAAACAATTTCTTGGTCTACATTACAGTTTTCCACACACACATTCAACAGCACCTACCATCATGTCACATTTATCCACCAGTCACATATTTATATTATAGTCCATGACAATTTGGTTTATATAACTTATTAAACAGATCTGTGTTGCAAAGTTCTGTTTGCCACTTCTATCATTTCACTAGTGTAAATCCTTGTCAATATATTCACTGTATGTCTGTCTTTCCAATGCGCCGATAAAATATTGCAGTTTTTTCTGAGCTGACAATCACCTACTTAAATACCTGTACTGAACACTGCTACTGGCATTTCTTTCCTATGTGGCTTTAATGTGCCAAAGACTCTAGTCTTATGTTCAAGCAGTTAGCAAGGGTCTGGTATAACAATTGTCAGTATACAAAGTGTGCCCCTTGTTCAGCAATGGTTCTATGAGTGTCTTTGCCACACTGCCTGAAAATCCAAAATCCATGAGGATCATGAATGGGCATGTTGGTACTGGAATACAGCGTCCTTTCTGTCACTATTTTGGTTCCATAATCATGAAGCACAAAGAATTTCAGTCCAAATATGTACTGTTTCAATGTGATAAACTGCTTGAAAGCAAAACGTCCCTTGAAAAAAGCTAGCAATTCATCAATCACTAAATTCTGGCCTGGTACAAACAAATCCCTGAACTTTTCCCTCAGATCACTGAACACTTTCCTCACTTTCCACAGTCTATCATTTGGAACTACAATATCATTATTTTCAAAGTGAAGTACCTTAAAAGTAGCAGAAACCTGTTACAAGACATGTATTTCCCAAAAACTAGAGTTGGAACAATGCTGTCTTTGTTCCAATAATCCTGATGAAATATATTTCCTGAGTGTTGCATCATCATACACATTGCAAGAAATCCATACATTTCAGATACAGTTGTGTCTTTTCAAGATAGCAAACATGAAGTTGGTAATAAGCCATTTGTAATTAGTTTCACTGTATACCAACTGGTTTCCTCAATGAGATGTTTTATGAACGACTGCTCAAAATAAGCCATACAATACTGACTTTCACTCATATTGTCACCAATATGCATATCATCAAATGTAGCTATTTCTGGTACAAAAGCCTCACAATTTTTCCACACTAGTACTCCTTGCTGCTTGTAGTAGTGCCAACACTATGGATTTACATTATGATAAAACTCTGTTGGCCAGGAGATGAAGCTCTTCCACATTACACAGCATGACAATGAACAGTTGAAATGTAGGCTACTCTTTCCTCATTGTCCCCCCTCCCCTCCATGTCTGATCAGACACCATTGCTTTGCAGAGCAAGCTGCTGAGAAAGTCTTTTACAGGATATGGCACAAAGTTTTACTCTTTAACTACCTATACCCTATTAATCATCCAGGTTAATAAGCATTTTGCCTGAAACATTTTGCGTAATAGTGGCTTTATTATTATGTGTAACTCCTGTCCCTACAATTGTACATTACTCTTATGTTATTATACATACATTTTTGTGAATAAAGATTATTATTATTAATTAATTAATTAATTATTATTATTATTATTATTATTATTATTATTATGAAACATGACAATAAAGAATGTAAGAAGCATGACCAATATATAAAATACTTAAATAAAAAATAATATACACCCTGTTACAGTATAAATAAAAATTGTTTATAGGAAGATAACAAGTAATTTCTCACCAGTGATGGTGGAGCCGATTGTCCAAGGAAGGATAAATGTGATGAGGTACTGCAGGAGGGTTGTTAACTTGTCATCTGAGATCTTCGGACCCAAAGGCTTGCCAGCCTCCCGTACCTCATCCAGGAGGGAGTCCAACATCCGAGAGAAGGACTGGTGGAGTGAAGTTCATGTTAGTGTTCGAGAGAGAGTGTACAAGGATTAAATATCTTATCAAACTCACACTTCTCTAGAAAGATTTATTTCTGTTTAGATAACCATTTGATTTCTTTGTTTTAACTATTGTTTTATCCATTCTAGTATTCTGCCATTTATTCTATGTGCCTGTACTTTTCTTGCTAGCCTTTCATAAAAGACTGGCAAGGAAATTACAAGCATACAGAATATTTTAAATGGAAAATTACTAGAATAAAACAATGGTTAAAACAAAGAAAGCAAAGGGTTGTCCTAAACGAAAATGAATCTGACTGGAGAAATGTGGTGAGTGGAGGTACAGCAAGGTTTAATTTTTGAGGCCATCTCTCTTAGTCATATCCATCAATGACATAGAAGAGAATATTACAAACCACATCATCAGATTTGCAGATGACATTATGTTTATTATCTATATAAATGATTTACTAGAGGGCAAACAGTTACATGAATATGTTTGCAGGTGATGCAAAATTGGTAGGAAGAGTTAGGGAATTAGATGACTGTATTACCCTCCAAAATGACCCAGACCAAATAAGCAAGTGGAGTCACATATAACAGATGACATACAACATAAATAAATATCACACAATGGAATGTGGCATAGGTGAAAACAGGTCATACTTAACCTAAAAATTGTGTAACAAGATATTAAAACCTCTGATAAGGAAACAGATCTAGGAGTAATTCTGGATAGTAAGCTATCTCCAGAGGACCATAAAAAGAGCACAGTGACAGGAGCCTATGTTCCTATAAGTGTGTGGTGCCCATATCTCATGAAGCACAGACACAAATTGGAAAGGATGCAAAGGCATGCTACCTGGAACTTAAGAAAATGAGCTATGAGAAGAGGCTGGAGACATTAAACGTGTCAAGACTAGATGATATGAGGAAAAGAGATGATATGATCACATCATAACAAAATAGTAACACATCAACAAAACAGACACAGAGGAATTTTTTTTTAAACCAGCATCTTCAAGAACAAGAGGTCATAGATTCAAGATAAGAAAATAAAGGTGTTAAAGAAAAATGAGAAAGTTCTCTTTTGCAAACAAAATGGTAGATCTCTGGAACATGTTTAGTAAAAAGCAGTGGATACTAAAACCATTCAGTAGTTTCAAAGTGTTATATAACACAGAGTACAGGGAAGACAAGACACCATGAGTGTAGCTCTCATCCTATAACGACACTCGGGTAAAAAGTTAGGTAATTACTTTTACTATTACACAGGGCAGTAATGAGCTAGTAATTTCTGAAGTTTCCCTCAGGATAGCTGAAACTCGTGGGATGAATTTCATCTGGTAAAGCGAATGATTAGAGGCCTTGGGGACGAAACATCATCAACCTATTCTCAAACTTTAAGTGGGTGAGATGCCGAGCTTGCTCGAACGCTGAAGCTTCGACGACTAATCTGAGTATCTAGTGGGCCATTTTTGGTAAGCAGAAAAAAAGTGTGTAGTAAATTGATAAGTTAGCAATTTACTACACACTGATAAAAGAAAATGAAGGATCATAATTTCACCTGGAAAAGATGCAGCTCTGAGGTGTGGATCATAAACTTGCACTTCTTCATAACAAAATCAAAGATTGGAGGCATGAGCCATTCTATCACATCATTTACCATCTGCTTCACGTCCCCTTTGATTGCCACCGGAAGGCTAGACATATACGAATCCTGCACAGGTGTATGAAAATAATAATTACCAAGTACAGTATATATTTAGCTGGGAATTATGCCTTTTGTGTTTGTTTTATCTAACTAGAAACAAGTTAAAATTTTGGTTGTACAATATACGTACCCTCATTGTTTGCTAAATTTAGTTTATATAATTCTAATAATATTATGAGTTATACAAAATTCCTAAGTATGCAAAACAATTCTCAAAATAATGCCTGTCTATATCTACAAGTTACCAGGAACACTGAAAATACTCTCACTAAGAGTCATAAACAGCCACATTATTTTATAATTGAACAATGAACATCAAGTATTCAAAGATATCTATGGACTAAGAAATTTATTTATTTTTCTTAAAATTCTGACTGAATTCTTTATGGAAAATCAGATCTTCATTTCATACTACTGATATAATTTTATTGATACTGATGTACTCCCGATATAATATAATATATTATAAACTCTCAGAAACATTCCATGTACAGTACTAGTGTTAAATAGAAGGCACACGAGAATAATATTCATAAATTACCTGATAAAACATTTTGAAGTTATTACTTGATAAAGTAAACACAAATCACTTACTGGTGTGAAAGAACAGAATAAGCTTTATTTTGGAGGACAAAGAAACACTTCTCAGCAAACATTATACCTAGTCACATCTTACTGTAAATAGCAAGGCTTCTCATATATAATTTTAAAGTTGCATAAAATAAATACCATAATACCTATCAGTTATATGTTTGTAAAAAAAATTATTACACCTGTTCTTAGTTGATAATGAAGCAAATCTTAGATTCTTTGTTTAACAATGATTTCTACTCAGGGTGAACTAACAGTGTTAATTAAAACAAAGAAACATTAAAGTATCCCACCTAGCAAACAGTATTCAAGAACATTAGAGGAATTTACAGATTAAACAATGAAACTCTTGACCATTATATTTAATAAGCAAGAACAATTCATATATGTTAAAAGAATGCAATTATCACACTGATATCGAAAGAATGAAAGGTAGGGATTTGTAAGAATGATAAACACCCAGCAAAGCAAACGCTTATTCACTATCACAGCCTTGGTCAGTCAAAAGTGATAGATTTACCTGAATTTACCTGAGGGTCATTAACACTAGTGACCTCAATGAGGACAGGAAGCCGGTGACTTGTCAAAGGTACCTCCCCACTTGTTATGATCTTTTTCATTTGGATTTTAAAATTTAACAGAGTTTTGGCATTTACAGCTTCAGTGGATAGGTGGCCCCATGGGTTTATAACCCCTGTAAGTGAAAAAGCATCTCCTGTTCACAGTTCTACATTGTGGCTTATTGAGCTTGATACCATTGCTTCTTGTTTGTGTTACATCTGACCTTTTGAAGAAATTGACCGGATCAACATCCTCCAAACTATTTAGTATTTTAAAAATTTCAATGAGATCCACCCTGTCATGCCTAGTTTGCAGTGTTGTTAGCTCATTGGCCCTCAACTGTTCCTGATACGAGAGTTGACTTAATTTCATCCTCATAGTTTCGTACCTAGTGCTTTAAACTTGTACTGCATTTGGTGCTACCCAAACCCCCAATATATGTACCTAAGAAATACAACTTTATCATTGTAATCATTGTTATCATCGTATATCATGGTTGTTATACTGATATATTTTACATATTTTGAGCCATATTTTAGAATGCATATTTTACTGCATTACACCACGAAATAATCTTCAAATTATGCTACAATGTACCTGTTGATAATCCTCAAACTTTACAAAAATGTACCTATTAATCTTTGTCAAATTTTCTTACAATGTACCTGTTAAAAGAAAATTTCAATTTTGTTAGAAATTACCTACTTAAAATTATCTGTTATATTAAGGACCTGCCAAAAAATATATATATATATATATATAATATAATATAATATAATATATATATATATATATATATATATATATATATATATATATATATATATATATATATATATATATATATATATATATATATATATATATTATACATAACTCCTGATCATGATACCTCACCACATACCTCTTGCTGGTATGCCTCACCTTGAGAGGTCGCCAGCCTAGCTGTTGGCTCTCCATGTAGATCATGCCGCAACGGGATACGGTTGCTGGGGATGCCTGCTCCAGGTCACACGTCTCAAAGATAAGGCTCATCTTGTTAGGCATCTAGAATGAATGAAACAGGTAAAGTGTGGTATGTTTACTCACATTATTACTGTCACATGCTAAAATCATGGTGTGTGTGTGTACTGATCTAAATGTACTGGCAAGGTCAGACCTCGCCTACTGGGCTATGGAACTTTAGCTTTTGATCGACTCTTTAACTGTCAGTTATCTCTTTAGCTGTTTGTTGCCTATTTATGAACAGCTGTGTTTGACAGCATATTCCAATGATTTTAATACATTCACCCTAGAGGGACATCCTCTACTGCCTCTACTAACAACTATTTTCTTAGGTGGAACCTTACCACTGACTTTCTTGGGACCCATGGTGAGATATATAATAACAACTTTTATGCACAAATGGCAAAAAATCTGACAAAAATCTGTAAATCCTTGAGAATAATTCAGGCGGGATAGTCACTGGGCGCAAGGCACTGGTAAACTGAAGCGCGATTGCCATGCTACCACACGCTAGTCAGCCCATACACGTATCAACACCCTCGTCTCCCGAGGCAACCCTCGCCTTCCGAGGCAAATTTTCCGAGCAAATCCTGCTCGTATTCCGAAAAACTCATATACAGGGACACTCGTGTTCCGAGGTATCACTGTATACAGTAAACCCAAATTTTTGAGAATTGGAGACAAAATTACAACAGACGTTCAAGCTCTGGAAAATGATAAATGATGGTTATTCTTAGAATTCAGTCTCTAAGATGATTAGATTTACAATTACTAAAATTTAAAGTCATCAAAAGTTATTGTTTCACCATGAAAGTGGCTCAATATAAATATTAAATGAACCATTTCTAGTCCTTTTATACAACCTACAGGGCTCATTGCTGGCATCCTTTACCTTATTCCTTAATAGCTATACAACTAATTATCACTAACATCAACTAGCTATTCAAAGGAAGGAGAGAAACAACGTATCTCTGACATACAACATAAGGCAAGTCATCAAGTCCTCACTGAGGTCCTCATCTATAAGCTAAGCACAGTTTTATTCTGTCATCCACTGCAACTCACCTGAATGATCTCTCCAGACATAAGACAAAGTTTCTTATTATCATCAAGGACAGTGTTGAGGTTTTCTACCCAAACAGCATCAACTGGCCCATCCAACACCAGCCATCTTCGCTCCTCAGATGTTGACACTGCCATCTCCCGGAAGGTTTTGGCCAGCACTCCTGTTGAATACAGACTAATTATCCTCACCAGGATATGCCCAAACACACCAAACCATCCATCCACTCATGCTGATTTTAGTGAAATGAGTTTTGTCACTTAACAGTCTAGTTCTTTTAATCTCAAAATCCCTATACTGTATAAACAAGACAAAGCCCCTGATGACCAATGCAACTTGTTATATTCAGTTGTACCTGAATATACTTCTGAATATGTACTTCAGTTGTAGGTGTATATTCAGTTTATATAAATAAATAAATAAATAAATAAATAAAGTTGTAAACCAAGTAAAACTTTTATCACCTCTATTGTATTTTGTATGTAAACTTGAATTTTACGATGTTTTATTAATACTTCATCATCCTTGTTTCCCACAACACTGGCAGCTTCTTGTGCCAATTTACACATATACTACCTAACTTAGCACAAAACACTTACCACGGTATCACTACTACTTGTAAATCCATATTGAATGGGCCACTAAAATTCCCCTTCTTTCACTTACCCTCATAGCCACTCCACACTTAAACTTTTTCTCTGCCCAATGATTGTGCATATTTCCTATCACCCAATGTTCCTGTTCACCTAGCAGTAAATTGGGGTGAATTCACCTCCCAGTTCCTGGGCTCTTTATGTGAATCTAACCATATCCACAAACAATCATAAGATGGGTATGGGGTACATAATAAATAAATTTAATTAACGAGTCTTGACAACTAATCAACTACATATCAAATTCATTCCTTCAAGCTATTACAAGATGTATAGCATTACCATCGGACCACTCATGAGAAAAAGGGTCATAGGCACCATAGAGTTGGCCCAGTGTAAGAGCTTTAGGGTTGATAATCTTGTACTGTACACCACGCTCCTCACCCATCTTCCTCTCTCGCCCTACTTTGTCCAAAGCTGTCGCCAGACCCTGTTTTGAAATGCAGAACATGAGCCAAATTTCATGTTAGAAGTGGTGCCTGAAATTATTGTGAGTTCTTATGAAAGGGGACATGAATTATTAATATAATGTACGCTATAACTGAAATTAAAAATAATGTTGCAGTTATTTTTAAGCCTTTTATAAGGATAAAATCACAGACTATAATGTGTACTTTTTTACTAATAAATCGTTATCAGTAAAACACCTGTACTTTATATATATTTAAGAAAAGGGATAAAAATGTAAAAAAGAAATGCTGTGTTCACTTTCAACTCACAATAAAATGAAGCGCCACATTTATAATTCATCACCACAACCACTGCTCAAGATTAAGATAACTTTATGTTATTGTGAAAAGAAGATGTGTGTTCCCTTTGTCTTAAAATTTTGTAATAAGTACAATAACCAATTTCAAAATTATCAAGCAGAATGTTATTAGAGGTGGACTCTTACAAACAGTAATGAGTTACAATACAAGTACTGTAATATATGAAAATAGATACATTTAAAAAAAAATCATTTAGCGGTTTTTGTAATACATGTAAGGGATTCAATTCAGTTTACAAAACAGGCAAATACAGTAAAGAACTAGACATTTTTTCTTTGAGCTAGTGGTTTTCATTATGCATGTCAAAATCAAATAAAAAAAAAACCATCACTTTGAAAATGTTGATCATAAATTTCCTCCACATTTTTGGTGCATTACCACCATGCAGATGACCAAAACACTATACACATGCAGGCACTTGCTTCCATGCACAGAATTATGGTCCATTTACATTCTACGTCATCCTTGCTGGTCGCATGCGGACCCTCAACAGCATCATGCATACGCTACTTTGTGACTACCTCCTATATCAAAACGTTAAAAAAAAAAAATTGTGAACATTAAACACAGTATTGAAAACTTTGTATAAAGGATGAATGAGAATGAACACAGGGTGAGTGTGGATGAATACAAAATCCAAAGGATGTGTAGGTGACTCCAAAGGATAAGTGTGGGTGAATCCAAAGGATGAAGGTGGGTAAATCTAAAAAATGAGTGTGGGTGAATCCAAAGGATAAGTGTGGGTGAATCTAAAGGAAGAGTGAGAGCAAAAAAAGCATGAGCTTGGGCAAACCCAAAGGATGAATGAGAGTACAGTAAACAAGAAAGGTGCAGTTGACTCAACCAGTTACAGACTCCAATGTTTTTAAAGAAGAGGGAAGAGAAAAGACAATCTCAAGAAAAAACACAGTATTTATGTAAACTAAAACCTATAAACAAAAGATTGTGTGCATGTATTGCAAGATTTCTGTTTGAGTTTTTTTTCCAAACATACATGATTAAATTCAATCTTTCCAAAGTATTCCAAAAACCAAGACACACTATTAATGTGCCATGCCTGTATTACCATCATCAAGAAGCAAAATAACTTTCTCCAGAGCCAATGCTGGAGCAATGAGGTATACACATCAGTGCTCCAGAATATCTCAAATAACTAAATCTAATCTAAGTTCTTGAATTCGTCATCACATCAGATAGATGTGAGCCAAGTGAAGGACCAGAATCATTTAATAAATTAGTGAGGGAACCAAGGATCACCAAGGAAATAATAGGAAAACAGAGTCATCCATCAGAAGAGTGGCTGTATGAAAATGTTGGTCCCTCACATGCAGCTGATGCATGCCAGTAAATAAATTCTTGGTACTGCATTTAGTAAAGAATGGGGAACAAGCCTCTTCTTCTTCTTCTGCTAAACTCTAATAATTTTGTTTTTAAAGCCACATGGATAGCAAAATACTAAAAAAATTGTTCGTGACTTTTGTTAGACCAAAGCTGGAATATGCAGCGGTTGTATGGTACCCATATCTTATGAAGCACATCAACAAACTGGATAAAGTCCAAAGACATGCAATTAATGGCTCCCAGAACTGAAGGACAATAGCTGTGAGGAGAGGTTAGAGGCATTAAATATGCCAAAACTAGAAGATAGAATAAAAAGAGGCAATGTGATCACTACGTACAAAATAGTAATGAGAATCGATAAAATTGATAGGGAAGAATTCCCAAGACATGGAACTTCAAGAACAAGAGGTCATAGATTTAAACTAACTAAACAAAGCTGTCGAAGAAATATAAGAAAATACACTTTAGTAAACAGAATGGTAGGCAGTTGGAACAAGTTAGGTGAGGTGGTGGTGGAAGCCAAAACCATCAGTAATTTCAAAATGTTATAAGACAGAGTACCGGGAAGACGGGACACCACTAGCGTAGCTCTCATCCTGTAACTACACTTAGGTAATTACACTTCGTTAATTACAAGGAGTCAATCAGTACTTTGCAAATTAACATGCAATTGATCTGAAACTTCATTATCCACTATTAAGTTATCATACAGTATTCTGAAAATGGCATCTTCATAATTATAACTAATTTTGTTATTGTATTTCTTGATACACATAATAGTAGCATCCAAGATTTTTAACATATGACAAATTGTCTTCATTGTTCTTGCTAAAGCAGTAGCAGTTTGAGTTACATTATTTTCAGGATCCAACCAAACAGTCACATTTACCTATATGGGCAAGATCAGATGTGTCGGGGAAAGAAAGTCCGTACTTAAAAGTATCAAGGTCCCCCATGGCCAACTACTGACCTTCCCCATGATGCAACCCACAACAGTTGCCCAACTTCTGGGTATCTATTTACTGCTTGATTAGCAGATGCATCAGGTGAAAGGAAACATGACTATGGAATAACCATCTCTGTCTTGCCATGGACTGAAGCAGAGACCCTCAGTTGTGAGCCAATGACAGACCACTGTGCTACAAGATAAAAAAATCACCAGGGAAAAATTGAGGACCTTTGATAAGCTGCCAGCTTCCTGTACCACTGAGGCCAGTAGATGGATTGTGACCCTCTGGTAAATTAAGGTAATATTGTAGTTACCACACTTTGTTCATGTATTCACACACTCAATGCCACACTTTGTTTTAAAGTATTCCTTCTATTTTAAAGTATTTGTATTAAAATAAAGATGACCTTCTGCTGGGTCATCTTCATAACCCAGCAGAAGGGAGAATAATAATTATTCATTAATTATATTATTACAATAACCATTCAAATTAATTAATAATTATTATTCTTTATTCTGCTGGGGCATGAAGGAAGCCGGCTTCGAATTAAAGGGGGCTGTGACGATCTCTGTCTGGAACCCATAGGTGCAGGGCTCGGACGTTCACCTCCTGGGGCTTATGCATCCCAAGCTCTGCTCCAGGAGGCTGGGGTCATTCTTGCCCTTACTGAGGTGGTTCTTCTCCTGCCCTGACCACAGTAGTCTCTGGGTTAAGAGTCCCTGTGCCTTCTTTTACCAACTTCGAGGTAATCTCCGGAGCTGGAGCCCCTAGGGCAGTTCGTTGTTGCCTTCAACCTAGTTCTGACAGTTCCTGTGACAGTGCTGGAACCAATTGTATCGGCGTTTGCCTTTCCATTGGAGACTTTCTATACTGTGGAGAGGAAGAGGGGACCTGCTGCATGGGTGACAGCTTCTTCCCTGTATCAGCCTACCCTGGCTTTGCACCCTGGAGAGGCCACTCCTGATTGATAACCAGAGCACATCTCCATAGAGCGCAACTCTCCAGAGTCAAACTTAATCTGTGTAAATACTTTATGCAAATAAAGAGACCTACTCTATGGAACTCACTCCCTAATGAATTGAAAAGCTGTCCAACCTTTGCCTTATTCAAAAACAAAACAAAAAAAATACCTATTTCATCTTCATAGTTTCCTACCTAGTGCTTTAAACTCACACTGTATCTAGTGCTACCCAATCCCCCAATATATGTACCTAAGCCTTATAACTTTGCCACTCAAATCATTGATATCATCTGATATCATGGTTGTTATATTGAACACATATTGTGTGCTACCCAATCCCCAAAAATATATGTACCTAAGCCATACAACTTTCCCTTTGTGATCATTGCTTTCACCTTATATGTGCTATCAATATGCTTTAATGTGCCTACTAATCTTTGTCAAATTATTAATCAAGCTATTAATGCTACCAATTAAAGTTATCAATGTGCTTTAATAAACCTACTAATCTTTATCAAATTTTCTTAAATATACTTATTAACATTTTATAAATTTTGCTAGAATTTACCTACTTAATATTATCTGTTAGATTAACACTTTCGCGCTTTGGGCAAGTGAGCGCCAGACCACCCCAAGGTGGGCCGGACCTTCCACGGGAACACGTGGTTTTCAATTTTGGTTTTCACTCTTTTTAAATTTTGTCACTTCAATTCTCGTCCTATATTTTTCATTTTGGTATCAATGTGTTTGCAATGGAATTCCCTACAGGAATATATATATGCATATAAAGAACACAAACAAGGCATACCACCCACACGAAATCGAGAAATTGGCAGCGTGTTACCCGTGAGCGCCCAAGAGCAAAAAATGTGTATACTCTTTTCACTTTGGTCACCTTAATTCTCGTCCTAGGTCTTTCATTTTGGTATCAATGTGTTCACAATAAAATTCCATACAGGAGTATATGCATATAATGTTAAAAACCGCGGCGCACCCCACCTGCAACCAAGCCAAAAGCAGGCCGAATTTTTTAAATTTTTGATGCACCGATGCATCATTCTTGCACATTCGTCTAATAAATTTTTGACGCAATACTGCATCGTGCCCGTGCCAAAGTGTTAAGACCCTGCCTGAAACGCTGTGCGTACAAGTGGCTTTACAAGAATGTAAACACATCATGCTATGTACTCTCACAAACCCATGTATCTTCTTGTATATATATAAATAAATGTGTGTAAATCACAAAAATTAACATGTGATGAAAAATGTGACAGTGTCAGACCATGGAGGAAGAATTGAAACAGAAATTTCCTTAAGTACTTTCATATATTGCTACATCTTCAGAAGGAATAGGAATAGTAAACAGGATTCCTATTCCTTCTGAAGATGTATTAATATATGAAAGTACTTAAGGAAATTCCTGTTTCAATTCTTCCTCTGTGATCTGACACTGTCAGATAAATAAATAAATAAATAGTCTCCCGAAACTGATGGATGCCTACTACTACTTTATTTTTAACATATAGTAATGAGATTTTACAAATGTTGACATATTATAAAATAAATTATCATGGCATGACTTCTAAAGTTGTGCAGATCATTCCAAAATGCAGAACAATAAATATTTTCATTTATTTTTTTATTTATATATATATACACAAGAGTTCTTACATTCTTGAACAGCCACTAGCATGCGTAGCACTTCGGGCAAACGCTACGAGTGCATAGGTTGGCCAATGCAGCACTAATGGGGGCTCCATTGTCATATGTGATTTGTTGATGTTAGACTCGAGAGCAAAAGAATAAGTAATTATGAAGACTAGCATTTTAATATTAAACTGAAATGCAATATGTATACAAAATTCCACAAAATCTTAACAACTGTCATGGAAGGGGTTATGTGTGCAACTCTGTATTCTTTACTTTGAATTACAGACATCTATCCATTGAAAAAATTTAAATGACCCAGAAATTAATTATTTTTCAATGGATAGAATGTCTATAATACAAAATTAAGAAATACAGTAGAGTTGCACACATCATCAACAAAATACAAATATACAGAGACAATGAGAAGAGAATAATCTCAAATTGCAGATATTGTTTTTCCTGTAAGTCTTTATCAAATCTAACAAGGACACACAAACCTAGTCTTTATAATTATTTATCCTTTGGCTCTCGATTCTAACATCAACAAATCACATATGACAATAAAGCCCCCATTAGTGCTGCATTGGCCAACCTATTCATGGAATCCCTTGAACCAAGTTTGTCCCCAGCACACCAAGATGATCACACTATGTCAAAAATGTTATGGTTAGGACATCATTATGCACATTAACAAGCTATAAATAACTTTGTATTACAGTATTAACAAATGTCATATTAAGATCACAGCATATCATTCATAGGGCTCGCATTATATAAAAAATATTTACATTCCCGTCTCCAGTCTACCAGTCTCCGTGGTGAAGTGGTAAGACACTCACCTGGTGTTTCGCGAGCGCTTTGTCATGGGTTCGTATCCTGGCCAGGGAGGATTTACTGGGTGCAAATCCTTAATTGCAGCCTCTGTTTAACTCAACAGTAAAATGGGTACTTGGTTGTAAAAGCGATTTTTCGTGGGGGTCGTATTCCAGGGACCTGCCCGAAACACTACGCGTACTAATGGCTGTACAAGAATGTAACAACTCTTGTATATATCTCAAAAAAAAAAATATGTTGTATGTATACACTAAAAATAAAATATCAACTGTTACATTCAAAACATAATCATGGCCAAAAGTCAATATAGGGATGATAAATTTTCAGTAAATATGCATGAGAATTTGCTCAATAAAGTAGTACTGACTGGCTAATGATGGACTAACGTAAAATACAAGATATAAGAGTTCATAATGACTTGTCACCCTGAAGTGCTTAGAATGACAGTTCTTTTTTCCCAAAAAATTGCCCATAGGAAATTTTTGTTGCTGTCATATAATTATAAAAATATTTATAGATTCCATATAGCTTTCTGTGGACACTTTTTTTTTTGCCACTTGCAGCGAGCATAATGAGTGAGTGGAGAGAAAGAGCCAGTCTGGGTGAGTATAGCAAGGATGAGGGTGAGGGTGAAGATAGGTGGGCAAGTCAGGCAGCCTGCGATTGGGTGATGCTGCACACAGTTCATCCACTCTTGCCTCAGCAAACATTAGCACACAAAATAAAAAATGGTTTTGAGAACATGGCGTCTTTTGTGGGGGGTTTTCCCCGAGATCGACTACCAACTTTCAATTCTGATTAGCTTATCAAAATAGATAATATTCAATTTTGTATAATACCAAACACACCATGTTCGAATAAATAAATATAAGCAGCAACTTTGGTCAGCCGACATCCAGGACTATCAACCAAGGCAACCAGACTCTCCAGTACGAACAACAATCCAAAACAAAATGCTAATATAAGAGACCCCTTTGGCGACAGCTTTGAACATGCCCAGTCTCCTCTGACGCCCCTTCTTCTGCAACGACTCCGCCAGTGTCTGTTGGTAGGAATGATTATCGACGATCTTGCCTTGGCAAGTAGAAATTTCTGAGTTTAAATGGGATTAGAATTGCTAAGAGTAATATACTGAGTAGTTCTAATTGTTTAGAGACCTGACTTAATAGCCTTGTAATCTGCTATTCTTGTTAATAATATGGCATATATTATGTGCTAATTATCATAGAATTACAGTACAGTATATTGTATTGCAGTTGAAGGCATATATCTCTTACATACCAGATGCCAATACACTACCATAATTTTATTTAGCCTACTCATCTTTTACTCAACAATACACCTTCCTACTTGTTACCAACCAGATAAAGAAGTGCTTACTATAGAAACAAGTGTGCAAAAGTCTTTGTAAACTATTTCAGTCTCTTATCTCACAGAATTAATGCCCCAAAAATTTACAAAATACACACATTCTAATTACTACTTTTAGTCCTCAGATGCTGTGACATAACAAAATTTCCATGTTATTTTGGGATACTCAGTGAGATTACTGACAAAGGCAAATTAGAAATGTATTATTCTCATGATTACGATGAAATGACTAATAACAAAAGATTTACGAAAGACTGAATTAGCAATGCTCAAGTATGAGAATACTGTCAAGTAAATTGTATTACATTATTATTTATTTAGAATCTTTATTTATAAATTTCATGGCCAACAGAGTTGTTAACTATTAAATGATTAGTTTTGAAACATTCACATGCTTCACTGACGCCACTTTTCATCAACCTTTGTCAGATACGGTTTTACTTCTGCTACAAACTAATTTATCATGTATATTCACTGTAAGCTATTAGGTTAGTATATCTTGCAATGTCACAACCACATCAACTACAGATTCTTTCTTCACAGCCTCCATAGCTATAGATCTATCAGTGTGCCCATATCTACAGTGTATATACAGATGCTGTGATCTCCGCTATAAACAGGCAGCTATGTTACTGACACACAGTGTGATCAAGATGCAAGTTCATATTCTAATACAAAAATTTTGCTTTAAATAGCATACAAATCTCACTAACTCTTAATCTAATCATTTAGGGGCTATTTAGTATATATAGTACATGATAAATTATGAAATATTTGAATAAAAAACCAGTGTTGAATGTAATGAAACGCCATTTTCTGGGCGAGTCCCGGTGGCTCCCCGGAGCCATCCAGGCTGATTAGGATATTCCTAACTTTGGCATCAGTCAATGTGGGTGAAGTTCTGGGCCTACCAGGGACCATGAGTCAGAACCTGCTCCCCTCATAGAGGCACGAGGAGCAATGGCCTATAGAAATGCACATGTCATTGCTCCACAATCACATGTGCATTTCTATAGGCCATTGCTCCTCGTGCCTCTCTGAGGGGACCAGGTCCTGACTCGTGGTCCTCGGTAGGAATAGAACTTCATTCACATCGACTGATGCCAAAGTTAGGGATATCCTAATCAGCCTGGATAGCTCCAGGGAGCCGTAGGGGCTCCCTCCCAGAAAATATAGCAAATATATTTTTATTAATATAAATATGTATAATTAAAGTATATATACATCTGGGTTTCCTGTGCAAAAGCAAAGTGTAATAGTCACTTGGCCACTGATATATATATAATATATATTATATATTATATATTATATATATATATATATATATATATATATATATATATATATATATATATATATATATATATATATATATATATATATATATATATATTATACATACATATATTATATAACATAATTTTTCTTGCTTTGAAAACTATTATTTACATTATTTGCACAGCTCTCCTTCCTTTGCCCTTCCCACTTCTATTGCACATCCTTACACAACAAACAAAATTAAATTTCATATAGGTAAGTATTATGCGAGGAACAACCTTTAAGAAAAGATTGTCATCCAGTATAACTCTTGCATTCAAAACTAAAATTAAATTCAGTCAAAATGCATTATTATTAAGGAAGAAACAGGTCTGAAATGTAATTTGTTAATCTCAAACAAAAATAAGCCTAGCTGGCAATGGATTTTTACTCTTCAAATGTTGTCCAAAATACTTTTTTCTGGCCCTTACCAGGCCCACATACCTGGTAAGCACGGGTCTTGCCACTCAGTGGCTCTCCCACCACCATGACACCATGACGCACCAGAATCATGTTGTACAGCTGCACCATCTTTTCCCGGAACCACGGCACATCCTAGAATGTCATGACATAATGCTTATGTTGACCTGTGACTTACCTGTGACTAGATCAGAAGGCAGATTTCTCTGGTGACTGATTGCTTTACTACTACCTTTACTACTAAATATTAGCATTTCAAATTGTAATATGTGTCTAAAGTCCTCAGTGAATGTGTAGTAATATTTTCCATTGAAGCATATATATGTACTGTATTACATTAGAAGTAATTGTTTTATAAAGTTGAGGCAAGGAATGTTTAAGAGGTGTGTTTTGATCACTCACAGTAGTGAAATTCATGACTTATAATGAATTGAACCATTGTCTCAAGGTGCTCAAGTTAACTGAGTTAGCTGTGGCACTCAAAAGGTTAAAACCAAAACAGCAATATTTTTATTCTCTACTGTTGTGAAGTGGCAAACTATGTAGATCAAGTATACATTGTCAACATCACATACCAAAGGTCCTGATCAAATTGAACTTTAAGTTCCTTCAACGTGGACACAAGGGGCACTGTATTCTATAGTGTTTATCATCATTTCTTTCCCCCTCTATCTATTCATACACACATGCAACAGTGAGGATTACAAGCTACTATTTGGCAAACATGACATTAACTCATGTAAAGGGGCCCAGGAGAGTAATCCCCCTTGCCACTCTTTTCCTTTTTAGACATTAAAGAAGTCACAGAAAACCTGTTCAGCAATCTTAATATCTAGTTCTTGGATATGGCACCCTTATGGCTTACAGACCAACTCCTAGTGAACATCAGAACAATTCAAGAATGAAAGTCATTCTAGGCCTCACTCTGAATTATTGCAAGTAAAACAAGTCTCATTCAACTAATACCTTATAACTCAAGTAAAAGATGTTTTGCCTGAAATACGCATAATTTATCCTGGAGAACATTCCTCTGAGTGCCTGTTGAAATGAATATCAGTGACATGGTCATTAGTAAGATCAGTACATGAGAAGATGTATAAAAGGATTGAAGACACTAATGCTCATGATGTCCTTTACATTCTCACAAGATGTCTGCCCATTCACAGGTTAACCTACTCTCTGAATTATTTGCCAATGCAGAACAACCTGAAGCTAGGTGAATATGACTGCTTACTGAAATCCTAATAACCCACAGTGGAAACAAGCCCCCCCCCCCCTTTTCTGAAGGGGGCTCGTTTCCCTGAAGGTTGAAGCTGACAGAGTCAGCATGGCCTTCTCTGATAAAGCACTCGAAGCGCAGAAAAGTCAATAAAATTCTTAAGAGGAGCCTCATCACAGCCAGATACCCAGCAGGGAGTGCTTTGTTTTCTAATATACCACAATTCTGCTAATCGAAAAGTCAAGTCCCATATATACAAGGAACTAGATCATAAAAAAAAATTGCCCCCTTTGCTCAAGAAAACCATTGTACCTGTAATAAAAGCATCGATCGCTTTCTTAAGGATTGTTGTTCTAAGTTTTGCCAGTACCTCAATGTGGCAATACAGAAGGGTAATGAACAATGCATTATCACTTCCTGCCTGGCATTCATATAGATCTATGAGAGCTACATCCTGTGATGATACAGTGTAGTTTTTCATGTAAGCAATCTTGTAAAATAAAACTTAAAATCAAATAAATGAGGGGTTGTAGATGGCAATGCATGTGATGTGTGTGTGCATGTGTTTAATGCTAATTTTATGAAATAAATATTCATTATTCTTATGACAACCTTGATTTAGCACAAACCTGGAGATTATTGTCAGCCATTGTCTTCTTCAATGATGCTTCAAGTGCAGCATCTGGCATGATGGCATTGTGTCTCTCTGATGGGAACAAGTCCTGCACGATGCCTTCAAACAGTGGTACATCCTGTAAGATCCATACTTAATGTAGCACTTCCTGGTGTTAAACAACTACTCTTTAGCATCAAACACAACTAGTGCTCTCTGGCATCAAACACAACTAGTGCTCTCTGGTATCGAACACAACTAGTGCTCTCTGGCATCAAACACAACTAGTGCTCTCTGGCATCAAACACAACTAGTGCTCTCTGGCATCAAACACAACTAGTGCTCTCTGGCATCAAACACAACTAGTGCTCTCTGGCATCAAACACAACTAGTGCTCTCTGGCATCAAACACAACTAGTGCTCTCTGGCATCAAACACAACTAGTGCTCTCTGGCATCAAACACAACTAGTGCTCTCTGGCATCAAACACAACTAGTGCTCTCTGGCATCAAACACAACTAGTGCTCTCTGGCATCAAACACAACTAGTGCTCTCTGGCATCAAACACAACTAGTGCTCTCTGACATCAAACACAACTAGTATTCCCTGGTATCAACACAATGTAGCACTCTGTTCCTAGTGTTCCCCACACTTTTGTATCTATTTCAATATACTCATTACTCGAGTACATTGAATTACACACACACACATATTAATACACCTATGGTTACTTCTCATTATCCCCAGAGGAGAGTGTGAGGGGAAAATGCTGTCCTGGAATGTAATCGACTGTGTTGTTCTGGAGTATATGGGCAGTTGTATTGTTATGGAATGTGTGAGAGATTATGCTGTCCTGGACTGTGTGAGGGTTTGTGTTGTCTAATTTGTGGTGTCTCACACAGTAATTTTGAATCTGTGTTGCCTCACCACACTCTAGAGACCGACCACCCAATGTCCTGCACATTGTAGTTATTCAGTGTGAATAATCACATCTTTCTGAAACAATCATTAGAGATATTGATACCTAAGAGATCTACTAGAGCAACACACCTGAGCCAGAAACTTGGGTAGATTGACATCTTTGATGGCCCTGAGGACAACCTGCGGCTCAGAGATATCTGGCATTTGGAGCTTAAGGTTATTGGCAGCCAGAAGAACAGCCTTGACGGCCCTCATACCATAGTCATAGTGATGCTGTGATGACAGCTGCTCTGAACACAGTCGGTATGTGTCAATGATCTTCCGTGCCAAGCTGTCAAAGCACTTCTTTTGTAATGATTAATTTTCATACATTAACAAGTTAATTAATATTACAGTCACATCATTGCACAAAAATTAATTAAAAAACAATATCCACAAGAAAATCCATTGCAAAATAGTTTTAATACTACGGTATGGTACAGTATTTAAGAAACTGATATACACCATTACTAAAAATTTCATAATAATGAACAGACAATCTACTTAGTTTTATGACAGAATCAGAGACTTCACAGGAAAGAGTGGTTGGTTTGACTGCATTTATCTGAACTTAAAAAAAAAAAAGTTTTGATAGTCCCACACTAGAGGCTGTTCTGGAAGCTGAAAAATGCTGGAGGGGTGGTAAAAGGACTTTTGCCGTGGATGAAAATTTTTCTAATCAACATAAAAATTAGGGCAGTAATTAGAGACAATGCATCAGTCTGGAGAAATGTTACCAGTGGATTACCACAAGGGTCTAGCACCAATAATATTCTTTGTCAATACAAACAACCTTAAAGTAAATATAGATTTATCTGAACTTGTTTGCTGATAATGCTCAGCTACTAAGGAAGATAAGAGACTGACATGTGCCATGCTCTTCAAAATGACCTGGAAAAAATAAGCGTATGGAATAATACTTGGGAGATAGATGCCAAGGTGTCAACGATAGATATCAACATTAATAAATGCCACTTTATGGAATGTGAAATAGGAGAAAATAGGCTACACACAACCTAAAAATGATATGAAAGGCATTAAACAACTCTGGACAAAGAAAGAGATCTATGGCTCCTCTTGGAAAGTAAACTATCACCACAGGATCACCTAAAGGACATTCTGCGATGAGCCTATACTGTGGTTTCCAATTTCATAACGGCTTTTAAAAACATGAATGGTGTTGACCAGACCACACACTAGAAGATGAAGGGACGACGACGTTTCAGTCCGTCCTGGACCATTCTCAAGTCGATTGTGAGAATCGACTTGAGAATGGTCCAGGATGGACCGAAGCGTCGTCGTCCCTTCATCTTCTAGTGTGTGGTCTGGTCAACATACTTCAGCCACGTTATTGTGACTCATCGCCTGAACATGGATGGTGAAACACTGAAGAAACTGTTCACAATGTTTGTGGGACCAAAGATGGAATATGCAGTGGTTGTACTGTGCCCAATATCTCAAAACAGCACATCAATAAACTGGAAAATGTGCAAATAAATGCTACTGAATGGCTTTTAGAATTGAAAAACAAGAGCTACAAGAAGAGACTAAAGGTATTAAATATGCCAAAGCTAGAGGAAAGAAGAAAGATGATATGATCACTATATACTAAATATTAACAGGAATAGATAAAATTTATAAAAAGAAATTCTTGAAATCTACAACTTCAGAAATAAGAGATCATAGGTTTAAGTTAATGAAACAAAGGTGCCAAAATATATTAGAATGTTCTATTTTGCAAACAGAGTGGTGGGCTATTGGAACAAGTTAAGAGAGAAGAAAGTTGATGCCAAAACCGTCAGCACAGTAGTTTCAAACCATCACACGAGAAAGAGTACTGGGAAGATTGGACACGAGTGTAGCTCTCGTCTTGTATTTACATGTAGGAAATTACACTTTAGAATTACAAAGTACAGTGAACAATCTGTCATATCTTTGCTTGAACATCTTTACCCACTTTGTAGCAGTTGAATTAATTCATTGCATTTGTTGTATAAACTTCTTTTATTATGAGTGTCATGACACTGACAGAGTGTATTAAGTTTTGTAAAAATCTTAAAAGTCAATCAAATTAATCTATAATTCAATTTAAATTAGGTGAAACAAATAAGTACTTTCATTTTATCCAAATGATTTAATGTTTTTAATCACTGCTCAGTAGTGGGGCTGAAATTTATATGCAGACTCTTGTGGTACATTAAAACTAAAACTTCCACTTTACTGATGTGATTTTGACTTTAGAACATCCATTAATGTTACTACCTGGGAAATAAAAAGTAGCCTGTTACCAGCAGCTTCAATCAGTATTGAGGGCTCCATATGTCCTTTCCAGAGAAAACTTAAAACCAGTTGTGACTGGAGGAGGCACTCAAGAAGTATTTAAAGTGTGTATCTTGTATGCATAATGAACTTGATCAAACACATTAACTAGTGTGTACTAATTTAGTTATTGTTAAGTGATAAACGAACCTGTCAGCATGGACGAAACCCATCGAAAAGAGGACGATCTTGGCTATCATGACATAGTCGGGTACCATCATGGCAACTGTGCGAAAGAGTACCTTGAGGTTGTCCGGAAGCTCGCGCCGACCCGCATACCTGGTAAGAGTGGCATATTAATCAGGTATGATCTTTTTGCCTCCTCCAGGTTGGGTTAGGGCCTAAATTTGGCATGCCACACAATTTTTCTCACTCCCCTGACATATAACACCCACATAGCCAATCTTACATGTACACAAACTGACAGACACAGGCAAACAGAGTAGTTAATTATACCTCCCTGAAAGCACATAAAGGTAAGAGCATATAATCAGGTACATACACACACATACACATTGAGGAAAGGCACATTGAGAATATTTGTAATCTTAAGGTACTCTTGAAATGTTGCCATCATTATGGATCAGCCTAGTTTGCCCATGTTAAATATTTGAGTTTTAATATCCCAAGGAGACAAAAAACAAATAAAAATTAATTACCGGTAACTTATTAAATGAATATGAACTGTGTTGATCCATAATAATTTCATTTTATATTCTCTTTCTATCCTTTCCCTTGCCTGTGTTCTCTATGGCTTGCTATGTCTTACTGTTTGCTCTGAGCAGCAGGGTACCCTGCTGAGACTAAACTACAACTATGTTGCCTCCTACTCCCCAATTCCTTCCCTCCATGACTATGACAGTGACTAGTTAATTTTCATGCATCTAGTAATGAACTCGCTGCCTCTCTCCAGCCGCTGTGCCAAAGCACTAACAAGGAAAGGTTATAGGCCTCTGCAATACTACTGTCATAGCAAACTTTGCTCTACCCTCATTCATAATGATTACAGTTTTAATATGCATTTCATAATTTAATGGGACAACTCAATACAGTACTTTTAAAACTACTATTTTATATTAAACACTTCTGAAAATAAAAAAATATTCAACTGTAAAGTTTGGAAATAATTTTACATAATTTTGATGGAGATGTGGTGGTAGTAGTGGAAAAGGGAGGTTTGGGCATATGTATGCTGTGGATGTCTAGTGGGTGGGAAAGAGCATGTGTGGGCAAGAGCATGGGTGAAGAAGAGCGTAAATGTGGGGAGATGGAGAATGGTGGTATTTAGGGTAATCTGGGTTTGTGATTGAGTGGTGTGGTGGTGGTGATTTTTATATGGTGTATTTTTTTTTCTAAACTGTCATAAAATTCTTTTGACTCAAAGCCATAAACATTAAAATTATTCTCTCATTCTTAACAAATTTAAGAAAACAATATGGAAATAAAAGGCATTTTAAGTATCGGCACAATGAGGCATCTTCCAGATACGGAAACACATGACAATAGGAAAACCAGAAAAACAAATAATGTCGTGTTAAGCAGCTCAGTGAAGATAGAACCCTTAGTTTTATCATCATTAGTAAGTAAGATACTTTTAATGTCAAGACATTTCAAAGAAACAAAATATATTTCTCCACATGGTATCCTTCTCTTTTTAATATATATCTCCCACTGCAAAATTGATGATTGGATTCTATCCAAGAAGAATTTCTTTAGTTGCTTGCCAAACTACTCGAGCACAGCTTATTAAACCTTGTTCTTAAATATATTAGTTATAACAGTCAACATAATTAAAGATCCTTCTATAAATCTTACAATACATTTCTATTTTAGTCTGCAATATATTTTTCAGTTAATGAAATGGATAAAATATGAATGAAAAGAAGTAACACTGTAAACCCAAATACTCTAGGTTATTACCAAGGGCAGCTTTATCTTGGAGCCAGTACACAACAAGCTGCATTACATCACACTGCTTGTTAGTTAACGTGCATGTATGCATTTATGGGACTTCACGAACCATTACACACTATACTTTTTAAGACTTTTCAACAAACTTACTGTTCATGACAGCAGGGTAAAAGTGAATACAATAAATATAATTATTTATAATATGTTTCAAAGGCACATAATCACTGCCAACAAGTCAATGTTGGCATGGCAAAAGTAAGATGTACAAAGTGTTATAGAATACTGCTGCAGCTGTCATCAATAGTAATTGTTAAGGAGCCAAATATACAGTTGTTTTATTACACAAAGCATGCATGTGTAGTGTTTGGGGTCATCCATGCATTCTGTCTCATATACAGAAATTCTGCTACTACACGAGTACTTCAGGACCACTGGGACACTCAACTCACCAAGGTAACTAAAATATTGAAAAATGGCATCGCAATTTAACAAATTGGTATTGATAATTATTATATAACCCAACACAAACAAAAGGTTACCAGAGAAGCTTAAGTAAAAATATCTTATGTATAAAGTGACAACTTATTTTGTTAGCAATAGACTTAATTCTTTGATTTTCATTGTATGGCATAGTCTGGTCGTTGATAATTTTAATTTTAAATTAAATTTGTATTTGTTAAATTTTATTTTTAAATTGTTATATTGTATAAAATTTTAATTTTTATAAATCACAATGTTTAAGTTAATATAAAACTACAATATTTTAGCTCCTGTTTTTTCAGATCGGTTAACTGAGGAACTTGGAGACAGCATGAGGATTTATGCACTAGTCACATGCTGTCTAGCCACTCAAGTACCAGAAGGAACCCAACTCTGAGAGTGCCGCCACCACTGCCTTACCAGGCGGCCCAATCACCCTCGCTGCTTCCTGCCCCTGAACGCTGACATGACACCTTTGTGTCTTTCCTCACACCGTACCTACAAAGTTTACTTGTTAGATAAATTATACATATTATTTTTTAACAGTTTTCCCCTAAATAATGTGTATATCTGAAATTCAAAGTACAGTACAAAATATACTATAATGTAGATTTCCTGTAACTTCTGCATCAGCCACATTCACAGGAACTAAAATTGTAAGAAAAAGATAGAATTCATAATATGAAGTGTCAACATCACCCCATTCCTGAAAAAAGCTTAGATATATTATCCAATGTGCAGAATTTAATCAATGTCAGATGGGACTTATCTTCATGTTTACCAGGATGGAGAAGGACTTACCCAGGGTTCATGGTTATGAAGATGTTGCAGCTGGGGTTCAAAACCAAATCGACCCCTTCAAAAATAAATCTGGGAGCCTTGCGAGACACAGCAGCCTGGATTGTCTGGATCTGTTGCCCCACCACTGACAAAACTTCCAGTTGAATGCGGTTAAATTCATCAAAGCAGGCCCATGCCCCACTCTGTGCCAAACCCTGTGGGTGTGATTAGTTCCTTAAATCCATTTCATATACAATATTACCAAATATCAGATAAATGCAGAGAATTGCAGTAAGAGTCAAACAAGTTACAAGCTCTTAAGGTCACCAACCATTAGACTACAAAACATCAAAGGATTACATAGCTATGTATTTATCATATACAGCATTACAGTATAACAACTATAAAAGGATTTTTTTTTTACATTTAATTGTCCCATCTTCCTATTTTATTTCATTATAAATGCAGGAATAAAAACTTCTAGAGGTTTTAGCACCAGAGCCATTAATCTTTCCCAGTAGCTCATATTTCTTAATACTGAAATCCATTTTTTGGAATGCCTTAAGGTGCAGGAACCATAAACATCGTGAGTGTGCATGTGTGTGTAATACTGTATTTGCATTACCTTAAAGAACTTGCCCATGGCCTTGTAGTCAAGACCATCAGAACAGTTGAAAATGATGCACTGCTTAGCCACAGCCTTGGCCAAGTCCTTGCAGGTTTCTGTCTTGCCCGTGCCAGCTGGGCCCTCGGGAGCCCCGCCCAAGTGCAGCTTTAGGGCCCCCATCAGTGTCCTAACCAAAGAGGAGAGGCACAGAGTAATGAATGGAAGCTTATATATGATAATGATGTGTGGAAGCTTGTGTATAATACTCCCATTATTTTTCAAATTAAAACACACAATGCTAAAACAACATTCCAGGAAACCTAAGATCTTTAATTCTTATTTTTAATTCATTATTGTATAAACCAGGCATTGAATGTAATGAAACGCAATTTTCTTAGTAAGATCCAGAGGCTCCTCGGAGTTATACCAGGCTGATGTGTATGTATTAGACCATGGCAACAGTCAATCGATGGAGTTCTGGGCCTACCGGGGGACCAGCGCCAGAACCTGGCCCCCTCAAGAGAGGCACGAGGAGCAATAGACTATAGACACCCCCATGTAATTGGAAGCAGTCTGTGTCTGCCGTCTACCAGGTCAGGCACCCAGAAATGTAGGAATTCCAAAACAAACTACTGCTGGTTAAAAACTGCAAACCGAAAGCCAAACTAGTAAGCAGAACTCCCCAGTCAAAAACAAGCAAACAAGCATGATGTCACCACAGCCTGGTAGGCAGAACTTCACTGACTAAAGCCCTGGTCTAATGTATCGAATATTAGCCCGATAGCTCCAGGGAGCCGAAGGAGCTCCCCCACAGAAAAAAGTATAAAACGTGCACATTTATTTATTTATGTATTTATGGTATTTACAAAGACTAAAATGGGTAAAGTATAAATAGATAACAAAGAATAGTTAGATAACATTGGTGTTCTTACATTCTTGCAAAGCCACTAACACACATAGTATTTCGAAGAGGACACCAGGTGTACATGAAGATTAAATTTTTGTATGTGAAGAGATTAATAGACAAAGCATGAAGAGAACAGATAAAGACCAGCAATGGGGGGGAAGGGAAAAGAGAGATAAAAGCCAATGATTAGAGCAATAGAAGCCAAGGAGATAACAGAATTCGACATCAAATATTCTGGTAATGCTCATGTACCTGAAGCAGCGGTCAGTTAATGGAGTAATCACCAGCCTTGAGGTGTTGCCAAGGTACTCATAGCCATACTGGAGACGAGTCATAATCATGTCCACCTGGACAAGCTCGTTAACCCAGTAGTAGCGCATCTGCGACACCCATGTGAAGTCCGTCACGGAATCCACTCTTTTACGAATCAGTTCCTGAACTACATCACGACCTGTAGTAGGAGCCAAAAATTATTTCACAGTAAGATACATGGGCAAGAAGTGTAGATCATTTCATTACATCTGTTGAGGTAAAAAATTAATAATATTAGAATAAAAAGCTAATAAGTATGTGTTACCAAACATTACATCTCAAGCACACGTATTACAGCATACCGTATAGATACGAAAAGTATTAGATCTCATAAAAAGCACATTAGAACACTTAACATTACACCAGTACAGTAGTACATCTAATCAACAATGCTAACAGTATACATGAAGACTCAAGGGCAAGTGTTATATTATATATTAAGAACACATTTAACTTTATATATCTGCACTGCAGGAAAAATAATTTGCTATACATACTTACTTCCACAACAGATCCAGGAGAAAAGTTATTAAATCCAATTAGACGAGAAAGATCAACATGTTAGATCCAAAGAGAAAAGAAAGAGCAAGATATTAAATCCAGCAGAAGAGAAAAGTCTAGAGATAAAAAGATTTGAAAAATAATAAGAATGATCACTGAGGAACTAATGATCAAGTAAAAAGACAAAGGTCTAAAAATAATTAGTAATCTAATGAAAAGAATTAGAAAGATCCAAGGAGAGTGATCCAGGAATAAGGAGAGAGATCAAGTAAGAATATGGAGATAATTCAATGAAGAGAGAAATCTAGAAAGAAAGAAACATAGTAAGAAAAGGAAATCCAGTAAGATGGTAAGTAATCCAGTAATGAAAGAACCAGAAAGAAGAAAAAATGGAGACAGGTAGAAAAACAGTCTTATGCCCACCCCTGCATTATAATCCATTTTAATTTTTCCTGTTTTCATATTAGTCTCCTACTTATAAAGAATTTAATGCCCTTTTTAAAATCTCCAAATCTACATATATTTAAACCCACACAATAATTCATACACATTTTCGAAGGTCAAGCAAGAAGTAGAAAGAAAGACAGGGAGATGAAGTGAGAATACAGTTGTAAGTAAAACGGTATCTGGAGAGGAGAGAGAGCCAGTAAGTATAACTTTATTTATTTATTTTATTTTATTTATGCATATACAAGAATGTACATAAGGAATGTGAGGATACAATTATGGTAATTACAGTCTTGTAAAGCCACTAGCACGCGCAGCGTTTCGGGCAGGTCCTTAATCTAAGAAAATTTTAAGGAGGTAAATACTTGCAAAATTTATAGACAAAAAAATTATAACAGATTACATGGAATGAAAAAAAAAAAAGATGAGAGAAAATTATAGGTACAGTATATTAAAGCACATAGGTAGCTATGATTGATTGCAATGACAGCTTAAAATGGTAGTTGACAACAAATTGGTAGGCACAATACAGCAGAAACAATATAAGATTGATTGCAATGACAGCTTGAATGGTAGTTGACAAAAATTGGTAGTCACAATACAGCATATGGCTAGCACATAAAAGAAGACAGCAATGAACACAATGATAAGGTTGTTTGATATTACATAAAAATTAGGAGATTGGGTACCACTAGGTACAGAGCAAATTTAAAGCTCAGTGTAGGAAACTAAATAGATGAAGTTAGGTACTTTTTGGTTTTGCTTTTAAATAAGGCAAAAGTTTTACAGTTTTTCAATTCACTAGGGAGTGAGTTCCATAGACTAGGTCCCTTAATTTGCATAGAGTGTTTACACAGATTAAGTTTGACCCTGGGGATATCAAAGAGATATTTATTTCTGGTGTGGTGATAATGGGTCCTATTACATCTGTCCAGGGAGAGTTTCAGAGCATGGTTTGCATTTAAGAACAGGGTTTTGTAAATGTAGTTGACACAAGAGAATGTGTGGAGGGAGTTAATATTTAGCAAGTTTAGAGATTTAAACAAGGGAGCTGAGTGTTGTCTGAAAGCAGAGTTAGTTATTATTCTGATAGCAGATTTTTGCTGTGTGATGATGGGCTTAAGGTGGTTTGCAGTGGTAGACCCCCATGCACAGATACCATAATTAAGATAGGGGTAGATTAGTGCATAATATAGTGAGAGGAGAGCAGAGTTAGGAACATAATATCTGATTTTGGAGAGTATACCAACTGTCTTAGAGACTTTCTTAGTTATGTGTTGAATGTGGGTGCTGAAGTTGAGTCTCTTGTCTAGGAATAGGCCAAGAAACTTGCCATCATTTTTATTACTGATGTTAATGTTGTCTATCTGTAGCTGAATTGCATTTGATGATTTGCTTCCAAATAAGATGTAGTAAGTCTTTTCGATGTTTAATGTTAGTTTGTTCGTTGACATCCATAAGTGGACTTTTTTTAATTCATTATTCACAACATTATTTAGTGTATGTGGGTTGAGGTTTGAGTAGATAAGGGTAGTATCGTCAGCAAACAATATAGGTTTGAGAATATTAGAGACATTAGGCAGATCGTTTATATATATAAGAAATAGAAGAGGTCCTAAGATGCTGCCCTGTGGCACTCCAACGGTAATTGGTAGAGTGGAAGAAGTTGTATCATTGATGGTTACATATTGGTGTCTGTCACTAAGATAGGATCGGATGTAGTCAAGGGCAAGGCCTCGGATTCCATAATGCTGGAGTTTAAATAAGAGGTAGTTGTGATTAACAGTATCAAAGGCTTTTCTTAGGTCAATGAAGAGTCCAATCGGAAACTCATTTTTGTCAAGGGCTGAGTAGATAATGTCAAGGAGACTAATGATTGCATCATTGGTACTCTTTTGGGACCGGAAGCCAAACTGGCAGGGGCTGAGTATGTCGAATTTTACGAGGTAGGAATAGAGCTGTTTGTAAATAATTTTTTCAAATATTTTTGATAGAATGGGTAGATTTGATATTGGTCTATAATTGTTTATGTCCGCCGGATTGCCTCCTTTATGGACTGGCGTTACTCTTGCTTTTTTGAGGATATCAGGGAAGGTGTGACACTCTATAGATTTGTTGAACAGTAGTGCTATGGGTGGGGCAAGGGCATGGGAGGCTCTCTTGTACACAATGGACGGAATTTCACTGGTGTTCCCTGCCTTGGTTTTTAGAGAGTGTATGATGGACACAACATCTGCCGGGCTGATTGGTGAAAGGAGAAGAGAGTTTGGATAGCTGCCTGAGAGATATGTGTTAATATGTGTCTGAGTCTGTGGGATTTTACTGGCAAGATTAGCACCAACCGATGAAAAGAAACTATTAAATTCATTTGCCATTTCTAAATCAGTTGACGGTATATCCCCATCCTTGTAGAGTTTTATTTGATTATGTGAGTGTTGTTTAGTTCCTAGGATACTAGAGATAGTTTTCCAAGTGTTTTTCATGTTGCCTTTTGCTTCATTGAATCTATTCACATAATATGCAAGTTTTGCCTTTCTTATGATACTGGTAAGCATTGATGAGTACCTTTTAGCTACTTCCTTTGAAACTAGGCCAATCCTAACTTTCTTTTCATATTCATGTTTCTTGTTGATTGAGTTGAGAATGCCATTTGTGAGCCATGGATTGTTTAATCTTTTGTCAGTTACTTGCTTTGTAAGAAGGGGACAATGAAGGTTGTAGAGGCTTAGAGTTTTGGAGAGGAAGAGGTTAGCTAATGAATTTATATCATGGGTATTATTGAATTCAGAATCCCAGTTAATATTGTGAAGTGCCTCTGTAAGATTGTCTAAAGCTGATTCACTGTGTAGCCTAAATGAAAATTTCTTGCTTTTTGGTGGTGTTATGTCCATGTTCGCTATGAGAAAGGTAGGATAGTGGTCAGTTGTTCTGTCGTAGATTATACCAGATACAAGGGGAGCTGTTATGTTTGTCCATATGTGGTCCAAGGTAGTGGCTGATGTTTGAGTGACTCGGGTAGGTTTGGTGATAGTGGGGATTAGCATACAGGAGTTCATGCTGTTAAGGAAATAGTCAACTTGAGAGCAGTTTTGTTGACCCAGGTCAATATTAAAGTCTCCTCCCAGAATGATGTGGTTTTTGTTGAGATTGTTGTTTATAATAAGATTCCTTAGGTTGTCTGAGAAAGAAGCTATGTTAGTATTGGGAAATCTATAGATGGCTCCAATAGTCAAAGAGGATTTAAGGGATTTAATTGTAAACTGAGCAAAAGTATATTCACAGTAGTCATCTCTGTCACTAATAACACTGTTGCAGATAAATGTATCTCGGTAATATATAGCTGTGCCACCACCTTTTTTATTAGGCCTACAGTTATGAATGGCTTTATAACCAGCTAAGTTGTAGAGTTGGGTATAGTCTTTATTTAGCCAAGTTTCTGTTAAAATAATGAACGATAGGTTAGTACCTAGTGCTGTGAGTAGTGCATTTAAATCGTCAAAATGTTTACCAAGTGATCTAACATTTTGGTTATAAACTGATAGATAGGTGCTATTTTGGAGTTTGTTTTTAGCCTGGTGTGCTGTGAAATACTTACAATAATGATGATCAATGTGCTGGTTGGTATAGATATGAGACAGAAGATTTTGATCAGGATCAATATCAGTGTGCATAGAGATGCAGAGGGATCACGATACAAGATACACGATAAAGCAAAACACAAGAATAAGAGCAGATACAATAAAATAGTAACAATTTAGAAGTAAAATAAAGATCCAATAGATAGCCAGGGAGGACACAGAAGTTACATAAAATAAAACACAAAAAATCAGTAGAGACTGACAATATAAATGTAAAATAAAAAATAATAAGAAAAATAATAATCATAAAAAATGATCTTGAAGATAATTAGCTTAGTAATGGTTAATTAACAGGGTAATAAAAAGCCCTAGGTTTAGTGACAAGGGGATTAACTAAGAACAAATAATTAAGAGTATAAAACAGGCAAAGATGACAAACAAAAAATAAAGTAAAAATAAAAATAAAAATAAAAATAAACACCTTTGGAAAGGAAAGGCAGAGCTTCAGTACACTTTGGTTGTATGTGAGACTACAAATTATGTTCGGTTATTCAGCTGATATCCCACAGTCATCCAGGAAAGAAGTGAGGTGTGCTTCAGTGGTTATGACATAAGTTTTTCCAGAGTTATTTCTGGAAGAGCTTTCCAACTTAAAGCTGATGAAGATCTGTACAAAGATCCAGAAAAAAAAGAGAAAACTTTAAGGATAAACAAAGACAGAATCCCTCACCGTGGACATAGGTAACAATGAGTGAGCCAAGTGTGAGGCGAGTACCATGCTCCAGCTGGCCCCGCACCATGCTCACCACCTCCTTGATGCGGGTGTCGCATACTTCCAGATACTCCTGCAGAATCACACACCATCACCAACAGCATTTTACACCAGATTTTAGGCAGTCTTCAATGATATATTCCATATTTTGTAGATATTTCTTCAAAAGCTGAAGTAATCACCTAACTTATTCACTTAAACACAAAATAATAAGAAAGTACATGAATATAACAGAAATATGGTCATTATTATGCTGCCAGTCTAATAAAATGAAATGGTTAACAATGACTATTTATACCTATTCTGCAGCTGCTAATAGGTTACTAACAAAACATTCCTAAATTCAATATTATTTGGGCAAAATGATCGATTCATGGATTACACCACATTAAGTACCATATGCTCCTTATTAAAGTGCAAGAGAGAAGAGTTTTGGTGTGTTGTAAGAAACAAATTACTGTATGGCAGAAGTAGATGCTCACATGCAACTCCTGATTGTTTCATGCTGCCAACATAAGATTCAAACAAGTTTGGAATTTACTAAATTTAATCAGATCAGTGGCCATGATAACAACAGTAGCATATAAAGGAAAGGATATTGGATAAGGGGTGCAGGAGGAGGGATTCTAGATGAAGGGTGCAGGAGGAGGGATCCTAGATGAAGGGTGCAGGAGGAGGGCTCCTAGATGAAGGGTGCAGGAGGAGGGATCCTAGATGAAGGGTGCAGGAGGAGGGATCCTAGATGAGGGATCCTGGATGAGGGATCCTGGATGAGGGATCCTGGATGAGGGGTGCAGGAGGAGGGACCCTGGAGGAGGGGTGCAGGAGGAGGTACTCTGGATGAGGGGGTACAGGAGGATCCTAGATAAAGGTTATAAAGTAGGAATCCTATGCTGATAGAGATGAAAGTCATGAAAATACTAAAGATATAATGAGAGGGAAGGAAAGAAAGACAAAGGCAAAGATGATAAACTGCAAACTTGTCTGCTGACTGGTGTGAGTTATGTATTGTACCTCACTTATCTTAAAATTCTCAAATGTTCATGTATCATATGTATGTACTCTTGCATAAATAAAATATTATAATTATCATCTATAAACTTATGTACCGACAGGTGTGAGATCCTCAGCCATCTGTACACTTATCTACTGACAGTGGTGAGAGACCCTGTCATCCAAAAACTACCTCAAGTCCTTTATTAGGAAGGATGGAAGTGACATCAGCAGTCCACACAATCTGTGCCACTGTCAGCACCACCTGTGATGGCCACTGAGTAATCCACTGGCGATGTGGAGTAAGTGGATGGTTCTCAACGGCACGTACAGCCACATCTTGCATGCTCTGCACCATCATCTCCTCCACCTCCACCAGCCAACGCTCCACCAGGCCCTCAACAATACAAGACAAATGCAAGTTGGTAAAAAATGAACTACTCTTTGTCCCAATTTTACCAATAAAGAAATTAAAACATTTAAATTAAATGTAAAATTTACAGGCTGCAATTAACAAAAATTACAATATATTATATCTTTGGGGGGATGCAAAAATATGAATGAGGAAAATACACAACAAAAAATTACAATGGGTAAAAAAATACAGTAGGAACTAACGAAAGAGTCATGAATACTGACTCTGGCCTTAGAGGGAATGACCCGGTTACTGAACTGCACCAGCTCGCCCTCTGCTGATATCATGCCCTCGATCTCCTGCTGCAATGAGAAGTGGAGACGACTGATGCCTTCGAAGCACTTCTTGAGATGAGGTTGCACACGCTGGGGGTCCTTTGTCTCAGAGAGAATTTCCAGCAACTCATCATTTGACAGAAAGAAGAACCTGTTGTGGAAAAATTTACAATCAAACTACAGATATTTAACAAGTTTCTAAGATGCTTTTATTTTAATGAATTACAATAAATATGTCCATGTCAGTACAATAAATTACCTAATTTAAGCTAATTAAATATTGGTATTTCTTGCATATCTGACCAATATGAAATTCATCACAGCTTTTACAGTTAATGATAATAATAATATTGCTGCTGCTAGTTTTTATTATGTATATAACAATATGAGGAGCACTTATGAGATGGTGGGTTGCAGCTGTTAATGACTGCTAGTGTGAAAGTGCTCAATTATCCCCAACACTGTATAATCTATTAAAGATATAAGTAATGAATGGAAGAGGGATATTTTGATCGATTTATTATTTAATGTATGTATCTTTTTTTGCACAAAACTGGGGGAAACAGGTTTTGCAATGCCCCTCAGAGACATAAAACCAGGAATAACAAACAATAAGTGACTGACCTTGGGAAGAAAAGGCGTTTCTTTTCCAGGTAGTCATTGAGGCCTTTTTGTATTTCTTCCAGAAGGCGGTTACACTCCTGCAACCTATGGAGGAGAATTTTTTATCATTAATATTTTCACCTATTTTCATTTCATTTCATTTGAATTATTTATGTACAGTATATACCAATGTTGTAATTACGAAGTGTAATTACAGGATGAGAGCTATGCTCCTAGTATCCCATTTTCCCAGTAGTCTTTGTTATATGTTGTTTTTAAACTACAGTTTTGGCATCCACCACCTTCTCATTTCTCCTCACATCTCAGTTGTAGCACCAGTAATGTTCATTAGCTATATAAACAATCTACCAGAAGGAATGCAGAATTATATGAACATGTTTGCTGCTGATGTCTCACTACTAGAGAAAATAAGACACTTAGCCGATTTTCATGCCCTTCAAGAAGACCTGGACAAATTAAGTGTAGGGAGCAACCCTTGGCAAAAGAATTTAATATGAATAAATGTTATGTTATGGAATATGGAATAGGAGAAAATATGGCACATGCAAACTACAAATTATGTGAAAAAGCTGAAAGGAATTCTGAAGTGAGAGATATCTAAGGGTGGTTCTGGATAAAAAAAAAAACTCACTCGAGGATCACATAAAGAACATTGTGTGCAGAGCATATGCTATGCTTTCCAACTTTAGAACTGCTCTTAAATACATAGATGGCAAAATATTAATGAATTATTCATGACTTCTGTGAAACCAAAGATGGTATATGCAGTGGTTTTATGGTGCACACATCTCAAGAAGTACGTACCATATAGTAACGGGGATCGACAAAATTGATAGGGAAGAAATCCTGAGACCTGGAACTTCAAGAACAAGAAGTCACAGATTTAAGTTAACTAAACAAAGCTGCCAAAAAAATGCAAGAAAGTTCACTTTCGCAAAAAGTGGTAGATGGTTGGAACAAGTTAAGTGAAAATGTGGTGAAGGCCAAAACTGTCAATATTTTCAAAGCGTTACATGACAAAGAGTGCTGGGAAGACAGGACACCATGAGTGTAGCTCTCATCCTGTAACTACACTTAGGTAATTACACCTTAAGTAATTACATCATTAAACTAGAAATGTTCAATGACAAAAAACTAAATGGCTTCCAGAACTGAAAAACAAGATCTACAAGAGGAGGTTAAAGGCATTAAATATATCAAAGCTAGAAGATAAAAGTGATATAATCACTATGTACAATATAGTAACAGGAATCAACAAAACAGACAAATATGACTTCCTGAAAACTGCAACGTCAAGAATAAGATGATATAGGTTCAAACTAATAAAACAAAGCTGTCAAAAACATAAGAAAATTCACTTTTCCAAATACAGTAGAGTGGTAGATGGTTGGAACAAAAGTGAGAAGGTGGTGTAGAACAAAACTCTCAGTACTTTCAATCATTATATGAACAAGAGTAATGGGAAGACAGTCCTTAATTCCTAATGTTCCCCGGAATATGACCCGCCAAATCATTTAACAACCAGGTACCCATTTTACTGTTGGGTAAACGGAGGCTACAGAGTTAAGGATTGGCGCCCAGTTAATCCTCCCCGAACAAGAAAAGAACCCAGGCCTTCTTCTTACGTAATTATTTAATTTCTCTGTATCTCTGCGTGATCTTATGTGTATACTGATGAGTATACCTATGTGTACCTGATACATTAGAGTATTAAACTACACTAGTACACGTCTACTCTTATGGACAGAGGAAAACACCTGGGAAGCATGTTGGGTTGTTCAGTGGCAACTAGGGCATGCGGGTCCTTCACAGCAGTACCCATCAACTCTCTCCAGGTGGCATCCACACGGGTGAACTTTCGCCCTTCCACAGGCATTTGCTTCATGATGTCCTCGGATGAGAAGATGGGCTCTAGGTACAGCCAGGTCACTTGGCACTATGAAGAATACAAACTTTCATAGTGTCAATGGTTATTACAAAAGTGGTGTGTTAATTCATAGTTAGAGCTAGATTTTTTGTTACTGTGGTAATATCTCTGGTTAATATAACTAATAAGATTAGCAAAGAGACTGAACACCACTGAGACCACTGTAGGCGAAACCTACTACAGGTACTGTAACCTAGAACTGTCAAGATATCTTCAAATTCTGGAATTAATTTGAAAGATCCAACCAAGTTAGACATTACCTTATACTAAAGCCCAACCAGGCAAGACAGTACTATTTACAAAATGTATTCACAATTAGTATATGCATTAGGCTTTTTATCGTTGGTCACTAATTTCGACATTCTTGATTATTTGGTTACAATTACTGTTTATGTACTTTAATCAAATATATACATATGTTTAGAACTTAAACAAATAAATGTGTTATGGCATAAAAACACACACAAAAACAACAAGACAGTTCTATGCAGTAGTACGTGCAGCTGGCCACAATGTCTATGGCAGTATTAAGACCAGTATCACCTCACCTTAATCCAGGCATCCAAAATGTCCTGCATGGACAGGAGCTTCTCCTCCCATGTACGGATCTCTGCTTCAAATGGCTTAACATATGGTGATCCTCGCATAGTCTGAACTTTCTGGGTGTGCTCGTCAAGTAGCACTTGGATGTCATCCACTGCTGCCAAGATGGACACTCCTGTTTCCCTGAAGAGCAGAGAGGGCCAAATAGATATTGACAGTGAGCTAAGCCATCTATAACCTAGCATTTTGCTATGCTATTAGTGAATCTAAAAGTATTAAATAAAATTTTAATGTTTATATACAGTGATACTGTTTACTGAATATGAATTTTAAATAATCATGTGATTATATAAAATGGATCAAGAATAAAAGTCAAATGATGTACATTGCTAATTGTCAAACATTTCAGAGCATCAGTTCCATCTTCAATGCTAAAAGAAAATGCAAATATTTACAATGCAGGAAACTTTTAATTTAAATTATGAGACTAAATGTGAATGCTCATAAGAGGAGAAATAAGCTGGCAAAAATCCTCAGGAATAATAGGGAAGGCTTTTAACAAGCCTCTGGATTTCTGTCATCGAGGCCACTGGAGATTACGGCCACGAGATTATTTCACAGTACATAACCCCATGATGGGCAAAGAGGTTATTCCATAGTAACTAGACATGTTTTTTGAGAGGAAACTACAAGTGTAAAAACTGATTAGGTTCTTGTAGTCTATATAAATTTTTAGTTTATTTTAACCCACATTATGTTGCACGAACCTATAATGAGCAATTATGAAGTACAGTATTGTAAATAGCTTTTGTATCATAACTTATGATGTGTATTTAATTTTTAATAACCTTCATCCATATTGTTTATGATTAAAGTTTAATCATAGACATCATTATTCTTTTAACATCTTAATTACAATAATTATGAATAAACTAGAGATAATGATTAAGTTTATGATTAAACACGCACTGTATTTTGTGCTACCCACTCCTCCAATATATATGCCTAAGCCATGCAACTTCACCATTGTAATCATTGTACCTGTTGATAATTCTCAAATTTTACTACAATGTACCCATTAATATTCTTCAAATTTTGCTAGAAATTACCTACTTAAAATTATCTGTTAGATTAAGGACCTGCCTGAAATGCTATGTGTGTTAGTGGCTTTACAAGAATGTAGAAACATCAATGCTTTGTACTCTCATAAACCCAATGTGCCTTCGTGTATATATATACAATATAAATAAATAAATAAATAAATAACATCAGGGTCTTTGGCAGTGAACATACAGTACTTTATTTATTTATTTATTTATTTATACAGTATACAAGAAGGTACATTGGGTTTATGAGAGTACATTTCAAGAATGTAAAAATTTCATTCTTGAAATGTACTCTCATAAACCCAATGTACCTTCTTGTATACTGTATAAATAAATAAATAAATAAATAAATAAATAAATAAATAAATAAATAAATAAATAAATAAAGTACTGTATGTTCACTGCCAAAGACCCTGATGTTATTTATTTATTTACATATATACAGGAAGGCACATTGGGTTTATGAGAGTACAAAGCATTGATGTTTTTACATTCTTGTAAAGCCACACACTCATAGCGTTTCGGGCAGGTCCTTAATGTAACAAATAATTTTAAGTAGGTAATTTCTAGCAAAATTTAAATGTTGCTTCACCTAGTAAGTTGACAATTAAACCATAGCAAAAACCCACCAGGTAGCTATGGTAAGCAAATAATATATAAAAATATTTTAATTATAAATTTATAATAAATTTCTTCTTACACAATATACATTGAAACATGTTACAGTGGTCTATTAGTAAGTATACAAATTACATGTTGTACAAAGCTACTAATATGCAAAATACATGTGGTTCAGGCAGAGATCAGTAAATCTGACAATAAAATGCATGATTTCCATTAAGAATCAAATGCCATGCAAATCTATCCAGGAAGTCCAGACTACACCAAGAATTAAAAACTGGACTGATTAAGTAAAGAAAAATAAAGTTAATACAGTTACAAACAACTTTGAGGTACTGAATTTCATAAGAACAAAGTGCTAACCTCCAGGGTTTAAACTCAAAGACGACATTGGCCCACTCTCCCTTCATTTTTTCTAATGCCTTCTCCAAACTAAACTCTTTGGAAGCTGCATGACTGATTTCCTCAAGCTTGCGTTGGACAGAGGGCAGACCAGCTTCAATCATGTCAGCCAGGGAGGTCTCTGGTGTCAGGTTGAGCTCGGCACCCAGATGCTCACCGAGCTGCAACACAATCACATGACACACAGACACAGTTGTAGTGGATGCCAGTGTGCTGCTCCAATGTGTATACTACTATATCAATACTACTATTACCAATACTACTGCAACTGCTCCTTTGCATAGGTGTAATTAACAGTGCTGATGTAAGCATTTGGAGAAATTGAATCAGATGAGAAAAAGAGAAAGAAAAAAGGAAATTTAATATTACACTAAATAAACAAGGTCCTTGAACAAAGGCTATGGAATAAGGGTGAATGCAAATACAATAATATCTGTTTTAAAAGAGAAAGAATAAATTCAGCAAAGAAACTAAGGTGGAATGAGTATGGTAGTCAAGGATCATATAATACTGCTGGAGGTATAAGGAATAGGTACAGCATATTAAACATGAAGACCCAACATAGAAAATCTATGTTTAAAGACCCAACATAGAAAATCTATGTATATTGGCTACAATTAGATTGTACAAGTTTAGATGCATGTTCATGTATTCACCTGATTCCAATGACGGTCACGGAGACCAGGGTTGCAGATACACTGGAGGACAGGTACATGGAGGCGGAACTTCTCAATGCGCTCCTTGACATATTCTGCAACACGACGTGACCCAACCTAGATATGCAATAAGTTATTACTTACATAAAATGGATGAAATAAGGTATTGGGTAAAAGAAATGGAGAACTTTTGCATCTGGGTACAGCCAAAATTTGGTAAACATGCTTTGCAGAACTCGGACATTTCTTTGATGTGTCCTTCAAACACATTACTGATGCTGGTTAAAAGAAACAATACAAGAATATGGCATGATGTCATAAAGCTTGTGATCATGATGAACATGAATTATGTAAATTAAGCTTTCCCCCTAACTACTACAAAGTGCTACCTACAAGCTGTTGCCATTCCACATTTTGTTGCTAATGTTTTGTTTATAAAACCACCAACATCCTTTAAAATAAAGGGCTTTATTAAACAGCACATTCAATGCTACACAAGTGCAATTTTATGATCAATACTTTATTTTGCATGAAGTTTACAAGGATTGGTGACACCGAGTTTCAGATGATTTTACATTTAATTATATAAATTCTATCTCGTATTCAGAGTGAACTTAACAACTTCAAAGTGTCTTCTATATTTCATAAAGCCACTAATTAGCCAAAGCATTTCTGATATAACTGCTGACATGGATAATAAATATCCCATCACTCTGAACTTGAATATATAAAAGAAACTATTTAAACAACCGTAAAATTACATAAACAAATTATTCACAATAAGGTACTGTATCAGTAAATGGCATCACAGACAGAGTGATCTATCAACACTTTAAAATATAAAGTCCCAAGAAAACATGCAAGACTTTTGAAATAATTTCTCTAAAATTTTAAAATACAAATTTTATAGGCTGTACTATATGATAGATTTATTTATTGATCTTTTGAGCATTAAATACAAAAACAATGAAGTGCTAATTACAACTGATGCAACAACAAACACTGATCCTCCAATTATTAAAAACAAAATTAAGTAACAACTTGCTAAACTTTCCACCTGTGATTATGGTGTTAATCATCTAAATACTGTATGTACAGGTATAATCATTTAAAATCATTTAGAATGCCTCGACATCCAATTTAAAAAATGCTTTAGAAGAAAACAGAAATGAGAAACCGAAGACATTAAAATCTTATCAATATGACCGTGTATATTTTACATTCCTATAAATATTTTGGAGATACTGTATTGTACTTATTTATTATTAATGGAGGAGTTATTTAGATTTTCACCTGTCTCTTCTAAGAGTGTTTCATTACCAACCCATTATTCATTATTCACATATCCCCGAGACACGTTAAAGAATTCTAACAAATATGGAGGATTATTAATACAGAAACTTATGTATTGGTTAGAAAATCACAGACTCGTATCAACAAAATGTATGATTTATCCTGCCCTAAAACATAATACGTAAAGAAAAGACGCTTGTAAAAACTGCTTCTTTAATAACCATATTACGAGTTAAACGTAATCGGTGAATTTTCACTTCGTCTTCCACACCCACCTGGTCCATGAAGGTCTTTGTGAGTTTGTACATGGTCTTCCACATGGCCTCCACTTCCTCGTTGATGGCTTCCGCATCTAGCCCAATGAAGGGACCTGGTGGATGTGTAAAATAGGTGAGAAGAGCAGGAGAGGAAGGTTATTTGAGAAAAGTTTTTGAATTTATCTGAATTTACCTAAGGGGCATGGGCTCCTTGTTTGTGTTACTTATAAATTATTATTACAGTATAATAATATTTATTTACAAGAAGGTACAATGGGTACCTTCCCATACCTTCCCATACCTCCTCAAGGTACCTTCCTGTGAGATTACAAAAGATCGGTATTTTTACATTCTTGCAAAGCCACTAACATTCATAGATTAAGGACCTGCCCAAAATGCTAACATATCAGATAAGATGAAGCAAGTAATTATCAATAGAAGGCACTAAGCCGACAGGTAAGATGAAAAGGTACAAAAGGGACTACATTATAGAAAAATTTATAACTACTGTACAATATAAATTAACAGATGTGATTTTCTTTCTTCAGACTTCTTGGGTAAATGCCAAGATTTTGTTGAATTTCAAAATCAAATTGGAAACAATTATTAAGGCAAATGGGAGCACCTTAGACAAGCCGCTGGCTTCCTGTCCTAGTCGAGGCCCCTTTCGTTAGTGGCTCTCGGTTAAATTCAGGTAAATCTGATCTGAAGAAATTGTCTGGATCAACATCCTCCAAATCATTAAAAAAAAAAGTATTTAAAAAAATTTAATTCTGTTTGTTAAAACCCGTATACAGTACATTATTATGTTAGGCTGTATTAGCGTATGTTAAGATGTATTGGGCTCATTTGGGTTGGGATGAGATGGGTTGGGTTAGGTTGAGCTGGGGTATGATTGTTTCGGACTCGAGACGATTCGACGAAGCTTGTTTTATAATTATTTATTTTGTTTGTTAAAACCAAGTATATTGTTATGCTAAGATGTATTAGCTTAGGTTATACTGTACTTCACTCGGTTAGGTTGGGTTAGTCAGGTCGGGTCAGGCTAGGTCAAGTTAGGTAGGTTTCAAAAATCCGTTAGCGAATATTCTTGTGAACAATGTGACTTGTATAAGCTCTAATTTGGCAGCCTTATATTCATGTAATTTGTCACTTACATATTTATCACAAATAGTATGTTCTTGTGGGCATGCATGGTTATAGTTTAATACCTACTAATGTATTATTTGGCAACATCCACATGCAGCATACATTTAAGGGTCCCTGTAGTACAGTCGAGTTCATTCTCGACTCACAACTGAGAATTCAGTGCTCAAATCCCGGATAGTACAGAAATGGTTGGGTGTGTTACTTATCACCTCATGCCCCATTTCCACCTAGCAGTAAATAGGTACCTAGGAGTTAGTCAGCTTGTTGGATTGCATCCCGGAGAGGGTCAGTAATTCGACCCTCAGGGGATGATCTCGAAATAAGCATAACATGCACAGTAAGTATAAACTGGTTCCCCCCCCCCCCCCCGACAAAATTAATTAAATATATCAAACAGATTATGTGCCTCTAACCTTTTCCACTGCCACCCACAGGATGGGTATTGGGTGTATAATAAATGAACCAAATTAAACTAACCTTTCATTACAGAAAACAAAACATAATAAAAGACCTGTAGACAAGAACCAAAGGGAATATGATTCATACATACAAAATACTAAGGGTTATCGATGCAATAATAGATGTGGCCCTCAGTTAAATCAGATAGATGATGTTTCAGATACTTTAGGATGTTTTCATGGCAAGTACTCAACTAGTTGTGCTGGGGGGGGGGGGGGGGTTGAGCTCTGGCTCTTTGGGCCCGCCTCTCAACCATCAACCAACTGATTTTTTTCTACACACACAAAACCCCTCCCCCCCCCCCCCCCCCCCAGGAAGCAGCCCGTAGCATCTGTCTAACTCTGCTACCTATTTACTGTTAGGTGAACAGGTGCATCAGGGTGAAAGAAACTCTGCCCATTTATTTCCACCTTTGCCAGTGATTGAACCTGGACCCTTAGGACTATGAATCCCGAGCGCTGTCCACTCAGCCGTCAGGCCCCAAGGCAGTCTTAGACCTACGGACCCTAGGTCCAAGCTAAGTCTAATTAGATAATCCACGTAGCCTTTATTATAAAGTCTAGTGTAGTTTACTAAACACATTCGGTGTGATCTTGATGACGAAATCTGTTTATTTTTAAAGAATATAATTACTACTGATAAACATTTCATGCCGAGAACTGCACGAGTAACGAGGTGGGGGAGACGAGTGTGATACTCGTTCCGCAGCTTACCATTGTACCAGCGCTCGTACTTCTGGTGAAAGTCGTAGGTGGTGTGCCACAGCTTGTCGTATGGCTCCTTTAGGGCTATCATGGACTGCAGCAGCGGAAATTTGGTCATCTCCCAGCTCAATAGACTCTGCTCCTCGTTGATTGCCTAAACAGAAGAAAACTTTGACTCGTCACGTCCCCAAAACTTCACTTTATACCTGACCTATATACCTTTGGCATTCGTGAACTGTAACATGGTACAAATAATCTATCCAAAACACTACTGTACGTGACTTTAAAATCCAAAATGACATAATAATGCTTTAATTCTAGAGACAAGGACTCTTATTAAATTAAAAATTGGGTGTGTCCCAATCTCATGTGTACGCAACTATATTGGGTCAAAAGAATCGTAGACCTACAAGGCTTACGGCTTATGGAAATTTCCATATTTGAAGTTTTGATGATATAGGTTTCAATTTAGTAAGATTAGGGCACATTTAAACACGTCATTAGGACACTGACATGGTTTTATTTGATCCCCGTTATTCAAGGAAAACTCAGTTCACACTCGTATGAAACAATAAAAGCAAGTTATCCGGGAATTCGAACCTAGGATCCATCAAACAAACTTGTCTATGTTCTATTTTGTCAATTTTCCATTAGAAACGTGTATGTCGTTATTTTGTACTCACTGTTCATTCTAGTGTTGTGCGTTCCAACTTCTTTAGTTTTTCTCATAGCTAGAACCCTCCCGTACACGTGTCTTTGTGTGTGTGCGTGGGTGCGGTGTTGGAGGGTGTAATTAAGTGCGTGTGGTAGATGTATGTGTGTGTGTGTGTGTACTCGCCTATTTGTGCTTGCGGGGGTTGAGCTCTGGCTCTTTGGTCCCGCCTCTCAACCGTCAATCAACGGGTGTACAGGTTCCAAAGCCTATTGGACTCTATCATATCTACACTTGAAACTGTGTATGGAGTCAGCCTCCACCACATCACCTAAAGCATTCCATTTATCAACCACTCTGACACTAAAAAAGTTCTTTCTAATATCTCTGTGGCTCATTTGGGCACTTGGTTTTCAACTGTGTCCCCTAGTGCGTGTGCCCCTTGTGTTAAATAGCCTGCCTTTGTCTATCCTATTAATTAATTCCCTTGAGAATCTTGAATGTGGTGATCATGTCCCCCCCTAACTCTTCTGTCTTCCAGCGACGTGAGGTTTAATTCCCGTAGTCTCTCCTCGTAGCCCATACCTCCCAGCTCGGGTACTAGTCTGGTGGCAAACCTTTGAACCTTTTCCAGTTTAGTCTTATCCTTGACTAGATATGGACTCCATGCTGGGGCTGCATACTCCAGGATTGGCCTGACATATGTGGTATACAAAGTTCTGAATGACTCCTTACACAAGTTTCTAAATGCCGTTCTTATGTTGGCCGGCCTGGCATATGCCGCTGATGTTATCCTCTTGATATGGGCTGCAGGGGACAGGTCTGGCGTGATATCAACCCCCAAGTCTTTTTCTCTCTCTGACTCTTGAAGAATTTCATCTCCCAGATGATGCCTTATATCTGGCCTCCTGCTTCCTACACCTATGTTCATTACATTACATTTGCTTGGGTTAAACTCTAACAACCATTTGTTCGACCATTACTTCAGCTTGTCTAGGTCTTCTTGAAGCCTCAAGCAGTCCTCCTCTGTCTTACTCCTTCTCATAATTTTGGCATCGTCAGCAAACATTGAGAGAAATGAGTCTATACCCCCCGGGAGATAATTTACATATATCAGAAACAGGATAAGACCGAGTACAGATCCCTGTGGGACTCCACTAGTGACTTCACACCAATCTGAAGTCTCACTCATCGTAACTCTCTGCTTCCTATTGCTTAGGTACTCCTTTATCCACTGGAGCACCTTACCAGCTACACCTGCCTGTCTCTCCAGCCTATGTACCAGCCTTTTATGCGGTATTGTGTCAAAGGCTTTCCGACAATCCAAGAAAATGCAGTCCGCCCAGCCTTCTCTTTCTTACTTAATCTTTGTCACCTGGTCGTAGAATTCTATTAAGCCAGTCAGGCAAGATTTACCCTCCCTGAACCCATGTTGGCGATTTGTCACGAAGTCCCTTCTCTCCAGATGTGTTACCAGGTTATTTTGTGTGTGTGTGTGTGTGTGTGTGTGTGTGTGTGTGTGTGTGTGTGTGTGTGCGCGCACACACAAACATATATGAGCACGTGAAGAAAACTATTTACCCACAAGTTTTGGATACACACAGGTGCACCGCCCACGGTCATTGCAGTCCATGACGTAATGCAGAAATTATGGTCCTCTCCAAGGAGTAATTGACGTTGCTGCCGGCATTATATACTGATCATGGAAGGCTCTATATTACTATATATAGCAACTAATATAACAGTTCAGCGTAAGCTTTCATTAAAACCTCTTTATGATTATTTACTATGTACTCTTCAAGGGAAAAACTTAAGTCAGAAGGTATTCATCAAACAAAGTGTCCCATCGTAAGGTATTTACTGAACACGTATATCACCCGAATATGCCATTTTCCACACATGCCCGTAGTAACAGTTAAGCGACACTTATAATTTTTCTTCTCCCACAGCTGCCTCCTACCGTAGACTACCCCACACTTTCCCACATGCAAAGCAAATGGGTAACTTTTATTTATAATATATCATTAATTGTAAAGATGTATTTATAAGAATAAAAAAAGAGTAGTCTTTCTTATAGTGATATTATTAACCAGTACTAGGAAAGATAAAGGTTCCGCTATTCATAATTTGGCTGTAGTACCATATAATACGTAACTTCAATACAGTTACCTCTCCTCCCACTGCCTTATAAATCTCTAACCCTGTCCATGGAGGACAGAAGAACTTTCTACCAAGGACTTTCTACCACAGACGTGTGGCCACGTCTGTGGTAGAAAACAGATCAAAAAAACTGCATTATCCTTCTGAAGGCCGACCTACCAACTTTCCAAATATGTTATTATTCCATTAATTATGAAGACACACCGATTCTTCCTCTTATTGTGTTGTTAGCAATATTGTGAAAGAGAGAGATGGGTGAAGTGACGAGTGAAGACATTTCCACGTTCCGCTTCATGGTGTCGACACGGATTTCCTTCATAATAAAGTTATCTCGGCCCCGCAAGTCCTCTAATTCCTTGTTGTTCTAATTATATACATGGGTGGGGAAGGGGGGGCAAGTGAAGACAAACGGGCAGACCTGGGCAATGCCGGGTACTACCCTCCACAGAACAAAAATATATTAATCAAGTAATCACTAAATGTTTACCAAACAAATGTTTTACTCAATAAATACTTGTTTGGAGAGCATTTGATTGGAGTTCGTCAGCAAGCGCTCAAAACTCATATGCTCACAAATATGATTTACCCAAAAAAGTGTTCACCAAACATGTATTCATCAAGTGTTCACAAAAAAGAATTCATTAACCAACAAAGTGTTTATTAATCAAATGCTCATCAAGTATGATCATCGCACAATGTTTAAACAACTGAACATGTGTGACTATCCGCCGATGATAGTTCGTATAGAGACATATATACATGTCATACTAAACATAACATTCATACTCGGGTGTTAACCCTCTCCCACGGTCACTCACTTGGTCTGTCACATGTAATCCCTTCATACTTTCAGCATTTTTAACCTCTTTCAGCATGCACAAGAGGAGTTAAATATAATCCACATCATCTGGCACAGCCCACCTCACACTACCCATCACGTATCATATATACAGTCCACCTCATTCACAGCCTAGTCAATATACAGACATATCCAAACAGTCCACCACACAGACTAACCCCCATCCACAGCCAACTGAATATCCAATCCACGCTCCGTGTAACATACACCACATGCAGCCCACCCCACACAAAGACTAACCCCCACACAATACTCCTAACATAAACCCTGAAATAACACCTCGACACATGCTACACTCAAAACACAGCACGCCCACACACAGCACGCCCACACACAGCACGCCCACACACAGCACGCCCACACACACAGCACGCCCACAGCACGCCCACACACACCACATTCCATAAACAACTCACCTGCAGCTCGGTCTTGGCCTCCTGGAACTGCATGGTTAGGCGGTCCAGCATTTCCACGTTCCGCTTCATGGTGTCGACACGGATTTCCTTCATAATAAAGTTATCTCGGCCCCGCAAGTCCTCTAATTCCTTGTTGTATACTTGAAGACTGTGGAAGGTAGCTTGGAGATACACACGAGTAATTTGTGTGAATCAAAACATGATTCACACGGGTAATCAGTGCGTGAATCGACACGCGGTGCCGAAGAATCACGAGCACGTCGCTAGAGTTTTAACTCAAGTAGATGTAATGTAATGAATGTGGGTGCTGAGGACATGAGAAACACACAAAAGCAAATGGAAGAGAAAGTTCTACTGTAACCGAAAATATATATAGCTCTGGGAGTTACACAGATCGTGGTTTCCTGAATCCTCGCCAAACGGGCAACATCAGCTGAATATACATGGTTACCCAGGATAAAAATAGTTTTTAAAAATCAGAAAATGTCATTCAGGACCTTGTATACCACTTTAATCAATTTAGGAATATATGTGGCATTATCATAGAATCCTCATTTTATTTATATCTACCAGTATTAAACAGAATATCTGTCTTTCTGTACGATGTATGAGGCCAGATGCTTGGAGTTAGCCTCATTCAACTTTCACACACGAAACATGGTTGTATACGAGTATCATAGGCCAATAGGCGTTGGTCCAGGTGCCATGCTATAAGAAATATTACCATCTATAGGGACCTCTGTGTTTTTCAGTCTTGAAATAAAATCTGGCACGTATTTTCCGTAGAATTGTTACGCTTAATCCCGGTCATTTTCATCCCAAAAATATGTTGATGTACATGTGTAAATATATTACATATTAATCTACTCTTAGCATTATACTCTAAAAACTCACGTTTTCTCGAAATTTGCGACGCGAGCCTTGAGTGCCGTCTCCTTCAAGTCTCGCTTATGGGAGAGTCTCGTCTCGGCGAGTCGAAAATCCTCCTGTATTTTGTGTGGCCAGGCATACATGCGGTTGATGAGAGGCACCTGGTCCTCTGGCACCCGTCCAAACTGTGTCATGGAAGGGAGAATTAGAGATGATCCGTATGACACTGACTTCTTGGTACATGTTCAGTGTAGCGGACCAGAATGTGGTGGACCAGAGAGTAGCGGACCAGAATGTGGTGGACAAAAGTGTAGCGGACCAGAATGTGGTGGACAGAAGTGTAGCGGACCAGAATGAGGTGGACAGAAGTGTAGTGGACTAGAATGTGGTGGACAGAAGTGTAGTGGACTAGAATGTGGTAGACAGTACTACATATTGACTGATTATCCTAGCCTGCATCAAGCTGGACATATATGCATGATAGGATACAATAAATCGATTACCACTGAACAAGACGTGAAAATATGGATTGGATCGAACCCGCATACAAGCATATGTTAATATGTATGTGGGTTCTGAACATATTGAACAAGTACATTAATTTCGTTTGGTGTAAAAAGTTTAGTTTTCAATATGAAAAAAAGATAAAAGGTTCGTTAAATACTGAAATGTTCTGCATAAACTTGAATCACATAAGTGACATTTAATCAATATCACATCCCTACGAATCAACGATTCAACGATTATATAACACAAGTAAGCTCTGGTTTTATTAGTAGTAAATCCCATATCGTAATTTTAAAAAATTAAGTATTTTTCATCTATTCGTATAGAAGATTCAGCTGCAAAACTTATATGTTTCTATACCAAAATCCGAAATTTAATGTGCCGTGACAGAGCATGAAGAAAATTGTAACGAGAAAACTGTCTTCAGACAACATACAGCCCCTCTGTTTAAATCTCTATACATGCTACACATACACTCACTCCACTCATTCTCTTGTGTTATTTACATGTAAAAAAAAAACTTGTTCCTAAATACTAATCTTGATCTGAAACGTTTCCTTGATAGGTGTAATAGAACATATGAGCATCACACCCGAAATATCTGACTTGACTGGATTGACTCTGACACCCTCAGAGTCAAACTAAATCTGTATAAACACTCCATGCAAATAAAAGGATCCAGTCCATAGAACTCACTCCCTAATGAATTCAAAATAGGTTCAATCTATGCCTCATTCTAAAAGTAAAATACAAAAGTACCTAATTTCATCCTCATAGTTTCATCCTCATAGCCCAGGAGGCCTGGACGACGTCCGGGCCGCGGGGACGCTAAGCCCCGGAAGCACCTCAAGGTAGTTTCCTACCTTGTGCTTCAAACTCACACTATCTTGTGGTACCCACTCCCCAAAATTAGTACTCAGAATATACTGAGTATATCCTGAGTACTTCAATCTTCACCAGTGTCAATTTATCTTGAAGTTATATATTGAAATACAATTTTGGTACAATGTACTTTTCATCTTATCTGATCTACTTAGTTTAAGAACCTGCCCTATGCGGCTTTACGAGAATGTAAAAATACCAGTATTATGTAATCTCACAAACCCATTGTACCTTCATGTAAATAAATAAATAATATTAAATTACATAAATAGAGATATGACGCACAGCATATATACACACAGCATGTATATATGCTGTGTGTATATGTATGTATGAAAGTGTATTCCATTTCTTGATATATACGAGAGTGCATTTTGCTTATAAAAATATATTTTAATTAAAATGGTTTCCCCACTCCTAAATTAAAATTTCGCTCGACCCAGAAATTCTGTTTTGCCGTTGTTGTTTTTTTTTTTTGGGGGGGGGGGGGGGCGTCCTAGCAGCTGGTCCTGGCTGTTAGGGGGGGGGCTTTGCCGGATCCCCCCCCCCTCAACATCCGGCAGAATGTTGAGAGGGGGGAGGGGAATCATACATAAGAAATGTAAGAAATCATACAAAAGATACATAAGAATCTTATGTATCCCTATACCAATGTCTTTCTATCCATGTACTCTTGTATAATTAGACATGTATTCTTTCCTGTATCTTTACTCACCTAGTTGTGCTTGAGGGGAGTTGAGCTCTGGCTCTTTGGGCCCGCCTGTCAATTGTCAATCAATCAACTGTTTCTTCAAATATATTTGATATGTTCGTCACACCTGGGTTAGGTCTGGTGTTGTGGCCCACGGGAGAGTTTATTTATTTATATACAAAAAGGTGCATTGGGGGTCAAGAGAGAACATAGAAATGAAGTTGATTTTACATTCTTGTAAAGCCACTAGCACGCATAGCGTTTATCAAGTTATCAAAGCTGCCGTAAAGGCTAACTGGTCAACCAGTAAATATACTTTAGTCCTGGACTGAACTACTTAATATTATAAATAGTTTCTTATTAATATCATAATTAATATTACTTATTAGTTCAGTCAGTGCTGTGGCAAATTTAACTGACGTGTACTTTTGTATTATTTTTTCATTACAAATTCAAAATACAAATTCAAAATTTTGTATAGTGTTTGTATTATTTTTTACTCTGCTTGGCTCCCAATGTCTATTAGTCAATTTATATTTGCAAGAAATATTTTTGCGTCTTAAGAATATTGATATGTCGAAGTCTTTGATGCATTTTTTGTAATGGTTGCGAGAATATTAACACAGAAAATTTCCCAGTAAAATGTTAGTATTGTTATAAACATCCTTTCTAGTGCTTCGGAGTTCATCATTTTTTTTTAATAATTGTAAACAAGTTACCGGTCGTAAGGCTGGGTCCCCGGCGACTGGATGGGGTATCTTCAACCCGTCCTCGACTCTAGTCCATTCCATCCAGCGGTCGACCCTACAGACGCATTCATAAATTTTTACATGCTCTTCATTCAAAACGGGAATTTTCTCAAATATAAATTAATATAATATATTAGCCTGTTGTGCATATATAGGTATAGGTTAGGTTAGGTGTTTAGGTTCGGTTGGCGATTATTTGTAGTACGTGGGTGAAGCATTTACAGCTTAGTGGTTCAAACAAAATTCGTCAGTGAAGCACTTGTTCGGGAAGTGTTCGAACGAAATCAGTTGCGAGTCGTGTGTATAAAAAGGCCTTCCTCCAAACAAAGACTCAAAAATCATTCCATGCACCCGCCAAACCCCCTGTTTATGAATGAAAAACTGTTTACACACGACTCACAACTGTTGACGTTTGAACAGCTCCGGAACAAGTGCTTCACTGACGAATTTTGTTCGAACCACAACGCTGTAAATGCTTCACCCACGTACAATTGGCCAACAGAACCTAAACACCTTACCTATGCCTATATATACACACAATATGCTAATATATTATAATATTAATTTATGTTTGAGAAAATTTCTGTTTTGAATGAACAGCATGTTAAAATTTATGAATGCATCTGTGGGGTTGACCGCTAGCTGGATGTAATGGACTTGAGTCGAGGACGGGACGGGTTGTGCAGCCCACCAGCAAGCCTGATTACACCGTGGTCTTTGTGGTTATCTGAGATGTGCTTCAGGCGAAGATCGAGGATGTTGCAGGAGTGCAGATGTCAAGTGGAATAGTCTTGGTGAAGCTTGGCAACCTCAAGATGTTTACTGACTGCTTACGAGAGTTTGAGGAGCCGGTGCTTTCCCCGCCACGGGGTGAAGAGACAATACAAGTGTCGGAGTTCAGCCAGCATTTCAGTTTCGCCTCGGTTCGAGACTTTCCGTTTAAAATGACAGAAAAGACGATCTCAGGTGTAATTGGGCGGTTTGGAAAAGTGCTGGGTGTGGCCTCGAATTGTTTTTCTTACAGTATGAATTTCAAGGGATTTCTGAGTTCTCATCTTTCCTCCCTTCCTGAATTTCAAACAAAAAAAAATTAGCATGAAAAAAATTTCATGCTAATATGAATGTGATTATTGTTAGTAAGTGTTCTGGTTGTTCTGTGTCTTTGAGGAGTATTTTGATTGATTTTAATTATCTTCGTACATATGTTATTTTATTAGTAAACATAAAAAAATGTAAACAAAGACGCCAATGGGTGGTTCCAAAGTAATTACGTAACAGCTTGATGAATCCAGATCCCGGTCTGATAGGGTTAAGGTTTAGAAATCTGGAGAGGTTCAGAAATTCAACTACCTGGAGTGTAAGAATAGAGAAAATGTGAACTACCGGAATAAAAGATAATATTTATAATTCTTTTTATTTAGTATAAGTATAAGTATGTTTATTCAGGTAAGGTATATACATACAAGTGATGTTACATTAATGGATTGATATATAGATAGAGCTAGTACATACAATGCCTAAAGCCACTATTACGCAATGCGTTTCGGGCAAGAAAAACATTAATATCTAGAACTTATTTCTATATAGAGTGGATCTCATTCATATATTATGGGACAGGAAATAAATTTTGCCTTAGAATATGACACACTAAATATTGTACTTTCTAAAATAATTTGTTAATATTGGGTACATTGGGGATTAACAGAGAACATATTGTATTGACTACATATCCTGCTGCATTATTCCTTGAAATGATCCTCATATTTTACTTCATTGAACCAATGTATAACCCTGGAATGTTGTCATAATGTACCTAGTAATCCTTTCATTGTTGTGTATTGTTATTATTCTAATCTGCTTTTGTGTCAAAAGTTCTTGCAATGTTCCTGTAAACATTTTTGACGATTTGCTGTAATTATTCTACTTAAAATTATCTGTACCTGTACAGTAACGCTGTAAAGTACCTGTAAACATTTTTTTGTCAATTTTGCTGTGAATTGTCTAAAATTATCTGTTAGTTTAAGGATTTGCCCGAAACGCTATGCGTGCTAGTGACTTTACAAGAATGTAAAATCAACTCAATTTCTATGTTCTCTATTAATCCCCAATGTACCTTCTTGAATATAAATAAATAAATAATAGGTATTGAAACGCTTTAACTTTCAGTATCTTGTTCAAAACTTTTAATGTATGCACTTCAAGCATCCAGATTTAATAATTGTATGGTTTGTAGATCTTTGACTAAATGAGGATAACAATTTGTTTTATGTGATGAATAGTTCGAAGAGCCAGAGAGGAGAGGCAGTGCTGTTAGTAGAACCCATTCCAAGGTCTACATTTACCAGAGCCCATCACTAAGTATTCACTTGTTGGAACCCATCACCAGGTGCTCACTTGCTTGAATTCAACATTAAGTGTTCAGTTGCTGGAGCCCATCTCCAAGTGGTACTAATGTTGAAGCCCATCACTGGTCAATGTCAGCCTGGATTTGAATTCATAGTCTAGTCTCATTACCTGCCCTTCATCTCCTGATAACTACTTATCATCACAGAACCCAAAACAATTGTCTCATGATACAATTGTAACGTGTAACTGTAAAATCATCTTAATCTCTAAGATACGTTGGTTATTCCTACCATGCAGATTAATTACTAGAGGATATTTTCTATTCACAGGAATAGGAATGACGTCATACTTAACGTTATTTGTACGTAACGTTATTTGTCAAAGTTTCACTTATTTCATATTATAAATTATTCACATTTGAGTGTTTAAGAACAAAACTTGACGGAGGACTTCTTCTCTATCCACTGCAAATAGTTGGCAACTTTGGTGTAGACACCTGGGAGAGACTGCTTGGCACAGCCAATACCAAAGGATATCACTCCCACTAAATAGTAATTCTCCTTCTTCAGCCAGCTCAGTGGGCCTCCAGAATCGCCTTTGCATGCATCGTAACCTGGCAGATAGGTGCATATCATGTTGGCCGTCACGCTCTCATTCAAGTGCGCCTTACATTCATCAGTTGTAAGGATGGGCAACTCCACCTCCTGCAAGACATCACTCTGCTTCCCACCTTCGCTGACAGTTCCCCAGCCAGTCACCGTGCCGTTTTCCCCGCTCAGGTTATACTTGACATATTGACATGGAAGACAGATCGACCTGATGCCTGCATTGTACTTGACGGACCCACTTAAACGAATTAGAGCGATGTCGTTATTGGCGGTATGAGGATTGAATTTCTCATGTACGATCTTTTCAGCGACAGTTATGTGCCTTGTGAAGGGTGTATTTTCTCCCAGCTTCAGTTCGTGATCCCCCAAACTTACAAAGATATCCTGTACAGTGAAAGGTACGACACAATGAGCCGCCGTCACTAACCACTGGGAAGATATTAACGCTGCACCACAGAATAACATTCCGTCAGACATGCGGCGGACACCTGCCTGCCACGGCCACTCATTCACAGCTGCATCTTGACCTCCCACAACTCTTGAGGCTCCCTTCACTCCACATTGTTCAGTAATACTGGAAGTTACGGTTTTAGGCGAAATAGTAGTGGATGTAATGATCTTGTTTTCCACCGTAAGTTTGCAGTTGAAGCCTGTATAATAATCAAAATAGAATATGGGACTGGCTTCGAATATTGCACCGAAGCTGTTATTATTTATGAGGACATTTAAAGTACCGGTGCCACAGTAGTACTTGCCGTCTACATCGTAAATATTGGCACTGGGAAAGACCCAGAATGTATCGTCTTGGCACTTACTACTTGGTTTTACATGGAAAGTGGGACAGATTAGCCTCATAACCGTGTTTGCTGGTGAGGAGACTGTCCAGATGCATTTCAAAGGCCTTGGGTAAGCGTAGGGATGGTTGGGAGAACGAATGGAGATAGAATAACCAACTTGGAGATCTGCGTGTCCTCCACAATAAACGGAACGAGCCAACGTTGGGCCAAAAGCAACAGTGGCGATGGCTGTTGCCACAAACACGCTTATCCTTATCAACGCGGTCATCTCACTCAGTCTGCTTAAGAATACAGTTCACCTGCCACCTTTATAGCAACGCTGAACGGTTATCGGTCCACTGCGTGGCGTGCGCCGGCAATACTCCAACCCTCAGCACTGTTGCTCTGTTAGCTCTCGACCAATATGGCTTGATGAAGAGAGTGGCGGCCTCAATAGTCATAACACCTGCGCACACCTGAATTACCAATGAATTCTCGGTATGTCTGACTATTTATTTACGACCATAAATATAACACTTAACCCGTCAGTTTATATACAGTTTATATATTATATATATATATATATATATATATATATATATATATATATATATATATATATATATATATATATATATATATATATATATATATATATATATATATACACACATAAGTTAATGATAAATGAATTGCAGGAATAAGGTCAAGGAGATTAGTTAGAATCAGGTCATATCACCGCTACTGAATAACAAAGGAATGCACTAGGCAGTGATGTGGTGGAGGCAGATCAGACAGTTTCAAATATAGATATGATAGAGCCTAATAGGTTCGTGAATCTGTGCACCAGTTGATTGACTGTTGAGAGGCGGGATCAAAGAGCCGAAGTTCAAGCACAACTAGGTGAGAACATCTTTCTAATGAGAACAGTTGCCCAGTACAAAGAAATGTTAAAGAAGCTGAACTAAACAAAGCTAAAAAAATACAACAGAGGAAGAAGGCATAACAGAGACCTTAGCTTTAAAATAATAGGAAAATTAAATGAACTAGACGACCACCCTAAAAGATTAAACGATGTGATACATGTGTACAAGAATAAATAATGTACATGAATAATGTGCCTGAATAAACATTTGAATTTGATACATCGGGAGTCATTGCATTAAACGAACGACGACTGAAACAAGCGGTACCAGAAGTGGGTGCTAGAACTGAGACTTGATCTTGTACGAACAAATAGATGAGTATAAATAGGCGAATACATACACACAAACACACAACACCGATATGGTTTTGTGTTAGATGGAATTAAACTAGCTCTCGAGCCCATCTAATATCATTCAGTTCATGTATATCCTTTCTTTTTGAGATATATACAAGAGTTGTTACATTCTTGTACAGCCACTAGTACGCGTAGCGTTTCGGGCAAGTCCTTAATCCTATGGTCCCTGGAATACGATCCCCTGCCGCGAAGAATCGTTTTTTCATCCAAGTACACATTTTACTGTTGCGTTAAACAGAGGCTACAGTTAAGGAATTGCGCCCAGTAAATCCTCCCCGGCCAGGATACGAACCCATGACATAGCGCTCGCGGAACGCCAGGCGAGTGTCTTACCACTACACCACCAATTTCTTTTCTGTTTCTTTACTTAAATCAATTGTAATAGAAAATAAAAAAAAATTACTTTTCGAATTTACTTTTAAAACTAGTCCGGTGGTCTGTTTAAAACTATAAATAACTGATATCTACTTGATTGAGAATAACCAAAAATCATACGCTATATGACCTACAAGCACATTACCCTTGAATGGGCACAATATACAAAAACAGTAATTTATCAATACATAGACAGTGCTTTGGAGTTAAACTGTGCTCACAAACTGTGCAAGTAAGCAGGGAGCCACATATATGGAAGGGTGACGAGCCGCATGTTGGACACACCTGCTACACACCTGCTCTAGGTAACAGGTGAGGGCAGGTGCTCGACCCTACCTGTAAGAGGAACATGAGCCGGTCAGTGGCGTTCTGTATCTCCTGGAGGAGCTGCGTCATGGTCTGGGAGGAGCAGATGTGCAGGTAGTTACTCAGCTCTACGATCTCCGCTGTCACGTCCGTCACCTGGCTCAGCTTCGTCGACATTTCGTCAAATGATCGACATACACTGTAAGAATTGTCGACACTATATCAACACTTACATTAAAAATTACTTATACTATACTTATATCATTACTTATACATTTGAGGGACTCGTTAGTACAGTTGGGTTCGTTCTCGACTCACAATTGGGAATCCCGGCTTCGAATCCCGGACGGGACGGAAATTGTTGGGCACGTGTCCTATCACCTAATGTCTCTGTTCACCTAGCAGTAAATAGGTACCTGTGAACTAGTCAACTCGTTACAAAACTCCAGAAAAACTGCTAAAAATTCTACGGAAAAACATCACCGATTTCAGACCATAAAAATCACAGAGGGGTTACTATAGATGCTGATATCTCCTAAATGGTGGCACTGGGCCTGACTCTGATGTTGTCATTGCTTTAGATTCAGCTACTCGGAACAAAAAAGTTCCGAGTAGTGCCTGACTCCGATTGGTCTGTCACTTATATATCCCAATGTGTTAGCTTGGAAAGTTGGGTGAGGCTAGCCCCAAATGCCTGGCCTCCCACTATGGGCAGACATTATATATATATAATGAATCAAGCATAAAACTAAGTTACTCACTCCTTGTCGTGCTCCTTATTGCGAACTATGAAGTACTCCAATATAGACGCCGTCAACTCCCTCACCTGTGAAACATATAAAGGATAATTTATACAACTTGTCTGTAAAACATTTTCTAGAGAAAAAAAGAAGATTAATTGATTAAGAGCATTATTCACATAATGTCGACTATATTTAATTGACTTGTTAGGTAGAAACGATTCAGTCTTAAGAGAAATGATAATTACCTACATTTAAATGTAATGCTTTATAGGGTTAATATCTTCAGTAAAAATATCACCCCTTCTATATTCATTTTTGTCCATGCCATACACCTTTTTTTTGTAGTCATGTCTACAAATTGCAGAACTGAAGCTGAAGCGTAATGTGAGACGTGTTAAAAGAATATATATCGTAGGGGAGTATTAGAGTTGGTGAGGAAGAAAAGGGGGGTTGTAGGTGCGGAACATATAGCGTGTTGGGAAGTTTCGCAGGAAAAGAGCCATGCTGTACCTATTTTCAGCATAAGATTAATTTTTTGGAAGATAGATTCAGGAGACAATCTTGTATAACGTAAGACTAGCTGGGTTAGATACTCCCATGATACCGTGTTTATACTCCTGTGATTATTGCAAGGAAATATTTCTCAAATGCAAGCAAATATTGCTCAAATACAGGCAAATATTGCTCAAATACAAGTAATTATTGGTCAAATGCAAGTAATTATTGTTATTACATTTGTTACTTTGTAACGTCTTCAAACATCGATTTTTTCACTTAGTTTAAGTATATCCGTAAGATGGTGGGTCTGAGTACTGAACCCTGGGGTGAAGAATCAATTTGAAACATTCTGACCTGCACTTCTGTTTGTCATGTACTTTATAATCAGCAGAATAGTATTCAGAAAAATACTGGTAGCTTTTCCATTTATAAAATTAATCTCCTGTAAGACATCATGTCAAAGTCCTTTTGACAATCTGGGTTTATGTAGTGTAGTGAACATTCTCTCCAGTCTTCCCCATCACTCGTCATACTATCATAGGACTTTTAAACTGGTTAGACAACAAGACTACGAAGAGACTTATAAGAGTTTCTTTTATCTCCTGTAACGAATTAAAACAGTAAGATGATGATATACTGCGTGCAGGCGATGAGTCACAATAACGTGGCTAAAGTATGTTGACCAGACCACACACTAGAAGGTGAAGGGACAACGACGTTTCGGTCCGTCCTGGACCATTCTCAAGTCGATTGACTTGAGAATCTTGATCTTTATGGGCGACAATCGACTTGAGAATGGCCCAGGACGGACCGAAA